CACTGGCACGACGTTTAGCTTTCGTCCTCTATTATCCTCATCAGAGGATCTAGATATGCCGTCTTTAGAGTGTGACCTTTAGATAGTGGGACCATGTACTAATACCGCAGATCGAGACCTTTGTTACTGATCCAGACATCTTCTTAGACCCAAGAATAACCAGCCATAAGAACCGGAAACATTTGGATATGTTTAAGCAGGTTTCAAAGCTTCCTCATTAGGCATCAGTTTTCCAGCTTCGTCATCTCGTACATCAATGCGGGCCCTTGGTAGACGCGTCTTCTCATTCCAATCTATAGGCTTCGAACCTGACAGGTTTGACGCTTCTCTTCACTGTTTTCAGTCCTCTTGCTTCCTCAACTTGACCTTCATCTTCATGTCATGCCTTGGTCTGGCCTCCATTCCAACCATCTGGAAGGCCAAATCACCAACTTTCTTGTCCAGATCCATGTACATAACTCTCTCGGACGTGCCGTTCACCAAAGTTTCAAAGTCGAACCAACGGACGGTCAAAAGAAGCATGATGCGCAGTTCGTCCATGGCCAGGTCCTGTGCGATGCACGCACGGGGTCCACGCTCGAAAGGTCTCCAGGCAAAGCGATGCATGTCCTTCGCGTCCTCGCCGAGGAACCGGTCTGGGTTGAAGCTCTTGGAGTCCTCGCCCCACACCTTGGGGTCCATGTGGGTAGAGTGAGCGCAGGGGATGACCATGAGGTTCTTGACGGGCCAGCGGCGGCCGTTCCAGTCGAGGTGGGTGACGCCCTTCGGTGCTTGGCGAATAGTGAAGCCGATAGGGAAGAAGCGGAGGGTTTCCTTGATGACAGCGTTGGTGAACTCCATATCGTTGGTCTTGGTCGGGTTGGCGACGAGCATCTCGACGGTCTTGTCCAAGTCGGGGTCGAAGTGCTGGTTGTGCTCATTGCGAAGGCGCTCGACGACGTCGGGGTAGATGGAGAGGAACATGGTAACCCAGGTGAAAGTGTCGGTTGTCGTGCCGTGACCGCCGAGGAGGAGGGCCTTGAGGCTGTGTGGCGTTAGTATCAATGTCTATTATACTGAAAATTGCATGTGATCATAGATATGAATGAGGGGGAACTCACTTAGTAACAGCGGTATCGATGAACGGGTCGTCAAGAGTAGCACCAGGGCCACTCTGAATTCTGTCGAGCACGATGCGGTCCAAGACGGACTTGACCTGTCGTCTGCTGGGCAATTCCTTCTCATCTTGTAGAATCCTGAGACGCTCGTGCATCTCATCGGCAAGAACCTTCCTGACGCGATCCTTGAGCTTTTGCAGACCCTGCTCGGCCTTGCGCTTCTTCCACGGGTTCTTCGTGCTGATGAAGGTTGTCGCGGGGTTGATGGATGCTCTGAGATCCTCCAGAAGTGGGGATCCAGTCCGTTGCGCCTCCAGAGAGAAACCGAAAACGACCTTTCCAATAACGTCGAAAATGGTCTTGGCGGCTTCCTCTTCCATGTTGAAAGACTCGTCCTTCTCGGCGAATGCGCGAAGGCGCTCGTGGAAGATCAGAACCTGCTCGGCGATCATGCCGGCCATCGGCTTCACGTAGGTCGGGGTAAAGCCGGAGCCGACCATGCGGTGGTTGTACTTCCACCTCTCTCCGTTGGAGGCGGCGATACTGTCGACGCCGGTGAAGGGGCGAAGGAACTTCTCAATTGATGGGTGCTTGGGGTACGGGGTGGTCGTCAGGACGAGCTGCGCGGCATCGGGATCGGTGATGACGACCTGCGAGTCGAAGAAGGGCCACATGTCGATGTAGAAGATGCCACCCAGGTTGTACTTTTGCGCCATGTAGGTGTAGACATGTTGAGGATGCGTGAACAGAGGCAATCTGACGTTTCTTAGCATTTGCAATGCGCGACAGAGGTGAAAGTACTCACTTTCCAGCTACCTCCTCCCAGATGGGGGTGTGCGCCCAGATCCATGAGTGCTTCGGCGGTTGAGGCTTGAGAGGGAGCGTGAGTTAGAGTCTGACGATGCCAAAACACCAGAGCCAATGACTGAGCACTTACGAGACCTCGGAACCTAAGGCGCATGTAGCAAGCCTTGAAGATCCAGTAGACGGCCGTGGCCAGAGCCACTGTGGCCGCGATGAGCCAGTTCGACACGCCAAACATGGTGAATCAGTTGCCTACGCAGTCCGACCGTACTGAACAACGACAAAGGAAAGGAGCAGAAAATGGAAAATTTCCGCCCTTGAGCAGAAGAAAACGACATGGTGCCAGAAAAGCATGGCGGGGTATTAGGGTAAGCAGAGGCACTGGATCGATCTACACACCTTCCCAAAACCAAAAGCTACGTAATGTCGCAATCGGCGTGAAGCGTGGGCGTGAAAAAAATACCTCTCAATTTTTTAGCCCTCCAGCCAGACAGGGTGGTATGTAAAGTTTTTCCAATGAAGAACGCGGTTTAAGCCGTGTGAGTGACAAGCGGGACATGGATGCGATCAAAGTCCCTCCGGCGAGCGTCATGCTAGCTGGGATCTTGGGGCGTGTGTAAGACGCTATGAACAGAACGGTGGGGTCTCGAGGGATCAGATTAGATGGGATTAGATGATCAGATAAGATGATTCTTGAGATCAGCGACCTCGGATTGGACGGAGTGATCCAGGGGGGGGCGTGGGAGATGAGTAACGGCATGTGCCAGTTCCCGGATTCATCCTGATGAAAGGGGTGGTCAGAAGCGCGCCAGCCCCTCCGGACGCGGCGTAGTGCAGCGCCGCCGGCGACAATGCGCCTCTTGAAGACGTCTTTAACGGTCCGGTCCGCCCACCGGTACTTGAAGTTCCCCGCCAAAGTGGGATGTCCCGGTTCTGAAGAGTTTTCTTGCTACCTCGTTGTTCGCACTTTTTTGGTGCTGACCATGGCGTTTGGGGTGCGGGGAGTTAGGACGGGATGTGGGTGGATGCTGGTCGGCCTGTGACCGAGGGGCGAGTGCGAGAAGACGGCATCATCATCCGGAAGCTCGTGAGGGGTTGCAGTGATTTATTCAAGAAGCGCGCTGTAGAACGCACCTGTTTCAGCAACTCAAAATGTCCGCGGAACTCTTGTTTTTCGCATGGTGCGGTGGTGCTTGACGGAATCCTCCGTCCTGAAGATGCGAAGCCGGAGCTTGTCTGCCCACTACACGGTCAGACGGGGGTGGATCGTGTTCTCGAAGTCGGGCATTTGGCGATCCCAATTCCACTTCACGGTCCACCTATCAGACCAGCTGCAATGCAGTACGTACGTAGCGTTGTAGTTAACAGGTTCGTGGGAGGCCTAACTGATGGGACCTCGGCGGTAGAGACTTCTTCGACCAGCAGCGCCTAGCAGCAGTGGACAGAGAAGAATACGAACAAAGTCGCGGGGAAAGTCGGCGATCGTTCGACCGAACATTGAAAACCGACAAAGTCTGGCGACATCCGTCGGCCAAACATACCTATTCGGATAAGTGGTGAAGGCAGGAGGATCGGAGTGCAGTCAACCATCAGATGAACCCCTGTTTCTTCAGTACGAACCAAGCTTTTCTGACCACAATCGACAGCTTGGCGGCAGGATTGGCAGCTCCAACGGCGGTACCGATCGGCTTAAGCTTATTACTGTGTGGCGACGCCTCCAACACGCAAAATTTGTAGCAAATTCACGGAAGAAATCGTGCGACTTGTTATGTTTCTAGGATGCTCTGTGAGCGGCTGATGTGTGTAGGTGACGAAGGTGCGACATATATATTGACGGCGCAAAAATAGCAAAAAGGAGGGCATCACGAATCCTTTTCTCCTCCCAACTTTTCATTTATGCTTCCGTATGGTAGGTCACCGCATGTGGGCACACATTCTTACCTAATGCAGAGAACCCTCTGTTACCTTTAGAGCACACAGTAACTACTAAAGCGTATCAGGCGGTAACCTGCTGTACGAGAGCAGAAAGAAAGTAAGAAGGGCAAAAGGATACTCAATTGTTCCGAAACCGAGAATCGAACTCGGGGCTATGCCTAACCTCGCAAGTTAATGAGAGGGCATCATGTTGGCCACTACACCATATCGGATTGAACTGTTGAAGGACGACGTAGATTTCTGGACCAGTACCCATTGTGCGTTTGCAGTGGATACCAGATTCTGGGCTGGCCCTCGGCGGCTAAGTGGAAACGGGACGGAGGTGACCCAAGACAGCGGCCTGGACGGTTTTGGTGGCCGTTGACAAAGTGATTGGCTCCGTGCCGGTGGGATGCTGCAGCTTCTCAAATTTTAGCTCGTAAGAATGGATGCAATATGCAGCCGGCCTGTTGAAGGCTGAGAATGCGGCATGCAGTCCAGCTGGCGAGTGCCGATCACCGATCGTAAATGCAGAAAGTCGGTCGGACTACGGACTCCGGCTGACAAAAGTCGGCGACTCGGCGCGCCGCTGTGGATATTTTACGAGATTTGCATTCACATTCAACGATGCGGGACTGCCAAGTCGTAAGAACAGGGAGAAGCCGGAGTTGTGCATCTCCGGTGGTGAAAGCTGGAAACCGTTGTCGCGAGTCTGCCCACCGGCCAGAATCTACTATCCTCAATTTCAATCAGCCGAGGTCTTGAATTTCACAATCAGGGTACTCAAATTGATCACAGAGTTTGGTGTCTAAACAGACATGTGCCCATCTGCGCATCAAGACACTATTTGCAGCAGCCGGTGAGATTATTCGTCTGCTTTCACGACCTTGTAGTTGGCGAAGCAGCGACTCAGACAAGCTGCAAAGAATAGAAGAAACTCAGTCTCGATTATTTACGACTGGGTTTATGGGTTTTTGTGTCTGTATATGTACATGTTTGATATAACTAGATACAGAAAGAAAGAGCCTTCTCTGTTTACTTTTGGCCAAGGACTCAAATGGCCGATCAAAGTCCAAAATAGAAACAGTACTGTCGTGAGGGTATCCAATGCCTTATACGCTGGGAATGCAGAGTGAAACAAGTGGCTCGAAGTACAGATGACGCGGCTGATAGTCGACAAGTGGCTTAGGATTTCCGCGCCACCGCAGACCGACGGACAGGAGCAGGGGGCTCCTCTGTCTCGTCGACTGTCAGTTGCAGTGCGAGGGAATCCGCGCCGTTGTAGGAACCCTTCTGCTTCCAGAAGTATTCTGCCCCGGCTTTCGTCTTAGCCCGAAACGTCGCCACGACGTCAACGTTCATCTTGAAGTTGGTATAAAAGGACGTGCCGACACAGTATTTGCCACCGGGGCACTTGAGATGGACGGTGGATGACTTGGTGATGGTTTCAGATTCTAGATCTTCTTCATTCTATAACGCGACATATCGTTAGATGACTTGGGTGCTAGGTTTAAGAAGGAGTGAACTTACGCTGGTACCGCCTACTTGCCAGTTGAACTCGGTCGAAACCTTGGACTTTCCGATGAAGGGAATTCCTGCCTCGGCCTCAAGGCCAACCTTGCCGCCTACGTACCATGTCTTGCCGACGTTGATAGAGTGAGACTTGGTGACAGCATCGGTTGTCATGAGAGTCGTCCACTGCTCAGTGCTCGAGTTGCGGGCATCGAGAATCTGGGAACCGACGGAAATTGTCTCTCCTTTACCGGCCGGCATAATATTATTCGTGAACCCGTTGAACTCGATCTTGGTGATGGAAACAGATTCGATGTCGTTGATAAAATCGACGCCCAAGCGGCCCACCATGCCGTTTTCACAGTAGTAGACGCGGATGCGGGCGAGGATTCCGGAGCCGACGGGGACATTCAGCCACGGCGGGTACATGCTCGGGTCGGAGGCTGCGTAGTTCGTGTCGTACTGGGTCCTGCCAGTATCCGTGACGATCTTAAAGCCGGCATAGAGGCCTTCACCTCTGTCTTGGAAGGCAAACTCTGTGACGCGCTCATTATTCCCGAAGACGACAGCATCCTTGCCGCGGAAGGCCCTCCAGTGATCACTGGTGTCTGTGCCAGACTAAAATAACTCAGTCAGTTTCGCCAATTTCTAGGTTAAACCCTTTGCAGTCATTGCTGAGTAGACGTACGTTGTGAAGCAAAGTGCGGTTTCCGCCAGCGGAAGTCAAGTTCATGACCCGAGCACCCTCAAACCCTGTCTGATACGACTGAATGCTCCCAAAAGGACCTTCAATCGTAATGAGTTCGCACGTAGAGTTCGTTAAGGTGATGTCGCCATAGTCGCCGGATGAAAAGGCGTCTGTCGTGTCGGTGACGAATCTGTTTGGAATAGGGTCGTCTTGTCTCTTGAGGTTTGATAGAGTGAGCGGTGTGGAGAGAGCGACGGCCGGCAGGAGGGCCAACCCGGAGAGCAAGCGTGTTAGGGAGATCGCGGAAACCATGGTATAAAGCTGAAAAGACTGACGAAACGAAACGCAAACAGGCTATCTCAAAGAGAATGGCTGGCTGGAACAAGTGAGTGTGGTGCTATGCAACTTCGGTACAAGCATTGGTGATGTTCTCCTCCAACAGATCTTATATGTAGATACGATCACGACTTACAGGACTCATATCAAGTGATTCGACTTCCACCTTCCTTAGTTGAGATAAAATAAATTACTTACATGCCAAGGCAGTCTCTGATAAATACATTCGACCGCGTGGTTCATGCTGCGGTCCCCCGTTGGTCCATTCGCTAGGAGGCCGTGGAGAACAGATGAACGGCTGGCAGGGATAGGGTAATCTGTAGTTGGATAAGCCAATCTCTACCCCATACGAGGCTGGGTAGGCTGCTACCCACAGTTCGCTCATGTTCAAGGTTCCAGTGAAGAGTTGTGGCGCTCGAAAGGGGCGCTGGGGTTCCCATTGGTCAACTGCCGCGGATGTGCGACAGGCGAGCCTATCATCGGAGTGACTGTCCGCCCGGCGATAGCCCGAATTCGCCGTTCTCCTTACCAGCTCAAGCCAGGATAGTTGCTTTACTCGCTCCAATATAGACTCCCTAAACAGGGCATTTGATTACCGACTCGTGACCTTGCAGCTAGGCACCTCCTTGAGAGGAAGAGAGGCAACCATTGTCTTCAAGGGTGATCCAGTGATAGTGGCTGTCATGGTGACCACAAGATGGCCAAAGCAGTGTTTATCATGAGCTTGAAATATCCCGAGGAATTGAAACGATACAAGCTCGGCCAGAGACATCTGCCGCTTACCTCTTTTCCCATCTTGAACGATCTTCATGAAGCAGAAGTAACTTCAAGCCCAGCGAACTGAATACATCTCGCCAAGGCACTAAGCTACTCAGTATACTCAGCACTCAAGTGAGGAGGCCCAGTAGAGTAGATACGCCCTGGTCATCGCACCTTGATGGAGGAGAAGCCTCATATTCAGCTGACAGCACTAAATCATCGCATGGGTGTCTGTCATCCAATGGATGAGGCAGGTGTAATCACGACTCGTCCATAGCCGATCAGCCAAGAGAAAGTGGTGCCGTCGATGCGTCCTTGCTTCTGTCTTAGCGAGTGAAATGGCCTCGTTCTCGTTCACGTACAACTCTAAAATAGAGCACAGCCCACTCTGGGCCCATGTTGCTCCCGGGACTGTCCAAAGGGACCACCGCCATGTGACAGACTGACGTGTGGCGATTCCCTGTCCGCCATAGGGCGCGCGGGGAGCTAGCGGAGCGTGGAATGCAGGGCATCCTTCTCGAAGGAACTCCCGTCCAGATAGCGGGATAGGGCTGTAAGCGGCTAAGGTACTGTCCCGCACGAATTGAGCCGACGAGAAGTGTATCACGATTATATTTCAGATCCATCAGCGTACTTCAAATCGTTTCCCAGCTCAGGTTTCTGCGCTCACGTTGTGCTCGTATCCGATCATTGTACAACTACGTTGGCGGTGCACATTTTGAAGCACAGATCAAATAGTTGTCTGGCTCTGAGCTTACCGCATGATTCCTGAATTCTAAAAGCTCCTTGGTATCCCACCGCATTTTGACCCGATGGGACGTTTAAGATTAACCAAGCCTAAGGTCTTGGACAATGTGCTGACCCAGGATTTGAGCCTAGAGGGGCAGGCAGGGTCATGTCGCGAGTCGTGTGGGGTTACAGGCAAGCCGAAGCATTCGTACAGCCGAAAGTGTTTCCCTCATAGGCTTAATCAGGAATCTTCAGCACGCGATGGGCGCTATTCTTGGCGTGCGAGTCAGGCGTCGCGTGCGTACAGCCAGCTAAAACCCAGCACTCCACGTTAAGTGCAGGTACTGGGGTTTTATTTAGAATGCCTCCTATTGCTCATGGCACAATAAGATAAGCCTAGACGCGTTCCTGTTTCGCGCCTTGGTGACTGTCGCTTACATCTGCTGAATACGGCACGCAAGTCTGCGATTGAGGCCTGCCGAGCCGGCATCTTCCACCGCCTGCCCAGAGCACATTACTCGCTGCTGGATAGCGATAGGGGATGAATTGGCGTGGGCAGAATAGTTAATGTGAAATACTACTTATCGTGTCACGTTCCCACTTGGCCAAGGCATCTGCGTTAGCGACTGACCCTGTACTTAATTGATCACCAAAAAGGACATCTTTCGCCGGGACAAAAGGATTTTATGACAAGAACGAGATTCGAACTCGCGCGTGTTTCCACACCAGCAGGACAGATCCAAACCTGAAGCTGGCGCCTTAGACCGCTCGGCCATCTTGCCGTGATGCTGAAGCCCTAGACGTTCCGGTGTTCGTGAGCGCTCCTGGGGCTCAGCGGGGTCAAGATCCGCCAGACCATCCGTTCGGCGGAGCCGAGTCCGTCGCCGAAAGACGGCGAGATACCGAGCGTATGTTGAACCGAGAACAGTTGCGTTGTCATGTCTTTGTGTCTTTGCGCCTTTCGCTGAAATAGAAATGCTCTGGTATTATGCTATTAAACTGTTCCGTTTCAGCCCATAACGCGATTGTGCTATCGTCCCTGGAAAGTCAAATCGCAGTCCCCTGCGTTCAGCCAGTTAATCCCATGCGCGTCATTCCCAGCACCCCTCCGAAGCTTGGTACCCTCCCTACCACCAAACACGTTCGTCTGATGATGCAAATGTTTAAGCCGTCTTCTTTCCAGCCGCAACCTGTCTTCCGTGTGTCGTGTACCTGGTGTAAGCGTAGCCGCCGCCCACGATGATGCCGATGATGACAATGTTGCCTGCAGAAATGATTGTGGTTAGCTTCAGGCGTATGTAGAGGCGCTATGTCGCTAACGGCGCCCCGGCGATCAGCGGGTAACCTACCCAAGACGAACTTGCCCACTCCGCCGACCACATCCACCACTCCGGAGAAGACGTCGGCGGTCAAGTTAACGATGCCGGTGAAGAAGTTGATGATCGCGTTGAGGAAGGCTTGGAGGATGTGGTAGAATGTCGAGAAGATGGAGGCGATGAGCTCGTAGAAGCTCTTGAAGAGGTCCTCGAAAGCTTTGGTGAACGACATTTTAGCGTGCTTACAGGGGCGTAGCGAACTAGACTGCTGATGTTTGTTTTTGGGTTGTTGCTTTTCGAGGGATTGACACCGCGACCGGGGAATTGTGATTTCGAGAGCTTTTGAGGTTGCTTCAACTTGAGAACCCCTCGGTCTTCCTTTTGGTTTTATGTGCACGCGGGCCAAAAGGCAGGTGACGCGATTGCCTGAGACCTGGCTAACCCAAGCGGCTGTTAGCTGTGAGAGCTGTACGGCTTGGACCGCCCGTGACGTCTTCATCGTGACGTCACTAGCCACACAAACGTGGTTCCAGCCACGCGCCCGCAGAGGTGCAAAAGAGATTTGGAGGGCCTGGATTGGATCGTTTAGGCGGGAGGATGTTGGGCTTGGGGTCGGAAGGGAGGATCTATCCCGATTGAGACATGATCATTGGAGCTTTCAAGCCACCGTTGGACACGTGCCTGTGTCTCGGAGCTTTTGTCCCTAAGCCAGACTGGGGGTAGCACAAGGGAGCTTGTTGATGAGGCAATCATGAGAAAAGTCGAGGCAGAAAGAGATGCCCTTATCATTTTGTCTATTTCCCTTGCCTTTATTCTAAGATAAACCAAACACCGAAAAAGTTCCATATGTGCAACATGGCAATTTGCTGCCTTTCACCACTTACTGGATTCCCATAAAGAGCCAAATATTGGGCTAGATCATCAGAATGCCGTTTTCATCGACGATTTCCTCCATGATTGATATTTCTTCTGTTGTCGACGTCCAATACCCACCAGGAGAGTAAGGAGGAGGAGCCGGTGCTCTGGGTAGGGGAGATGGCGAACTCGGTTCAGAGGAAGTCTCTCTTCTCAAATGCGCCCTGACAGCTACACGTCGCGTACGTCGCGGGGAGCGCTGAGGGCGCATGGGAGCGCCGGGAGGGGTGGATGGGTATGCATAGTAGGCGAGAGGTCTGATGGCTCCAGTGTCTATTATTTCAGTCAGGCTCACCTGCGAGCCGTCTGAATCTGATGTTGGGCTTGGGGGCTGCGCTTCTGGGTTCTGAGCAACAGGGCCAGGGTCGTTACTGGCTGGGGAGTTGGAGGTGATGACTACCTGACCATCCGCGTTCCGAAGAACTTCAATCGAGCCATCGGAAAGGAGCATTTCATAGTTGCTAACTCTGATGATTGCTGGCTTACTCTGAGCCCAAGAGTTTTCCTGGGAGTTGCCGACCGTCAATGTAAGAGAAAGACAGCCCGACGAACTGGACCATGATTGAAACACATCGGAAGAAATGGACGGCGGCCGGGCTGAAGACGCTGGCTGACTCCGGGGTGGTGGAACACCCGGAGCGGTTCGTCTAGGTGGTGGCATTATGAGTGGCATCTGTAGCAGATTGTTGAACTTCGCCCGGAAGTGTCTGAAGATATTCGTGAATGTGAACTTGGAAGGAGCTTGTGATGATTCGCGGCCCTTACGACGCATGCGAAGACTGAGCAAAGATGGACCAAGCGATGAAAACTGAACTCATCATATAGCCTCTGACACTAACCCAGCTGTTTCTAGACTATGCACAAAGTGTATTCACTGTAGCTTCGCGGTGAATTGTGTAGGTACACGACCTCTGAAGCATCGTCTGAGTCCATCCAAACGTATTTGTCTTTGGCTTTAGAACAGGAACAATGTCTGGATAAATCTGGTCGTTTGAGAGAACCCCTTTGAACATGAGGTTTCAAGGCGATCCATTTCGTTGTTACCATACATCACCCTTTCTTTATGCGCCTCTCAACGACTTGTCTTTGTGAACCATGTTCTCTGTCCAGTGCGATCGTGAACCTGCGGATCTTGAGCGGCATGGTGAACCCGTGTCAACAACTCGAAAGCGGGTCGGTTAGCTCAGTTGGTTAGAGCGTGGTACTAATACATCACCTGATGTGTTCAGTAATGCCAAGGCCGGGAGTTCAAGCCTCCCACTGATCATAGTCTTTTGCTCTTTAGCAGGATTAATCTTGTTCTCGTCCTCGATGTAGTAAATATGGGGAGCGAAGGCATTTTTGCTTCTGTCCTATGGTGGGATCAACACTTTTTGGGTTATGCATTCAGTAAAGGGTCTTGAGTGGGCCCCGAGGCCTCCGCCTGGATGCGAATAAGAAAGATTTCTCTTGAAGCCGAGCGATTATTATTGACGACAGCACGTATTTTCTGGCCAACAACAGTGGTTTGAATCTGAATAATGCTAGAGCGCAGACGCGAGACGTCTTCAGCATGTCACTTTGAGCAGACATCACCAGTCTCACTCTTCCACGATCTACGGCCGGTAGGAAGAGCGAGAAAAAAAGAAAACAAGACTGAAGAGGCCCACTCCTATCGGCCGAACACCCACATCCGGCAGCTGGTACATCGCAGCTAGTCTCCGTGGCCTCGAAGGCAGTGGTGTGCAACCTCCTCGGCGTCCCGGCAGCAAGTCTCGGCCAGCTACTGCAGTGCTACGTCGACGGCGTAGACAACAAGAGTTGTTTAGGCTAAAACCATCTTGCGGCCATTGGAGCATGTGTTGGAACCTGGAAGTCTGACAGATACCCAATACCGCGGAGCCCTGGCGTCTGGGTGCCGATACATTAAAACTCATTAAACCCAGCACCCCAAAAATCTAAAATGCAGTGCTCTAGCGCTGTGTTGACGGGTGGAAATACGCGCGACCCTGAGTCTCGGGTTTGCAACGTTCAAACAGACACGCGATGACGCGCCACCATCCTCAGTGTAACTTTCTTCTTCCTCTGCCTCCCTCGCACTCAAATCAAACTGCTTGCTAATGGCGCAAGCTTCGCAGATGGCGCGGGTCTTACCCACCGTGCCTGACGCGCTAATCCAGGCACAGAAATTCTCGGAAGACGCTCCGCGCGCCAAGTCAATTGGGGCCAGACTTGGCCACGGCGCGCGACGCTGTTTCTCCGCATGATCCCTGAGTTGCGAAGACTCGGGCAAGAGACACATGCAGAGATCTGGTGATGGCGCGTACCATGAAGCGGATCACCAAGCCGGATGAATGGGTAAAATAGCACTAGCGCAGATCTAGCCTGCAGAAGCGAAGCTGTCACGACAATCGTCCAGTGTGTCTTTGACTGACGGGAACTGATTCCACCGGCCCGTCGACGCATTCCCACGTGGGAGATTTGGAGATCTAGCTGACCAACCGGCTGGAGTGCTCATGGAAGCCGTCGAAAATGCGACCCTTCCCCCGCCTTTCTGAAAGGCTGCTCTTGGTGATGATCGTCTATAAGTTGAACTGCTTTCGCATGTGCCATTATCATCCCGGAACGATGCTGCAGCCAACAGCTCACCAGGCCGTCTTCTCTTGATCTCGACAACAGGCACAGTTGACATGTATGCCAAGACTCTTCTCGTGCTGGTGCTGGGCTCCGGCCTTGCCTCTGCTCAGCTGAACACTCTGGCTGTGAGAGCGGGCCTAAAGTATTTCGGAACGGCGGTCAACGAGCAACGAGTTACGGATACGACGTATATGGCCATCGTGAACAACACGGCTGAGTTCGGCTCCGTGGTACCCGAGAATGGACAGAAGTGGGCATACACCGAGCCTAGCCAGAACACATTCTCGTACACGTCGGGCGACATCGTGAGTTGAACAGGACTGCTGGGAAGACCAAAGAACCATTTCGCCTGACCCAAACGTCTTGACAGGTCCCGAATATTGCCAAGGCCAATGGCCAAATCCTGAGATGTCACACCCTTACTTGGTACGGTTCCCGAGCTATGTATGGCGTTGGTTGCTACTAACAACAGCTTTAGGCACTCTCAGCTCCCCAATTGGGTGTCAAGCGGATCATGGACGGCCGCAACTCTCACAGCAGTTATCCAGACGCACATCTCTAACGTCATGAAGCACTACCTGGGACAGTGCTACGCCTGGGATGTCGTCAACGAGGCAGCTGCAGATGATGGCACGTGGCGTGAGAGCGTCTTCTACAACACTCTGGGTACCGACTACCTCCCGATCTCTTTCAGAGCTGCCCGGGCTGCCGACCCCAACACCAAGTTGTGAGTACTTGTCTTGAGTGATGCGACATGTGAAGCCCTTCTGACCCGCAACAGGTACTTGAACGACTACAACCTCGAGTACAACGGCGCCAAGACGGACCGCGTCTACGAGGCGGCCACCATCGTCCAGAACGCCGGAGGTCCTATTGATGGCGTCGGATTCCAAGGTCATCTCATCGTCGGCAGCACTCCCGGCCGCTCCGCCCTCGCGACCGCGCTCCGCCGATTCACCGCCCTTGGCCTTGAGGTCGCATACACCGAGCTCGACATCCGCCACTCCAGCCTGCCGGCCTCCAGCGCCGCCCTCGTGACCCAGGGCAACGACTTTGCAAACGTTGTCGGCTCTTGCGTCGATGTCGATGGCTGTGTCGGAGTCACGATCTGGGGCTTCACGGACAAGTACAGCTGGATTCCCGACACCTTCAGCGGCCAGGGCGACGCTCTCCTTTGGGACGCCAACTACGCCAAGAAGCCCGCGTACACGTCCGTCTCTTCGGTCCTCGCTGCTGCTGCTACCGGCGGTGCCGGCACGACTGTGCCCCCGACCACGACGACCCGTACCTCGACCTTGGTCACCTCGACGACATCATCTCGCGCGACCACGACAACTGCGGCATCAGGCTCGGAGCAAGTCCGCTGGGGGCAGTGCGGAGGTAGCGGATGGACTGGGCCTACCAAGTGTGCCAGCCCCTATGTTTGCACCTTTGTGAACGACTGGTACTCTCAGTGCTTGTAAAATGATGACGGATGATGGATGAATACGGGCATCTGTTTAACCCAAATGGCAGGCCTGCTGGTCTCAATGGACAGGATGTTGCGGTCCCCAAAATTGTACATATCTAACCTTCTTGCACATAGCTTTCGTCCCGCTGGTAAATACTCCGGTCGGTGTTTCTCGACGTCGCAAAGTCTTCAATTGACTAAAAACTGCCGAGACGTGACGTCGTGGTTCCTGACAAATAGTCCGTTAGCTTCCAGCGGTTTGCCGATCAAGCGGTGATGGCACCGGAGCAAACTCCGTCAATGCTTCGCCGGACGGAGACGGTCCACGGCATTGGCGTTCTAGACCGCGATTCCCCGGACTCCAGTTCACCCAGTATTTGAGTCTCCAAGGAGACGAACCAAACAAAGGAGCGGATCCTCAGTCCGTCTGATAATTGTCATCAGGCGGAGCGGAGTTTTTGATTGTTTTTTATCTGAGTGCCTCGGCTGCGAGACGCAGATTTGCGAAGCCTATCTCCGGGGCCGCCAAGCCGTTTTGGGTGGGATAGTGCCAGGAGACAGAAGACTTTGGAATTTCTAGAGCGGTACCTGGCTCACCGCTGATTGAATGCGGATCAACAAAGTCATGCGGTCATATCCCCGAAGTCAGCCTTCGGCTTCGCCTATCGCCGATGCAAAAGAAGATTACTAACAATCACCGAAGCGAGGTAAGACAGTGAGGGGTTGGTTTCCTTTCGAAATGCTAAATGTGGCGATGAGATCGAATGACAAGTCGCGCCGTCACACGGGACGATCGGCAATAAGCACCTTACATGGACGCAACGAAGCCAGAAGCCCATCAGAAACATCGTCTTCCATGTCAGCAAGTCGCAGCAAGAGGCGCTGCAGCTCTCCCTCTACGTCCGTCTGCGCCGTATTCTTGCAGCTCGTCCCGCAGTAGCCAGCATGCCAGCTGAGTTATTCCAAGAAAAAAAAAAGCCGAACCTTATCTGACTCGTGCATACTGCAAGCTGGGGGAATGTTAAGCGGACTTTTGGAGCTAGGCCGGGGAAACAACAAGGGAGAAGCTTCCAATGGCAGCGCTGATAACAGCCCACACTCAATCTCTTTCTCCTTTGCGTCATCATATCCAATGAACGAAGCTAGCGGCGTCGCTGGCTCGGCGGGCCCCTAGCTTGAAGCTTGGATCATGATACTTTTCCCACCAGAACCGCGCACCAGAGTCAAGCTCGAACCCAACCTGCGGCATTGACGGCCGCCCCATGCGGCGGCAGTGTCCCCCGTAACCGTGCCGGCGCTGAAGCTGTGTCGAAGAGGCATAGTGCCGTCTTAAGTCCAGCTAGCAGCAATCCTAACTCCGGCCTTGCTGCCGTCTTGATGACATTATGAACAAAAATGGGGCACTGGCTCGCGGAAGCCGTGAAGATGCCGTCATTGAACCCAATTCCGGCCGAGAGCTCGAACTGTATATAGCTTGTCCCATGCTCGCTCCATTCGCTGTCTTGAATTCTTAATCCCAATCGCATCTACGAACCCACAAGCTCACAATACAGCATACGTCTCGAGCAAGAAGACAGCTTCACTACGCCAACTCCGCGAGTCAGAACAACCAGAGACAACAATCAACATGTCCGACATCAAGTTTGAGGGATGGCTGGGCCACAGCCCCGACAGCGTGAACGGAAAGATGGAATGGGGTGCTTTCGAGCCCAAGAAGTGGACTGAGGACGATGTCGATATCGAGATTTCCCACTGCGGTATCTGCGGTTCCGACCTTCACATGCTGCGCTCGGGCTGGGCCGAGACCCCTTATCGTGAGTTTCTCGTCGTGTTTTACCCCGCCTGCTCAAACCCCTCTCTCGAGAAAATGCCGCGTACTAACCTTGTCGCCAAACAGCCTGCTGTGTCGGCCACGAGATCGTCGGCAAGGCTGTCCGCGTCGGCAAGAATGTCAAGGACATCTCTATCGGCGACCGCGTCGGTGTCGGTGCCCAGGCTCGCTCCTGCATGAAGTCCGACTGTCCCGAGTGCTCGATTGGACGCGAGAACTACTGTGGTCGTGCCAACGTTAGCACCTACGGCTCCGTGTACCCCGACGGCGAGGGCAAGTCCTACGGAGGCTATGCTGACTACAACCGAACGAACGGTCACTTTGTGATCAAGATCCCTGAGGGATTGCCCTCTGAGGATGCCGCGCCTATGCTGTGCGGTGGTATCACCGTCTTTTCCCCGCTGAAGAACAATGGTTGCGGACCTGGCAAGACGGTTGGTATTGTCGGTGTTGGTGGCCTGGGTCACTTCGGTGTTCTCTTCGCCAAGGCTTTGGGTGCGGACAAGGTTGTTGGCATCTCCAGAAAGGCGTCTAAGAAGGACGAGGTCCTCAAGCTTGGCGCCGATGAGTACATTGCCACCGACGATGGCGCCGACTGGTCGAAGAAGTACGCCCGCAGCCTCGACCTGATTGTCTGCACGGTTTCCAGCGACAAGATGCCCCTCCAGCAGTACTTGAGACTGCTCAAGGTTTACGGCACCTTCATCCAGGTTGGGTAAGTGACGCATGTTTGCGCCCCCCATGTCGGACGAATGCTAATTGCCGTCTTAGCGCCCCTGATGGAGGCAATCTTCCCGCTATCAACGCTTTCACCCTGCTTGCCAGCGGTATCAAGGTTGGTGGCAGCGGTATCGGATCGCCTTCCGATATCCGTGAGATGTTGGATCTCGCCGTCGAGAAGAAGGTCAAGCCCTGGGTCCAGAAGCGCCAGCTCAAGGACGCAAACCAGGCTATTGTTGATATGGAGGCTGGTCACGCTCGTTACAGATACGTTCTCGTCAACGAGAAGCACGCCAAGTTGTAAAGTACTATGTACAAGAAGATTGATGAAGTAGACGATGAAAAGCGAATGATGAATATGTTTTGAACATACTTGGCTGCGTTTGTCCCTTAATCTAATGCAAACAGGCACTTTTATTTGCCGTCCTTTTTCGAGCCGCAAATGGTGCTGTTCCATCTCACCTCACCCCACCAACCCAACTGGCAATATTTGATGGATTCCGATGGGGTTGGCACACGTTGACATTGGATATTGACGATGCTTGACACAAACCCAATCAAGATGGGGTAATTCCCACTATATGGGGTATATACAGCGCTACAAGCGGCAATTGGACTTTGATGACGGTTCCGCCTCGTGTTTTCTGTCACAAACCTCCACTATCCATGAGTTCAATTCAAACACTGCGCCAGGTGGCTGGTAATGGATTTTCGACGATGACTTTAGATAACTGAATGCTTGCTTGTTTCACAAACGCATCTCATTTCTTTGTTCTCAATTGATTTGATTGCAACATCTTGAGTCTGCATGTCGTTTGTGATCAAGTTTGTACTCTCACTTTGATAAGGGCACCGTGATAGACAGGGGTGGACAGACAAACTGTTGGTCAGTGATTGCAGCCTACTAATGCATGACAGACTCCCATCTCAACTGCAAGATTGTTGGCTAAAGTCCGTGCGAGTCTGTAATATCGCGCCCCTTGTGTCGGTCCTGATACGAGCAGTCCACTCCCTGAAGCCCAGAGAACAAGACCAGGAAGTGGTCGAATGATCTGCTGTGCATCATCTTCAAAGACCAACGGGGTGAAATGGAATCTCGCGCCGAGCCGAAATATGGTGCACATGACCTGAATCTCCTGATTTGTTTCTAAGACACAATGCCGCCTCGACGAAGATTGACTGCAGCGCTATGCTTGGTTTCCGATTTGAACAAGTATCAGGCAGGCTCTTTGCCCGTCACGTGCAGCCGTGCTTACCAGATGCCGGCCGTAAGGACGCATCGCGTATTGATCTGGAAAGTGGACAAACCATGGCGTCAACAAAATTGCAATTGAGCAGTCGAAATGTAGCTGCACGTCCCCATAGAGCTCAACTGTGATGTTGTTGGTTTGGCTTCATTTGTTTGTCGCCATCGTATTTCGATGGACCTGTGCTACCACACAAACCCGTCGGCCGGTTACTCGTGATGGAATGTTTGTTTCTCCACAATGTTGCCCTTCCCCATCGTATCTGCAGTCTGGTCATGGTCTGACAGTTCATGGCAACGGAACGGCTGCTTCCAAGAAACTTCCTGATAGTGGACTCGACAATCAGGCAGAGATCGGGTAATGAACTCAAGCACGTGGCGCGCTTGAGATGGACTGCCCCTGCTCACGATCAGGTGTCAACGAACTGTTTCTTGGATACACAATGAAATATAAATGAGAAGCCTCTCCTCCATCTACTCTATGACCTTCACATCTTCATCTTCATCTTCATCAGAGTCTAACATTCTTTCTACCACACTGAAAGTACTGAAATCGCTTCGCACAATCAATTCACTTTCAACATGCGCATTGCCAACTTCATCGCTCTTTCCGCCCCCTTGGCGTTCATGGTAGGAATACCTGTGTGTGCGGCGTGTGAATCCAAACTGATCATTCACAGGCTCAAGCCCTCAAGGCTCCCATTGAAGGATACAATGTCTGGGAGCCTGAATGGGAAATTGATGGCGAACACTTCAATGGCTCCGTCCAAGAAGTTGTTCGCCAGCTTGAGGCCATGAGGCCTGAGATGGTGCACGCTTTGCACCTTGAGGCAAACTATTCCTCCGTGCTAGCCAACGATCCGACGGATCCGTTGCCTTTGGGAGACTTCGACGTCCAGTGTCAGAAACTCAAAGAAGGAAGTGTCTCAGCATGGTGGGATGGCATCAAGTACTTGCGCAGGGTCCCCGGCAAACCTGTGGGAGGTCAAGGCCCTGGAAGCTGGTAAGTCTGTCTCATCTAAGACGGCGTTCAACGTTACTAACTCCTATTGATAGTGGCCGTGTCAGTTGCTCCTGGGTAAGTAATGATTGTGACCGTTAAGGATGTTCGTGCACTAAAGCCTTCTTAGAACATGGGTATCTGGTTCTGCAACGATGATGTAAGAATCAAAAATACCCCCTCGGTCTGATGTTATAGGTAGAAGCCCTAACACCTGTGCCACAGACAAAGCAGAAGATTCTTGACACCTATCGCCACATTGCCGATGGCGCGGAAGCTGCCTACAGGAAGTGTACTGGGCCGCCGTACTTCGAATACTTGGCCAGTGGGCAAGCCTTTCACAAAACCGACAACTGGAATGTTATGGTCCAAGCTGTCGACTACAGGGATGACAGTCAACGGTGCTGAGCGCTAACACGGGCGTTTTCAACTCTGATTTGTCCTGTGTCGGCGATCGAGGAGGCTTGGTTGGAATAGACGACCAGGAATTGCGGTGAGCGATGACCGCACTATGAAACGCTGATAGGTGGCTTTAATTTCCCAGCCCCTTGTTCTCCGCCTTCGGTCTGAGCAACAAGGCATCTTTTTAACGTATCTTTGTGTTGAGAAATGTATTTAGATTGCATAAAACTTACAAATAAGCTGGTTTCGAAATGGGGTCCTGCGATGAGTCCGGCGATACTCATCAATTTGAATAGACTGTAGACACGACACTAATACAATGACTGCTTATATCCTTGGTGTGTTCTGGCAGCCTAGGATTTCAGGTATACGGTGGTAGCTTCATCGAGACTAGTAAATAATGCGGCACCTAACTGCAAGATTTTATCATTGAAACATGATTTATTCTTACCACTATTTCCGTCTTTGTTGCTTGATGCTCCTAACAAAGTCTCAGAACCATTAAATGGAGTCAAAAACATACAAGTGCCAGAGTCAAAGAGTTTTAGCCAGGTTTGAGGCTGTTGAGAATTAGATAATTAAGAATACAAGTGGCAAGTCGGCGCTCCATCATTATTTGTGGTATCAGTCCGTCTCTCCGTCTCACTCCCGCATCGTGAAACCACAGGTATCAGCTCTGAATCAGCAGTGACACTGCGTGCATCTTCTGAAAATCAGAGTACGTTTCCTGAGAGCTTAGCACCAGGGTACTGATCCTTGATGCCATCCTCGAAGCTCTTTCCACCAACCATCATGTCCTTGAAAGCGGGGCAGGCAAGGTTCAACACTGCCGCACCAACAGCGTCCGTCACAAGCTTGAGGGGAGCTTCGATGATAGAGAACAGAGTAGACAGGGAGTTGGGCGATGCGGTCTTGAGAATTTCGAAGACGAAACACAGGAGGTTGTTGTTCTCCAGGAGCTTCGTGAGGTTGAGCACTCCGCCTGTCAGGTCTCCAAGGTTGACTCCAGCAAAGCTGTTGACTTCACCCATGTTGCCGCCGATGCTGTAGTACTCACGTTAGCAGATGACTTCAAGACATGTGTGTACGTCTGTCAAGTTTGTATACCTTCCGAGCTCGGGGTACTTCAGAACCCAAGAAACGAGGTCAAGGTTAAGTTGAACCAGACCGTAGTCAACAGGCGTACGATACCAGTTATCGGGAATTCTCTCCCAGCCCTTGTTGTACGTCAGGTTGCCCTCTTCGCCCTGAACAGCGAAGAAGCTCTTCAGAGTTTCCTTGTCTGAACAACATCAGCATTGTTGGATTGTATACTTCGTGAACTCCCGCGTTACTTACTCAACAAACCAGTGGGGTTCTCAGCTGAATGGTTGGCAAACATGCGGCATGCAAAGAGATAACCGGCATTACGTGCAATCATGCCGGTAAAAGGGCCGTAGTAGAAGTTCGGGTTGGTCGCAATAGTCTCGTTGAAGCGAGCAGCAGCACGAGCACCGAAGACGTCGAAGTTGTAGTCGCCCTCGCCTGAAGACATATCGTAGAAAGTCTGGAACTGGTCCATGACCATTGTCGTGGCATCGCCAGTCATGTACAAGTCGCCTCTGGTAAGAGACGAGTCTCCCTCGATGATGTTGTGAGAGCCGTTGAGACCTCTGGGCGTGCCGAGAAGTCCAAGAACGTTGCCCAGAATGTTTTGAGAACCACTAGACTCGTATCCGATGGAGAAGCCCGGGTTCAGGGACAGAGGGTTTCCAACAAAGACAGTGCCCATCACTGCCAAGATGGAGGCGATATCGATACCCATACCGAAAATTGTGTTGATCCCCGCGGTAACCTCCACCAAACTCGTAACACCATTGCGTGCGATGTAGCCGTGGTTCGCCAAGGCGTTCAGACCCGGACACGGTCCTCGTTGGTCGCCATTCTCGAAATCGGGAGCAATGAACTCGTGGTCGCCAGTAACGTCGATCGGAGCTGTCAAAGGGTCGAACAATAATCTCTTCTTGTGAACTTCGTGGAATGCGCCGGCCAACTTGTCGGATAGCCTGGAAGCAACGGCATCTGAGATGGGCCCGTTCATGTAAGCCGGGAAAGCTTGGACGCCGCTGCTAAGGCAGGGCAAAAGAGAAAGGAAGTAATGCGACTTCATGGTGTCGTGGCTATGAAAGGAACGTGAGAAGCGAAAGTGTTGGTTTGTTAACGAGTGACGTATGATAATGATGGCATCCGCAAGATGTCATAACCCTCCGGAAAGGTAAAAAGATTGGAAATCGAAACAATCTTCTTGGTCGTTCCTTTTAGAAACGGCATCGACGGCTCAGGTGCCGAGGTTCCCGGTAAGTGCAGAATCTGTGAACCTAGGTTTCTCCTAGGATAGGAAAAGAGCGACACACAGTGACGAGGAATGAGGCCGTGTTTCCCACTCTCATTCTCGTGGGAAGTAAAGATCGCCAGCACAAGAGATCCTCAAATCGCAGGCCTCTTGATTGGTCATTTCCAAGCCCATGGCACAAGTCATTGTTCAGTCTGTGCAAAAGATGCACTAGGCCTGTTGCTCAGACGGACCCCGGTACAAAACCCCAGGACCCTAGAGAGCTGTCAGCCTGTCAACGTAACCTTGCAATAACCTAACGAACCTCCTTTTTCCTATCGGGCAATGCCAATGTCACAATCTTGGCTCAGCGTCGATCTGCAATCAAATTCCCCGATGACCCCATTTTCGAACTCTGTAGCCCCCAAAGTTCGACGGTGTCACCGGTGGTGCAGTCAGAAAGTTTCGCAAGCCGTTGTGAAAGGATAAAAGCAAGTTCGTTATGAAGCTGTCGATCAACCTGCAGAAGCGCTGATCCAAGGGCGGAAGCGGCGTCTTCCTCCCGGCCGTCCTGGTCGTTCCCCAAAACAGGGCACATGCCTGCAGCCCCTGCAGGATGCAGCCTCTCCAACCAACCTGGTCCCAGTACCATGGCACGGAACACGAAAAGCTCGAGCAAACAACATGGAATGGTTCATGAACTGTGAACATCGGGGCTGAAACTTCCGCATGGCGAATAACCTTTGGGTTTGATAAAAAGGCTCGGAGTTTATGCGACTTAATTTCTGTCAACGTTCAATTAATACGGCGTGTTATTTCTTTCAACCCTGAGACCGCCGTACGCGACAGTCGCCCAAGAAAAGCGGCGATTCGTTCGGCAAGGGGTATTCAGATGAGGTGGGTCTCGACGACATCCACAGCTCTGGGGCTCGCGACATCGCCCATTTTCATTGAGCACAACCCACAATCCGGACAGCCCTCTGTGGACTTTTTCGACTCTTTGAGATACGAGGCTCCTGACCAGTTGCCGGCTCCAGTACCCAAAGCGGGCACGTGGCTAGGCGGCAGGGCTCCGAAACACTACCTGGTCAATCTGACTGATGATGAGCTCGCTAGTCTGGTGCCCCTTGGCTGCTCATGTTGCAATGCTGTTCGATTTGGGAAACTTGCTCTCATGGAATACAATTCTGGCGAGATCCATTCCTTCTTTTGAAATTCGTTCGAGATTTCCAAAGAGTTGCATTCTCAGAAAACCCACTAGGGCGCATATAGGCGACTTACAGGGAGTTGCATGGATAAGACAGGCCGGAATTGTGATTTTCGACAGAGAATCGCAGAGGGGCCGATTCCACCGCCTTTTCCGCCCACTGAGGAGGCCTGCCGAACCAACGATTTGGATGAACATGCAATTGCCTTGATCAAACCCTGTTCCCTACCAACGTACTGGAACCAGCCTGGGCCAATCTTCGTCGAAACGGGAAGCCTTTGGGGGCTAGGATGGCTTGGCCTTACGCCTCTCGCCTCGTCGGCAGATAGAAAGGATGCCCCGGATGGGGATTTCCTTCCGGGAAGAGCGAAGTTGAATAAACAACTGACATCGCCTGGTATCCAACACATGGTTTTTTGATCACCATTCCCTCCTTTCATTTTCTTCTTGTTCTTCGTATTCTTGTCTGTTCTTATCTTTTGGTGAAGAAGTGAAGATGAGGTTCCTCACATTTGCTGCGTTGGTTTCATTCGGCGTCCAGGTGGTAGTGGGGGCGACCACCACCACCACCTCGGCTGCAGCGTCCACGGAGACACCTCCCTTATGCGGTGTATGTTTCCTTCGCGAAAGATGTCGATCGTGCGCTGACTGATATGCCTTAGCTGAAATGCATCCAACAAGAAACACTGCAGTCGACTTGCTCACTCACAAATGCTACCTGTATCTGTACCAACGTTGAGTTGAATGCGAAGATCTCGCTCTGCGTGCATGAGAGCTGTACGGTACGAGAGGCACTGCGTAAGTCATTTTTCCAGTCTTTTTTATCAAGATCATTCATCACTAACATCTTTCAGTTGTGCAAAGTTACTCAAAACACACATGTAATGCGCCATCAAGAGACCGAACGAAAGAAGTATGGGTCATTGGTGTCGTGTTCCTCGTACTCGGGCTTTTGGGTTTCGGTTTGAGAGTGATGGCCAGACTATGCCTCGGTGCCCAGACATGGGGACCTGATGACTGGGTCATGTTGATTGCTGTGGGCATGATGATACCCCTCAACGCATTGTCCATTCCCAGTAAGTCGCGAACAGCAAACAGCCGCGGTTGAAGCAAACACTAACAGCCACTTAGTTTCACAAGTCGCTCTTGGAAAAGACATGTGGAATGTCAGTCCTGATGACGTCACGAAGTTCCTCTACGTGAGTATCTCTCCTGTTTGGTTTGCAATCTTATGACTGACATGGAATTCAGCTGTTTTACTGGGACGAGTTGCTTTACCTGGGAGCATTGCCAGTCACCAAGATCTCGATCTTGCTATTCTATCTCAAGATCTTTCCCCGCAGGGAGATCAGAATTGCGACATACGTTATGATCGGTCTCAATGTGGCGTACTTTATTGTCTTCGAGCTGATTTCGATCTTCCAATGCCGGCCTATCGATGGCGCGTGGAGGGCATGGGACGGAGAGTACCAGGCCAAGTGCAACAACATCAACATCCAGGGATGGGCAGCGGCAGTCTTCAACATCCTCCTTGATCTCGGCACCATGATCCTTCCTCTGGGCGAACTTTACAAGCTCTCCATGTCGATGAAGAAGAAAATCCAGATCATGCTCATGTTCAGCGTTGGCTTCTTGTAAGTTCTTTCTCTCATAACTTCGCCTTTTCCAGGCCTAACATTCAGCAGTGTCACCATTGTCAGTGTTGTCAGACTCCAATCTCTGGCCAGCTATGCCACCACCAGCAACGTCACCCAGGATTATGTGGAGGTCGGGTACTGGAGTACCATCGAGGTCCCAGTCGGCATCATCTGCGCATGCATGCCCGCCATTCGCTCGTTGTTCAGTCTGGTCTTCCCCAAGGTGTTCGGTACTACGCAGCAAAAGTCCAACTACGCCAATCTCTCGGGTTCAAACCAGAAGCCTCTGTCAAGTTCGAACAAACTTTCTTCGAAAGCCTCCTCTCTCAAGGCGATCCGAGTCAAGAAGGAGTTCACCATCAGGTCAAAACGTGGAGACGACGCGTCATTCATCGAGCTCAACCACACGCCATTCACGAACGAACACTCATCATCACGCCCATCATCTGACAGAAAGTTGGCCACACCACATGAATCTGTGTAGATGGTTCGATTCTTATTCATCTGTTTTTTGGCCACATATCATTACGGCTCCAGGCTGGAAGGAGAGAGCCCACGAAAAAAAAAGTACTTCCGTTAATGTAATTATAGACATCATGAGCGTTCTTTTGAGATACCACATAGTAGACTAGTAATCAGTCGTTATCGACATCATCCACGCTTCCAGTGCAGTACATTATCGGAGCCTCCCCCGTCACCGAATCCGTACCCCTTGCTCTCTCTTGCAAGCCAAACCTGTCTAGATCGGTATCCCACATCGTCATCTGCAGGTCCGATGAGGCCCGCGGACGCCAGGTTCCTCAAAGAGATGCAAGGCAGGTAACATCCGACAGGATCGGGTTCTTCGAGATTTGATGTCGTCCAGTGAGGCCTCGTTGGAAGGATGCCCACCAAGTGGGGACCTGTCAACTGAGCCAGCGGGGGAAAAGCCGTTGCATCAGCCTAGCAAGGATGCTGTCAGGGGTCTCCTCAACAAGTGCCGATCTTAACTGTCTTAGAAGCTTGGGCTCTCAGACTCTTCACCACTTTTTATCAACCCTGGCCAAAGCTGAGTGAGACCCTCTATCTCTTACCTTTTGCAGCGTTGCGATTATTTCTCGAAGGTTCAACTGGCCTGTCGTGGGGGCCACGTCCAGTGCTACTACATCTTTCAAGCCCTGTCTGTGTCATTTTCTCTGTCATTACGATCGGCTCCAACGCCATCCGCTCGCATGCAGACTGGAGTGAAGTTCTGCCCAAGTCGGCATGAGTCAACCTCCCTGTATCGTCGAGCAAGCGGCACTTCGCAGCCCCTGATGGATGTGAATGGACTGACTTATGCCGATTATCGTGAGACAAAGTCCTTAGATAATCGGCTTGGCTTCAGTTTTCGGGCTAAACGGGTTGTTGGACGCGTCCGAAAGTCAGTATCAGACCACGCTGTTGGCTGTCAAAGGTTAGCGCATAATATTATCCGATGATAACTCATAATACAGCAACTGGGGTGCCGAACAGAATTGTTTCTCAGGATCCCGTCTGTTTTAGCGCAAGCCGCTTTCGTCGGCGACGACGAAACGCTCATCTCGCCTTTCACAAACCCCTGTGTCATTATGAAAGGGTCCACCAAAATGAGGGAAGGGGGGAGGCGGCCTCGTGGCGAGACGCAATCTCGACCTCAGAGAATGCCGCAATCCCGCAGACCAGAGATGGCGGTGGAGAACCCTGTCCACGCAACAGCCGCAACTCAGGAAAGATCGACTTGCACTCCTGGCAGGAAAAATGGAACTCGCGGCCACTACCCCTTTTGAATTGTCGTATCGGCCTGTTGCAACGACCACCAACACGCCTAGCGCAACAGGACATCTTAGGGGCAAGGCTGAAGGGACCTCGGCATGCCGCTTGGCAGATTCCTTTAAGCTTCGAGGAGTTTGCTTCGTTTTCTCTTCGGATCGTCTCGAAGCAGTCTTGAAGTAGCTGTCGGTCTAGTTTCCTCGAGTCATCGATCGTCAGTCAAGCTGCAGATGACTTGTTGAGAGTCATTCATTCTTTTTCCAAGGCCCACCTATTGTCACTCATTTATACCCGCAACTCACGATGCGCGCCACACTCGCTCTCACATTCGTTTCATTACTGGCCGATTCGGCCTCTGCTTTGTAAGGCAGTGCTATACTGGCGTTGATGATATTTCATAGCTGACTTCTTGTGACGCAGTGCGGTTCCTTGGAGGGCACCCAAGAACCAGGCTCGCCATGATCCCTTCATCGGTAGGCGTGCTGACAACGGCACTCTCGGTGACTACGACTATGTCGTCGTTGGATCTGGCCCTGGTGGTGGCCCGGTGGCTGCTAACCTCGCCATTGCTGGCTACAAGGTGCTCTTGATCGATGCCGGTGGTGACTCTGGCGATAGCTGGACGGAGAAGGTCCCAGCCATGCATCTCATGTCGACCGAATTTGAGGACACCAGGTGGAACTACTTCGTCAACCACTACCCCGATCTCGAGCAGCAGAAGCGCGATTCGAAGATGACGTATCAGATGCCTGATGGCAGCTTCTACGTTGGTCTCGAGCCCCCCGCTGAGGCTGACCCTCTCGGTGTCTGGTATCCTCGCACAGGAACCTTGGGCGGGTAAGTTGAAAGGAGATCTTTGAGAGGGAAAACGAAAACGGCTAACGAGCTCCAGCTGCTCTCGTCACAACGCTCTCATCAGTATCGCAGCCCACGACTCTGACTGGGACAACATCGCTACTCTCACCGGTGACGATTCCTGGAGCGCAACGAACATGAGAGAGCACTTCAAGAAGATCGAGAATGCTCAGTACCTGCCTAACAGCGTTGTCGGCCACGGCTTCTCTGGCTGGCTCGGTCTTTCTCTGACCTCGCTGTCCCTTGTCGTTGAGGATCAGAAGCTCTTGTCCTTGATTATTGCCGCCGGAACCGCCATGGGCAAGTCCATCCTCACCGCTCTCGTCAGCACCGTTGTTGGACTTGGTCAGGTGTTGCTTCGTGATATCAACGCTCCCGGCCAGGCTAGCCAGACTGGTCTCTACCAAGTTCCTCTGGCCATGACCGACTCTATTCGTGGCGGTCCTCGCGATCTTATCCTGAACACTGCCAACGCCGTGAACTCTGATGGTTCTCGCAAGTATCATCTTGACGTCAAGCTCAACACCCTGGTTAGTAACTTGCCATGACCGGGCCTCTGCTTGGGCCATACTAAAAATCGATTAGGTTACCAAGATCAACTTCGACCAGAGTGGCAACAAGCCCCGCGCTACTGGTGTTGACTTCATGGAGGGCGCGAGCCTGTACCGTGCTGACCCCCGTTCCGGATCGGCCACCTCAACTGGTACCGGTAGTGTCAGTGCTAAGAAGGAGGTCATCATCTCTGCGGGGGCCTTTAACACCCCTCAGCTTCTGAAGCTCAGCGGTGTTGGTCCCAAGAAGGAGCTTGAGTCTTTCAACATCACCACTATCGTCGACCTTCCCGGTGTCGGAACCAACATGCAGGATCGCTATGAGGCTACCGTGATCGGCAAGACCACCAGCGACTTCGTCATCACTTCTAAGTGCACCTTTGGAGAGACCTCTCCTGATCCTTGCCTCGAGCAGTACCAGAAGGGTCTCGAGCCCATCAGCAAGGGAGTCTACGCCACCAACGGTATCGCCATCGCCATCATTCTCAAGTCTTCCGTCGCCGAGGATGAGCCCGATCTGCTCGTGTCTGGTGCCCCCGCGAAGTTCAAGGGCTACTTCCCCGGCTATGCCTCCGATTCTCTCGCCGACGCCCAGCACTGGGCTTGGATCGTCTTGAAGGCCCACAGCCGCAACAACGCCGGAACCGTCACTCTCAAGTCGACTGATCCCCGTGACATGCCCCTCATCAACTTCAACTACTACGACTCGGGAGTCAACAGCGCTGGTGAGGCCGACAAGGATCTTCAGGCCACCTATGAGGGCTTCGAATTCGGTCGCCGCGCGTTCTCTGACTTGATTCCCCTTGATGGAAGCTTTCCTGAGGTCTGGCCCGGAACCAACGTCACCAGCGAGGATGCCACCAAGCAGTTCCTCAAGGATGAGACATGGGGACACCACGCTTCGTGCACCTGCCCCATCGGACCCGACAGTGATCCCAACGCCGTTCTTGACTCCGAGTTCAAGGTTCGCGGCACTGAGGGACTTAGGGTTGTCGATGCCAGTGTCTTCCCCAAGATCCCTGGTTTCTACATTGCCTTGCCCCTGTACATCGTCTCTGAGAAGGCCAGCGAGGTCATCATCAAGGCCGCTCAGAGCTCCGCCTGAAGGGCCACCACATAGTCCAGTCCAGCGATCCAGCGTGTTTGTACTCGAGCGTTTACATAGTAATATTTTGCCGAAAGTGCATATTAATTCATGTCAAATATTTAAGGTCTTCGACCTTAGCCAATATTTTCTGATGACAATGAGGTCAACACCAGCCGTGAAACACTTTTTGCTTCAATATTGTATTGAAGGGTCGTTCAGTTTCTTCGTAGATAAATTGAAGGATTCGGAATATTGGGCCGCGTTGTTCTTTGCTATTGATATTTCGAGAGACACGTTCTTCAACGTTCAAAGTGTGTGTATCAAGACCTCTATCATTGCGGTCTTGATATCATTTAGAATCAAAAAGTAGATTACGTTAGCAGAATGTTTACTCTTCGTTCACACGCAAACGATCGATCAGTTTTAATGTAGAGCTATTGAATCAACAACGTAGCACTCCAACCAGCCGCCCCTGGTTCTGATACCCTGAACAAGCAATCCCGGCTCCCTTTGATCACACATGGAGTGTGAAATCTCGCCAATCTGGTTCAATATGACAGTACTTCACCTACTTAGTCATGGGTTGTTGTCGACAGGAAGTGGTCCTTCGGATATTCTGCACAGGTCCCCAACTTCTATGAGTCGGGGGGTCCCCGCGAACGTGACACTCAGGAATCACGTGTGAGGACAACAATTACAAAGGCCCTAAAGCAAAGGCATTGCCATTACAATAAGACAATTGCTAATGACATATGTCTGACGCCGTCAGGCTATTCGTTGATTTGTGGCCAGATGATCAGACATGCACCCGCTATGCAGCTAAACACGGGAACCTACAGGACACGATGTTAATTGGCTCTCCTTACCATCTTTGCAGATCCAGATCCTAGAGATCTGAGATCGCACCGTTCGTCAGACCAATGACAAGAAGAATCAATGTTTCAATGGCCAACCAAGTATATGGACCTGTGTTGAATGCTAGATGGATGTTGGCTATTATGTCTGAGACACGTCAAGCTTAAAAAGCGGAGTTGATCGAATCTGCACTCCTACTGTAACGATGGGAAACTGTCTGTGCTGTGCATCGAGCCCCAATCATCAGATCGGAATACAACCGTACAGTTTCCTCAGAGATCCGAATCAACCACTCCAGTTCGAATGAACCATGCTAGATCCAATTCAAAAAAGAACATTTGCGACAACAGAAAGCTGAACGTGTGAGAGCATCCATTCCATGGTAATAAGCCAGACTCTATTGCCGAGGTTGTAACCGGCATCGCGATGTGGGGGAAACATCCAGGGCTAGCGTCTGGTACGAAAATTGCGCAACATTGAGCAAGGCGAGAATGAAGTCCGAATGAAGAACTGTTTTTGATCGTTTGGCTCGATATCTGGGGAATCAACTAGTACATCATAGCACTATGCATCATGAATGTAGTACTTGATGATAATCCCAAGGCAACTTGAAGCGCAACTTCGACGTCTGCACCTCACCTGCCATGCCGCCGAGTTTAGGCCGGCTGAAAAGCGGGAAGTCATGATCAAACCGGGAAAGCAATCAGGCTTGAATTGTCGGGCCTATTCCAAAGTCCGGGAATAAACAGACGATTGATCACGAACAGCTTAGAGAGCCGTTGTGGTGGAAATGGCAAATCCACAATTCCATCATGCGACCAGCGCCCAATACCCGAGGTTAACAGGCCCCGGCCGAATTTTCACAGCGCCGAAAACTTCCATTTCCACAACGTGAGCCCTCACCTCATGTTTTGCTCACGAGCTCAAGAAAAACTTCAAAGGGCTGACAAACCCTCTCCGCTAAAAAGAAAATGGGGTTCTCCAAGGCTCTCCAATTGTTGCATGGGTCAACTCCACAAAACTCAACTACTTCCCCATGGGAGTGGTCTGCTTGAACTGCTCGATGGGGGCCTAATAACCCACAAATTCCTCTTTACGGTTCTAATTGCCGGTATTCTCTCCGCGTGGTATTAACATGACGTATCCTCGTCACGAGACCTGCCACACCGCGAAAGCATTACCCTTCTCAACCTGTCCCCGTCACGCGTTCCCCGATTTCCCGATTCCTGGAAACAGGCAAGGAGGGAGGGACAAGAGCACCCAAGGCCGCTCCCTGCGCCAATCGGACGATCCGTTGCCCAAAGTGCCGGTGTTCTGCCGCCGGCAGGCTGTTTGTAGGCGCAGTCCAGCTTTTCCATTACATATCAGATGCGGAAATGCACTCCGCAGGTCATAAACATTGGGGTAGTAGCATGACGGGTGGCCCAAGGACGACAGAACAGGGCCGATTACATGTGCGGGGAAAACTGGGGAGGGCATATTGTTTTCCTCCGGTTTGGGTCGACCAGTTCCACGGCTTTGGCCCCGGACACCGTCTTGTTCCCCAAAACATGCTACTCCAACCGCCATCACGAGAAATTTTCTGTGAAGAGTCCTGCACTCCGGTCCTGCTAGTGCCGGCGCAATGTCGGACCTCCACACGAAGCCTTGCCCACTTCAATTTTCTTCGACGGCGGGGGCGGGGAGGGGAGGCTGGGTTTAAGGTCGGGACCCGGTCGATGGCCACACGCACGAAAAACAAGCTTGCTGAATTCTCCAGGTTTCCAAGCTGTCACCCGATCCGCCTTCCCCACAGCAACGGCTCGTCTTCCTTGTCACTCGCAGCGGCAGTTCTCCGGAATTTTCAACTTCTAGTGCTGCGACGGAAGCCCCGACATGACAGCGCCAAGCACCGATACGGTCTTTGCTACTACTCGGACAACATGTCAAACCACTGCGACTGCGCGGGTTTAGGCGTGGAACGCAGTTCTGAAGCCCGATTGTTGGCCACAGCCTCGAGCGGTGCATGCCTAGTAAAGCCCTCTTGAGCAGATCTCTTTCTAGAAGGACCAATGACTCAACATTGTCTCGTTACGGCTGAGGCTACGCCTTGATCACTAGTCATGGCCGGTATTGGATCTCCACACCCCATATGACGATGTGTGGTCACCAGCATCGAGAACCAGGGGCTCGGCAGCATTCCGCCTCCCCCACGTGTGGGAAGGCTGGCCGGTCTGTTCCGTTTCTCTGGCTACTGGGTAATCTACGGGTAGTAACACTCTCCGAACTTCATCTAGAATCCCACCTTGGCCCTTAGGGTGACGACCGGTGTGGGGCCGACTTCCGTGCCATGACGACTTGGATTACCAATGAGGCCTCGATCACGCTGCTTTCACCGACCTTTGCAGTCCCCCGCGCGGGGCCCGGTGATGTGGGAAGGAAGGTCCATGTCGTCGGCCTTGTCCTCGGAGGGGCCATATTCAACTCGGATGATGGATAGTGCGAGGGCAGGCAAAAGTAGGGTGGTATGGTTCGGATCCCTGCCCCCCGCGGGTCGCGGGTCTGATGGAAAATTGGGAAATCACGATGAACTGACGTTGGGAGCCGTGGGAGCAGACGAGGATGTATAAAGAGAGTCATGTAACCCCGTGAGATGAGGCTCTTGGATCTTCAGCACAAGCGCCAGACCTCAACTCAAAGGGTTCTCAAGATGACCGCCGCTCTGTCTCTCATCCTTTCCGGCCTTCTGTTGGCTCCGGCCGTCAATGGCCAGGCCTACGACGCCGGCGAACGCGGCGAAGACGCCTTCGAATACGTTCAGCCTCTTAACACCACCATTCTCGGTCCCTATGGCCACTCTCCGGCCGTATACCCCTCTCGTGAGTATCTCTCAGACTCTCATCGCAAGAGCGTCTGCTAACATAATGTTTAGCCAACACCACCGGTAACGGTTGGGAGGATGCTTTGGCCAAGGCCAAGGCTTTCGTCAACGAGTTGACCATCGAGGAGAAGGCCGACATGGTCACCGGTCAGCCTGGACCTTGCGTCGGTAACATCGTCGCTGTCCCCCGCCTCGGCTTCAACGGTCTCTGCCTTCAGGATGGACCCCTTTCCATCCGTGTAGCCGACTACGCCAGTGTCTTCTCCGCAGGTGTCTCTGCCGCAGCCACCTGGGACAAGGACATTCTCTACGAGAGAGGTTACGCCATGGGCAAGGAGTTCAAGGCCAAGGGTGCTCACGTCGCCCTTTCCCCCGTCGCCGGACCTCTCGGCCGCTCCGCCTACTCTGGCAGAAACTGGGAGGGCTTCTCCCCCGACCCTTACCTCACCGGTATCGCCATGTACCAGACCATCACTGGTCACCAGGACGCCGGAGTCCAGGCTACTGCTAAGCACTGGATCGGAAACGAGCAGGAGACCATGAGAAACCCCACCTTCGACCCCAACGGCACCGACACCGACATCACCGTCCAGGCTCTGTCTTCCAACATTGACGACCGCACCATCCACGAGCTCTACATGTGGCCCTTTGCTAACGCCGTCAAGGCCAAGGCTGCCTCCTTCATGTGCTCTTACCAGCGCATCAACGGCTCCTACGGCTGCCAGAACTCCAAGTCCCTGAACGGTCTCCTGAAGACCGAGCTCGGCTTCGAGGGATACGTCATGAGTGATTGGGGTGCTACCCACACTGGTGTTGCTGCCATTGAGGCCGGTTTGGACATGGACATGCCCGGTGGTCTCGGATCTTACGGCCAGGCCTGGGCTTCCGGCTCTTTCTTCGGCGGAAATGTTACCCTCGCTGTCAACAACGGCACCCTTGACGTTGCCCGCGTCGACGACATGATCCTTCGTATCATGACCCCCTACTTCTGGCTCGGCCAGGACAAGGACTTCCCCTCCATCGACCCCTCCAGCGGTGACCTCAACACCTTCTCGCCCAAGTCCACCTGGGTCCGCGAGTTCAACCTGACCGGCGAGCGCAGCCGTGACGTCCGTGACAACCACGGCGAGATCATCCGCAAGCACGGTGCCGCCGCCTCCATTCTTCTCAAGAACGAGAACAAGGCCCTCCCCCTCAAGGCTCCCAAGTCCATTGCCGTCTTCGGAAACGACGCCGGTGAGGACACCCAGGGTTTCTACAACCAGAAGGACTTCGAGTACGGCACCCTCGTCGCCGGCGGTGGTTCCGGAACCGGTCGTCTTACCTACCTCGTCTCCCCTCTCGAGGCCATTAAGGCTCGCGCGGCTCAGGATGGTGCTCTCGTCCAGCAGTGGCTCAACAACACCCTCATCATCAACTCCAACATGAGCGATCTCTGGATCCCCAAGACCCCCGAGGTCTGCCTTGTCTTCCTCAAGACCTGGGCTGAGGAGGCTGCCGACCGCCAGCACCTTGACGTTGACTGGAACGGTAACGACGTCGTTGAGGCTGTCGCTAAGGACTGCAACAACACCATTGTCATCACCCACTCTTCCGGTATCAACACCCTTCCCTGGGCCGACCACCCCAACGTCACTGCTATCCTCGCCAACCACTACCCCGGCCAGGAGAGCGGCAACTCTCTCATCGATGTTCTCTACGGCGACGTCAACCCCTCTGGTCGTCTTCCTTACACCATCGCCCTGAAAGGCACCGACTACAACGCGCCCCCCACCACTGCCATCAACACCACCGGCGAGTACGACTGGCAGAGCTGGTACGACGAGAAGCTCGAGATCGACTACCGCTACTTCGACGCCAAGAACATCACCGTCCGCTACGAGTTCGGCTTCGGTCTCAGCTACACCACCTTCGAGCTCGCCGACTTCGCCGCCGAGGCCGTCGCCGACAACATCACCTCCGCCCCCGAGGAGCGTCCAGTCGAGCCCGGTGGCAACCCCGCCCTCTGGGACACCATCTTCAACGCCACCGTCACTGTCTCCAACTCCGGCGACGTCGAGGGCGCCGCTGTGCCCCAGCTCTACGTCAGCTTCCCCGCCGATACCACCCCCGCCGGCACTCCTCCCAAGCAGCTCCGCGGCTTCGAGAAGGTGCCCCTTGCCGTCGGCGCGAGCAAGACCATCGGCTTCGAGCTGATGCGCCGTGACCTCAGCTACTGGGACGTCGTCTCCCAGCAGTGGGTCATCCCCGCTGGCGAGTTCACCCTCAGCGTTGGCTGGAGCAGCAGAAACCTGAAGGCTTCCACCACCATCACTCCTGTGCAAGCGTAAGAATTCCGTAATGTATTGTGTGGAGGGAATCACGACGCATGATTTACGACTCTGAATAGTATTAGTAATGTCTGGATAGCAGTGAAATAAACACCTTTTCAGTTACAGTGTTCTCTGATGATGATGACTATATGGCTCGTGCGAGCGGGCCGGTTGTGGTTGAGTTGATGTAGTCTGAGAGACGGGGAGCGCCGGGTGCGCCGGCCGGCACTCATGGGCAGAAATTATCCATGACCGAGACAACTGGCATTTGGGGCTCCGTTGAATCTTATGTGCGGTAGCTTGCCGAATATCAATAGAGATATTGTCTATCACAGTTCAAGCTAGACAGTCCCAAAGTCTAGACCATGCAAGCAAATATGATGTCGTCCGTAATACTTGGGTTGGGCCTTCCAATCAGTCATGACCTCTCGGAAGTTCGAAAGAGGTAACCAAAAAGTGCCTTTCTATCATTCGCAAGCTCAGCACGAAGAAGAAGGCCGGTAATCTAGACTTTCCCTTAGGGTTTCGGGTCCGCTCCAGATGACCGGCTGAGAACCAAAGTCCGTCCTCCACATTCCGCTTTTGAACTCCGAACGATGCGGCTCAGTAAGCTTGAAAGTTCAGACGATGTCGTCACAACTTCCATATCAGTCTCTTTGGCCGATGTCGTTCATAGCTTCAATGCGGACTTCCCCAAACCCTCGGTAGGAAGGCTTAAATCATAAATACTCATAATGCGACCCGGGCCACACATCGAAGTGTCGGTAAACGCTGTGAAATCGATGCAACTTGACTGACCATCTTCCTCTTTGCGCATTCTTGTTGATTTCAGTCAATATGTCGACTAAGGAGGATCGTGCGCTGCTGGAAAAGCCGTTGGACCAGTCTGTGCCAATGTCAGAATCGTCGGATTCATCCACGTGCGGGTGTCGGGTAAGATCCTTCCCGTGAATGAACTAGCGGCTGGAACTAACGCTATGAAGGGCCGACGCGCAGGATTCCATCTGAAAACACTATACCTATTCACCAGAAGCGATATCAAAACTGTTTTAGTACCTCAAATCATCTTTCTCGTGGCCGCAGTCCTCGGCCATGAAACACTCACGACGGTTCAAAGGCCGACTGCCTATGAGGCGTTACAGAGGTTGCCCCTCTCGGTGTTCTGGATATGGGTGAACCTCATCGTCTGCGGCGTCTCGAACCAGCGCCTCCCGGAATCCGTCCTCGAGGACGAACTCAACAAACCATGGCGGCCCATCGCGGCGAAGAGACTGACGCCGGACCAAGCACAGAAGCTGCTGCTTACCATCATCCCCTTGGTGATGGGTATGAGTCTGTTCATCGGTGGCTTCGCGCCCTCGGTGACAATGATGGCCTTATTATGGACGTACAACGACCTTGACGGCAGTAGTATCAACATTTGGTCGCGAAACTTGATCAACACTGGAGGAATCATGTGCTTCAGCGCGGGATCGTTGGAGGTTATCTCGGGTGGCCAACTCCTACCCAAGGCTTGGATTTGGATTGGGTTGACAGGAGCCGCCATCGCAACCACGGTACAGGCGCTCGACTTTCCTGACATGCAAGGCGACTGGGCTAGAGGACGACAGACCATCCCACTAGTCTACGGGGAGAAGGCGTCCCGCACAGGACTGGCCGTTGCGGTGCTGATGTGGTCGGCGGTGTCTCCGTACTTTTGGAATCTCAGTCTGGTTGGATGGGCGGTGCCGATGGGGTTTGGGTCTGTCATGGCGGTTCTGACGGTCGCGAGAAGAGACGAGAAGTGTGACAAGATTGTGGCGAAGTTGTGGTGTTTGTGGATGTCTACGTTGTATGTCCTACCTCTTTTTGTTGCATGAAGCGGGAATATCTCATGGTTTGGAGCAAGCGTTGCATGGGGGTTCGAGACCGACTTTGAAGGCCTCAAGTGCGGCATACAGGAAGCACATGGGCTTGCGTTCGTTTATGGTTTGATGTCGGGTATACCCAATAGATTTCTCGTTCTTTCTCTCGATCGAAATGTTAGCATTACAGTGAGGCGCGAGCAGGCAACACCTTTGAGGATTTAGCAGATGGATAAATTTCATGCAGTTCTTGCGGCTCTTAGGCTTGAAACGTTTGTCATCTAAGGTACAGGACCTCATCGTCAGTGTGATGGTCATCAGTTTCGTCATCAACGTCTGCTCAGAGTTTACCACTGATCGAGTATGAGGACCATCGTGCGGCATACGCCAACCAGATATTAAGAATTGAATCCGGACGTCAGTTTCTAAAATGAGTGCGAATTGAATTCGTCATGTTTTGCGTTCTTTCGAGCCGTCGTGATAGTCAAACTTTTCGCGGTAGCTGATTGCAGGTAAGCTCGACTGTGCCGTTCTGCCGCGGCGATGTCCAAAGAGGAAGGTCAAACAGGCTCGCCGAATCATGGCTCAGGGCCGCCCGTTATCTCCCCGCAATTTGCTCGTTCTCGGAATCCTTCAGGACGTGTGCGAAACGCGTCACATCATACGTACCAGGAAGCCATACATACCTTCATAAAGTCTGACCAAGAAACACCATTGGGACCTGTTACCCATCACCTCGGCCATCTTGGCATTCAATCGCTCAATCGGCGGACATGATTCCCGCCTCATTATTGCTCGGTGGCATTATCGGCCTTGCCGGGGCCCAATTCCCACCGAAGCCGGAGGGTGTCACCGTGCTGAAGTCTAAATTTCACGAAAATGTGACCATCTCGTACAAGGAGGTAAGATAAGTTGTTCCGAATCGATTGCCCCGACGCCCTAGGGATGAGCGGGATTGACGTTGCGCCCATAGCCAGGAATCTGCGAGACGACACCTGGCGTCCGAAGCTACGCGGGCTACGTCCACCTGCCGCCCAGAACTCTGGACGATGTGAACGGAGAGGCGCAGGACTACCCAATCAACACGTGAGTTTCCCGCGCATTGCGATCAGACGATGGGGGGCTTACCACCAACGCGCAGGTTCTTCTGGTTCTTCGAGGCCCGAAAGGCGCCCGAGAATGCGCCGCTGGCCATCTGGCTGAATGGTGGGCCCGGCGCGTCGTCCATCATGGGACTGCTTGAGGAGAACGGCCCATGCTTCGTCAACGAGGACTCCAAGACGACGCGACTCAACCCGTTGAGCTGGAATAATGAGGTGAACCTTCTTTACATCGATCAGCCGAACCAAGTGGGCTTCTCTTACGATGTTCTCACCAATCTCACCGCGCATATGAACGAAGAGGGGTACATGGAGTCGTTCCCTGCTGACTTCAGCGACGGGATCCCGGAGTCTGGCAACTGGACTTATCGATACGGTACTGCGTCGAGCCAGAACATATCTCAAACTGCCCACACCACGGCGCATGCTGCTCATTCGCTGTGGCACTTTGCCCAGACGTGGTTCTTTGAGTTCCCGTTCTACAAGCCCATCGATGACAAAGTGAGTCTCTGGGCTGAGTCGTATGGCGGGCACTATGGGCCTGGTATCCTGAAGCACTTCCAAAATCAGAATGAGCTGATCCAGAACGGAAGCTCGCCCGAGAAGGATGCTCACTACATCCATCTCGATACTCTGGGTATCGTCAACGGCCTCATTGACTTTGTCATCCAGGCTGAGACATGGATCACGTTCCCATACAATAATGTGAGTGAAGTTTGCCGCGGGATCGTGCGTCTTAAGATTGAGTGAATGCTAAGTGGTGAGCCGAAAGACATACGACATCCAAGTCTTCAACCAGTCCATCTACGATGAGCTGATATACAACTGGACCCGCCCCAACGGTTGCCGTCAACAGATGGCCGATTGCCAAGACGCCCTGAAAGAGCACGGCCCGTTGCTCGCAAGCGGCAAGAAGAATTACACAGAGATTTGTGGCGGTTTTACCAGCGAATGCGAAAATAAAGCTGTTGGACTTTACCAGTCAATCGGTAACGGGTGGTACGACATCGGCCATCCCAAGCACGACCCCTTCCCGGCCCCGCATCTGTACGGATACCTCATCGACGAAGAGGTGCTTTCTTCTCTCGGAGTTCCGGTGAACTACTCGGAATCTTCAAGCGCCGTGGGCAGGGCTTTCAATGAGAACTTTGGTGTGCAGCCTCACCTTCCACCCTGAGGTGGCCACTTTGGATGAACGTAGAGCTGATACAATGTGTAGACATCATCCTGGGCGGATTCAGCGAGTCGATTGGGTATCTCCTCGACAGCGGAGTCAAGGTTCACATGATGTGTGAGTTACCGTCCCACTCCCGGGGCGCATTAGTGTACGACATACGAATGGGTCTCTGACATATTTGTAGACGGTGATCGCGATTATGCATGCAACTGGGTTGGCGGGGAGAGGGTGAGCCTGACGATCCCCTACAAGCGCTCCGAGGACTTCGCCAAGGCCGGGTACGCCCCGCTCGTGACGCCGGACGGCATCACGGGCATGACGCGGCAGTTCGGCAACTACAGTTTCTCGCGGGTGTTCCAGGCCGGCCACGAGGTGCCGTCATACCAGCCCGTGACGGCGTACGAGATCTTCATGCGGGCGACCTTCAACCGCGACATTGCAACCGGGCTGATCCCGGTGACTGATGAGCTGGCGACCGTTGGCCCTCTGGACATTTGGCACATCAAGAACGTGCCGCCTGCACAGCCAGACCCCGCCTGCTATGTGCTGAAGCCTGACACTTGCGCGCCCGAGGTGTGGGAGATGGTGAAGAACGGTACTGCGTTGGTGAGAGATTACTACGTTGTTGGGACCATCGAAGAAGATGGCGATGAACAAGTTACGCAGACGATTCAGGGTCCGGAGAAGGGCGAACAGCAGGTTGCCGAGGAGCTGTAAGCGCGAACCCTCCTGAGAAGGCTAGTGTTTAGTCGCTGCACGCTGCCACGGTGATTCCTAGCTCCAGCAGCCGGGAGAGCAAGATCAAGCCCGTCGGCCAAGTGTGTTTCAGTGATTGGACGCATGAGGGGGAAACCGTCAGAAAACATGCAGCGCTGGTCGCAGCCCTATGCCCTAGCGCCGGCGTGTTGGAATGGTTTGGTATAGCAGCGGACCGCGCGTTTTTTAAGCTTAGCTAGGGCTATGAAAAGAAACATTCAGTGCGGTGCCATTTTCATTCCAAGTTGTCTCGATTAAATGGGGTGGACGGGAAACAAAAGGGACGGAAAATGTGTGCTAAAAGAAGCGACCCCCAGCCGGATATGGTGCCGTGTGGCTCGCAGACCCAAGAAACAAACCGGGCCCGGTATGCGAATCAATGAATCATCCGAAGGCGCTGGCCAACCGGGGATCGTCGGCGAGACTCACGATGCCGCTTGGCGGTGCATTTCATCCGATCCGATGACCTGGACTGCCCTGGCGGGAGGATATTGCGCCGGCGGCAAGCCGTCACGCAACAGCAGCAGCAACTCTCATCTCGTTCGACCCCTCCACCCCGGGAGGCGCAGCAGTCCGCGCCCGGGTGGTGGCCCAGCCGGCGTTTCTTGGTGAGCTGGGAGCTGAACAAGCCAACAGCGGCTACAGCAGGTTGCAGGGGGCAAGCCTTGAGGCCGCGTTTTCAGACGGAGTCGAGTCTTGTCTGGCGTCGTGTCCAGAGTCTCTTGTGTCATTGGGTGGTCAACGCTTCTTCGCAGCGCGATATTGGGAGCGGGTTGCGACCGGTGCTTTTCTGAAGGGCGACCCTTAGCATGCACTGCAGCAACAGACAGCAGACATGTACCACGACGCGCGCTGTGCTGTTGTCGTGCGTCTTTCACATGCCAGCTGATGAGACAGGGGAATGATATCAGGACGCAGCAACCCAGCCCATCTCTTGCACTTCAAGAATGATTAGGGTCCCCTTTTTGCAGTCCCATCTATTTGGCGTGTTTACTATCGAACTCTCATAGCTACTACTGTCCAGCCGAGGTCACAAAGGTGCAACAGCCCATTTATATATCCGTACTGCTGCTGGAGCACGATTCATCTCCACTGATTTGCAGAACAATTGCGTTTTGGACGACGCCCAGTTGCTGGCTGAAACAGAGCTGAAACCCCAGTCACAGGCCGCACGACAGCTCCCTGGAAGAGGGCGTTTGACCCTTATTTCTTGCTACTGTTATCAACACAGCTTATCATCAGATTGACCAACCTGCGACTCTATTCGGGAAGAGGACATCACTTTATAGAACACGAATCTTGGATGGAATCTTGATTGGGAAGAAGAATACGGATACGACAACTTCAATCGGTCAGAGACACAAGTCACAATCATGGATACGAAGTCATTTTCGTCTCGCATCAGCGACCTCGTCAAGGTAAGCTACTCAGCGACCGCAATCGCTGACGGGTCTCCCAGCGGGGCCTGGCCTGAATGATTAAAGCATCGCCGCTGACATTTCCACCACAGTTCCTCTCATCAGTACAGGGCGATCTCTCCAATGTCACCGCACCGCCGTCTTTCCTGGCGCCCTCGTCAGTTGTCGAGGTCGGCCACTGCTGGTCGCAGAGGCCAGGCGTCTTCGTCGCCCCGGCCCTCGAACAGGACCCGGAGAAGCGTTCGTTGAAGGTGCTGCGCATGATCCTCATCGCGATGCGCAGCCAATTCTACGTCGCCGGCGCCCCCAACGTCAGCATCAAGAAGCCTCTTAATGCATTTCTTGGCGAGCTTTTCCTGGCGTCCTGGAACGAGGGCAAGGCGTCGACGAAGCTGGTGGCTGAGCAGGTCAGCCACCACCCGCCCATCACGGCGATGCACATCGCCAGCAAGGAGCACGGCATCAGGGCGGATGGGTACGCGCGCGTCGAGATGACTTTCTCGAGCAGCGTCAACATTCGCCAGATCGGGCATGCGGTGGTGCACATTGACAGGTACGACGAGGACTATTTGGTGCCGCTTCCCGATGTAAAGGTTCGGGGTTTCCTGAACGCTTGCTTGTACCCCGAGGTGATTGGCACATACTACATCGTCTCGAGCACGGGGTACGTATCGGAGATCAAATTCTCGGGGACGGGTGTGTTCAGCGGAAAGAAGAACTTCTTCCAGGCGAGGATTTACCACAAGAACGACAAGAAGGCGACAATTTACTCATTGGAGGGTGTCTGGAGCGAGGGCTGGACTGTGAAGGACGGCAGGACAGGCGACATTATCGAGAAGTACGAGGTCGATGCGTTGGAGAACTTGCCTGCGCCGATGGAGATCGAGCCGATTGCCAGTCAAGATCCTTGGGAGTCGCGCAAGGCGTGGGCTGGCGTCATCGAAGGCCTTGGGAAGAACGACTTCCGGCAGACGGTGAACGCGAAGAGCGAGGTAGAGCAGGCGCAAAGACGCATGAGAGCGGAAGAGAAGAAGAAGGGAGAGACCTGGGAGCCGTTATTTTTCAAGAGCATTCCTGGGTCGGAACACGACATTTTCCACCAGCTGGCCAAGCCTGTCAACTGGCAGCTTCATGATAAACATACTAAGGGTGTTTGGAAGGTTGATGAGGACAAGCGGGATACGGTTCAAAGACCATTTAGGGGGGAACTGACGCCTTTGGGATAGGCGCGGCAGTGCTCACCTACTAGATTTCCTGTATCATGTTCACGACTGGCGTTTGGATTACAGAATGGGAATGGTATAGGCGCTTCGGAATTGGCTTAGGACTATAGGATGTCAATACACTATTTACTACTTATTTACGCTATAAGATTCTGTATCCCAGTATCAACCACAAAGAGTTGAAGCGATACTTCGTTCACAACCACTTGACAGTCCAGCATGTGTCTTCCTATCTCACATCGCAGCGCCATCGTCGCCACCAACTGCGATAACCAGCTTTCCAGCTGCTTTTCCGCTCTTGATCCTCGCATAAGCCTCGCCAGCATCCTCTAAGCCAAAGACATCCTCGATCACTGGCTTGAGTTTGCCTTCCTCAATCCATCTGGCAACTTGTAGGGAGTGCTCCGGGTTTGCGAATACTGAATGGAATTTGAACCTTCTCTTTCCGCCGCCAAAGAGCCTTGGGAGCAAATGAATCGAAATCAAAGTCTTGAATGTATGGGCTGTCAAAGGCAAACCAATCGCCACGTAGGTCCCGTTGGGAACGAGATAATGGCGACTTTGCCAATACAGCTCCGTATTCAGAAACACCGTATCCAGTATGTAATCAAACTGTTCCCCTCGTTTCCTGAGCGTGTCTACCACATCTCCCTTCCTGTAGTCATTCACATCATCAGCTCCAAGACTCCGACAAAAGTCGGCATTCCGCCCCGAACAGACGGCAACAACTCGGGCGCAGCCTAGAGCCTTAGCAACTTGAATAGCGAACATCCCGGTGCCACCGCTGCCTGCGTTGATCAAGACCGTGTCTCCCTCTTTCACGAAGGGAGCAAGTGCTTGTAGCGCCGTGACACCACATATACCGACACACGCCGCATCCTTCAACGATACGTCGGCGGGGACCGGTACGATGCCTGATTTTCCTACCACAACGTACTCGGCCAGCGTGCCACACTTGTGCATCTCTGTCCTCCCAAAGACACGCTGGTCAGGTTGCAGCGTGGTGAGAGTTGTTACGACAACGGTGCCCGAGTAGTCCACTCCGGGGATCGCTGGGTTGGGGAAGATGCGGTTGACGAGGGGAAATTCGGCGAGCTTGTAGTCGTGGTTGATGGAGGCGTAGGCCACTTTCACGAGCGTGCAGCCCTTGGGAAGTGAAGAGGCAGTTTTGGGGAGTGGTGCGTTGGTGACGAGCTTGAGGCTTTTCTCGATACTGCCGGTGGTGGTGCGCCATTGCGCTGCGCGCATCGTCGCAGGAATCTGGGTAGACGATGGCATGGTGGTGTTTTCTATAGAATACCAGAAAGATTCCGATTTCGAGATAACGTCCATACACTCATTGGAATTTTGAACACTGTCAGATGCAGCATAATGATTCGAGGTCGTTGTATGATCATCTTGAAACTGAAAGTGGCGCGACAAAGCGGACGTAAGGATCAAGTACCAAAGCCGCCGGAGCGCTGGAATTCACCGCGCTGACGACATGTCTGATGGCTAGTGCGATAGCTCAGGAAGCTTCCTGTAGTTGGCGGTGGCCTGAGGGTGAGAAACCAATCATATTGTTGGGCGTTGACGCTGTGCCGCGATTGAGCTTCCCACGGCGCCGATATTGGAGTGATTTATCTCTGGATTGAAGCATCAGGAGACTTCATATTATTGGCTCATGGTGTCGTCAAATAATCCTTCAAACAATCGGAACTTCTGCCACAAATAGAGCCATCGGAATGTTCACGAGCATCACCTATGGCAGTCTCGGAATTGAATCACTCCACATTCGGGTTCAGTGTCCTCCATGCGTCCGGCCTGCTCCGGGCTTGCGTGACCCCACGTTCGCCGAACAGCGGTGCAATGCCCGATGGGCAGAAAGCATTTGTAGTCCGCTAAGGTATCTAGCTGTGGGTTTTTGCATGACTTGTTTTCACCTACAACAGCCATTGGCCACCCATGACAAATTCTCCGGTCGTACCACATCAGCCACTCGGCGACTAATACTGCGGCAAAGCCGTTCATCATTCACCTTCGCTTCATTTCCCTATCCTAGAGATCAGCCGTTTGGTATGTCACTACGTGACAACGTATCCTAGTTTGTGACAGCTGAGCTGAATCGGAAGGATGCATATCCAAGCCAGTCTAGTTCGTAGAGGGCCATCATTGCCTCATTGAACTTGGATGTCCCATCGATTGTAACACAGCGCATGCATTGAAGGTAACGAGCCAATCTGCAAGCTACCATCGAGGACATCTGCAGGGAAACATTTGTCATCTATTTGTCGGCACCAATACGATTCAAGAAGGCTCCTGGCGGATCTGAGCTTGACTTCAATTATTGCTGCCAAAGTAGGGCAAGATCTGCCTTTGCAGTAAAGCGCATGGAGGAATGAATCCCTGATATTGAGGCCCTGTCTTCAGCTCCTAACCTCTTTATGTAGAGGAAGTTTCGAGCCCACCCAGGAGGGGTTTTCACAGTAGACTTCAACCTCTTTATATCTCAATCCTACAAGCATCATTTGGCATCAGTCGAGTAACCTACCACTTTTCATCGTCGGTTATGCCGGTCACGGTTCCTCCATATTCACTACTCAATAGTCTCAAAGCTTTGCGTATCACCTAGACTATGTGCGACCGAATGTGGCAGCTCATGACCGATATTTCAAAATCGATGGTCCATTTTCTTGACTCTATATGGAGAAACAATTACGCCCCGATTCAAAGGTTTCTGAATGAGCGAGACTCCAGTCTACGCAACCAGCTGACGATCGCCTGGAGAGACTACACGCTTTCGCAATTGAACGTAACTCTGATCACAGTAACTTCCTCCAATATTTTGCGCTCCAATTAGACACTAAGGAGATACAGGCAGCCCTGATAAGCAGTGTCACTTCAAGCTCCTTGACTTGGAATCAGTTCACGAACCCAGCTGCCGAAACGTCTGCTGTAAAGGTAGCCAGGGTTCTCTGGTACAGTGCACTTTTCGTGTCATTGTGCTCGGTTGGAGCATCCTCACAACAACTGGTTGGTTTGCATCGGCTGAGCACCTACGCCGACGGGCCATTCAAGCTACGACAACTCCTGAGTCAAATGTCAGATCCTGATGGGCATCTCGAGCGTTGCAAGACCAACGAAAACCCAATAACTCTGGGTCTCGTGCAAGCTTACATATGGCATATTCCTCCATTTCTTCTGCTGGGCAGTTTATACCTCTTGGCTATTGGCCTATGTGTTCTTGTATACGATTACATTGGCTCTTCGTTTGGAACTCCTCATTTTGGCCCCTTTGTAAGTCAACCACTGCCCTGAGGTTGCGGTGTGACCGGATAACTAACATTTTCTTAGCTTGCTCTATATACCGTGATTTTTGTGCTGTCGATCAGCAACTTTTTGCTTGGTTATGTGGTCTTGTATCATTACATGGACGATCAAAAGTCAAGGGAGACATCGATCTAGGTATTCTTCTACACATCCCGTCGCTAGAAAGACTTTGGAAAAGAGGGGCCGAATTTCCACACAATGTAGACTCCAATGAGGTCATACGCATCTGTTGTGATGACTTTTTAACAAGCCTCCACGTAGCTCATCGAGGGTTTCCTAAGAGTTTCCTGGCCGTAGTCATTTTAAGCCAGACATGGAGCTCAGCAAGACTAGTTAGATCCTTTTCTGTCCCCATGCCATTAGTCTAATCAAGCCTCGGTCCTTTGTATCTCCTATTCGCATAACCAAACCAGTTACCGATGGCGAAAAGTCCCATCACTCCGATGACGACACTTGCGTAGTCTTCTCAAATCAGTTAAAAGCATTGAGAAGCTGGCTCGCAACGTACTTACTCATATTTGAAGCAGTAACGGGCATTACCACGGGGAAATCGTAGAATATCAATGCAATGAGACCCAGCGCGATTGTCAAAACATTGGCAACAACTCCGACAGGCTGTGGCAGTTGGAACTTGCACCTTGGTAGAACCCTCTCAAATGCTGCGGCCCCTTTGAATCTGTGATAGAGAGCCAAAGCCGCTGGGAAACTGAAACTGACTTGTTGAAGAATCAGACCTGTGGCAACCAGCGCATTGAAGGCTGTCGAGGAACCAAGGAAAACGCAGCCCAGGATGAAGATAAGAGCCGAATTGACCACGAGTGCGTTGACAGGCACGCCGAATCGAGGGCTAATTTTGCCGAGAAATGATGAAAACACTATCGCATCGTCTCGAGCGAAGGACCATGTAAGTCGGCTGGCTGTTTGTAAAGCACCCGTACAAGCGAAGCAGCCGCATACGGCAATAGTCACCACGAAGGTTGTGGCCGCAGCAGACGACCCTGTGGCTTGCGACCAAATCTCTAATATCGGATACCTGTGTTCATGGCAGATATTGTTATCACACATGCCATCCAAATTTCAGACGATCCGAATTCGATGCATCACTTACGGAGACTGGAGAACAGGTTCAATGTCGCGGAAGCTGTACAACACCGCGACGCTGAACACGAAACTTGACACAAATCCAATTGTGACAGTAGAAATCAGAGCTTTGGGGATGCTGGAGGCTGCATGATTGCATTCTTCGGCCAAGTGAATGGCTCCATCCAAACCGGAATAGATGAAGTTAGGGTTGAGCAAGCCGGTGAAGAAGACAACGCCTTTTGAGGACCACCCGCTGTCATTGATAAATGTTGTCCACACAAAAGTGCTGTCTTGCTTAGGAGTCGAACGTGCCAAGCAAGTGACAGTAATGACAAAGAAGGCTGTTAGCGAGATGAAAACTACGAAGCAGATCAGGCTAAGACCGAGTCAAGTGTGGTGGATGTTCGCAAGGAAGCTTACACCCCAAATCATGAATCCAGGCTGTGCGTTTCATTAAGAAAATGTTGTAGACGGTGAATGTAAAGTTGAAGGCCTGGAAAAGAAGGAAGATATGCCACGTTTCTGGGACGTATCGAGGATCGAGGTAAGACGCCAGTGAAAGTACCATGACCGGCATCTGTATGACGAAGCCTGCTCCGTTGGCGATCCAGCCCAGGAAGTTGACTGATCCACAGCAGTAACTCTTTGGCATCCACCGTCAGCATTGCTGTCGCGATTATGGACGTACGCATGGACCTTACTAGTACACGACTAGAACGTTCTGGTGCGAGAATGCTGGTCCAGTGATACTGGCCTCCGGCTGTCGGATAGACGGAGGCAATCTCAGCCATACTAAGAGCACAGGCACCCCCAAGAACGAAGATGAGAATGATGCCGTACAACAAAGTGACCGGACCGCCCGACGCAATTGAGATTGATAGCGTAACTGCAATAGCTGACCAGCTATTGCAGATGTTCCATCCGAGGCCAATAATCTCAAGAAGTCCAATGTCCCGCTTTGGAGGAGATTGGAGACCGAGGCGTTTCAAGTCGGCATCTTCGTCGCTGCTCACTCCAACCGACTCATCTGAAGACTCTAGCATCAGCCCATGATGCCAGGATAAATTCTTGCGGTGTGGGTGACGTACAACTTTCGGTCATTGCCGCATCTTGGGCGTACGATGAGGGCTTACCCCGGCTATCCGCGGCGTCGAACACCATACCTGTGATGAGAAAGAGAGGACAAATGCGACAGCGTAGATAATGAGCCTTTCAGAGGATTTTCGATTGAATTTAAGCATAACAAAATGCATGCTCAGCATTACATTCTGCATTTCAAGATCAGACCACTCGGGCGACGGAATCTGCATGCCTGCATCGCTGATCTGTACCGAGCTGCAGTCATCCGCAGGGTAACGCTGCGATGTGCCAATTGCGAGCCCTCATTCGTGGCCAAAAATCGAAGTTTCACCATGAGAAGCAATCTTCATCTTAGTACGATGCAACGTATGCAGACTCATCGCGTACAATACCTAACCTTTGGGCAAAAGTCAGCTTGAAGGCAAGGTTCCGGCTAACCGAGATGCTCGTTTATGCAGGGAGGTGCCATCGCTTCGCTTTTGCGGTACAAAGTGTTCCTCTTCTGCTTGGCTACATAAGCATCCAGGATCGCTTCTATCAGAACCGAATGTCTTACCGGTGTGCAAAATGTCCAATACCAGCCCTCTCCACCTAACTGGCAGCACAGTCATGAAGTGACTCTTACAGGCCACCCTCGAAGGCGTTGCACGTAAAGGCCAGAAAATCATCTGTCTTGCGCCGGATTAACATGTTCTGACAGCAAAGCGATGGAAAACACGTACGCAAGAGCTTAATTGAATCGACAGCATAAGTGCCCTCTAAGCTTTGATCCCTACACACAATACAACAAAGATTCATCTACGCCATTGAGCGCCTGGTATTTGAAATGAAAGACAGGGAAAAAAGCATAAACATAAGAAGTTTCAAAACACAGAAGAGATCCCCAATGAAATGCCTAATCCCAGAGCCATCGTAGAGACGGACCATTCGAGAGTTCCTGCCATGTTGGGCCTATCACCAAAGCCGTCGGGCTCACGACTCCCCTGCACGACGTTGTTTGCTCGGACGCATCGAAAAACTTGATAGTCCGTCTGGTTTTCGCCGTCGTCATAGTTAAACGACAAAACGACAGGCCAGACTCTGGTCAGTGCTTCGTCGTAGGAGTCGTTGGTTTCCTTTTCATCAGAAGCGTTGAAAATTCCAGCCACCCATGAGTACAGGCTGTAAATCGGACCGGTGTCGCTGTTTGCTGTTGCCTCTGTCTGGTTCGTCAAGTTCCCTGCACTTGGTGTTAGATAGTAGCTCATACGAGAACAGGGCAACTGTCTTACTTATGAGGTATGATAGGGGGTCTATCTTCTTGCCACAGCTATCCGGTTTGTGGATCAGGTCACCGCTGGTTGAGTTGCATCGCGCTGTTCTGGCTGCTTGCTTCAAATCCTCAATGCACATATTCGAGATCCAGCCGTTGCAAGAGCCATCCGTGTCTTCGTCCAGTGTCTCCAAGTCTTTCTTAGTATACGGGTCGCTGATTCCATTCCAGACATACGAGCAAAAGGAGTAGTTGCTGCTGACGTTGCCTGCTTCGAATGCGTTCTCGGGCCCTTCGAGGTCGATGGTAACAGGGTTGATGTTCCACACGGCGTTTCTCTCGGGTTCCTCTTTGGGAGTATCGCCATTGGTTCTATTGGTTGCAACTTTTACCTCGATGCTCCAACCATTACCTCGGCCATATAGAGTCGAGTCCGGTGGATTCACTAATGGTTTGGAAAGGTCAATGCCGACGATTGGCCAGCTTCCGGTTGCATTTGGTTCCTTTACGGCATTTGGGATAATGGTGGAGTCGTTCCATATATCTCGATGGTAGAGTGCTCCACGGTTCGCGAGCGGGTACAATTCTGCGTTGGAGGCATAAACTCCTGAGGTGGAGCTAAGCCCTACTAACAAGCCGGTAGTCCGCCACAATATACCCATGTCTACGTTCAAAGTGAAGTAAAATAATGTGATAGTATGGGGAGACCCGGAAAATACGAGTCAGAAGTGACGCCGAGGCTGGGAATCTGCTGGTGAATGCTTCGGTAATATCAGACTTATGCTGTGAGTGAACAGCTGAGTGACTACTGAGTTGCTGGTGTGCTTTTATCATGTCTATTCAGGAGAATTTGATCTATCCCTTCTGCCTGATGCGTAGAGATATGACGTGGAGGCCTTACCATAGCTAGGTAAGATTGCTTAAAAATAAGCTTGCTTTCCCTGCAGGATTCGCGATCGGCATGGCACAGAGGGCTGGTTGAGGTACTTTGGTATGTGCTGACAGGGAGCTAAGGTGACAGCTGCGCTACCGCTCTTCACTATTTGAGCTTGCCAAGACGCGATTTCAGTCATGTTTCAATTGAAGGAACGCCTTTTGTGTCGCATCGTACGTCATTCTTGAGGCGATGCGAGATGGCGGAGACGCTTCTTACGACACCAAGGTTGAATACAAGGCGAATTGCAAATGGATATTTCATTATCTTTTTATCTCTGCGGATATACTTAATCCTTTCATTCTCGTGACCTAGTGTCTAGCATCAGGTGCTGGTGGGCAAGCGGCGGTATTTGGCAACACATTCGTCGCGCCGCTTCCATCGAAGTAGCAGGTGCCCAAACTATTTTCACACGGCGAGTCAGGACCAGGACAGCACCATCCATACGATTTCCACTCGTAGTTCTGCATCGATTGAGTTAGCTCTTGCGTTTAATATGAGGGCTCGGTGTAGGATACTCACATAACAAGGCACGGGGGCAGCAACGGTGGTTGTCGATGCGGCAGGCTCGGTAACCACCTCAACGATTGACGTCGTTGTCGTTGGCTCGAAAGTGATGACCACCAACGGCGACGAGGTTGTATCAATCGCTGCAACTGTGCTAGATGGCTCCTGGCTGGACGAAGGGGAAGCCGACGTAGGAGGGGCGCTTGAGGGAGCAGCTGAAGGCTCATTGAGAGGGGTGCTGGAAGGTAAGTTTGAGGTGGTCGTGGTATCGTCGGCTCCTCCCCCTCCGGCTCCGCCACCTCCGCCCCCACCTCCTCCACCAACGGGAGGCACAACGGCGCCGCCCCCTGCGGCCGGGACTGCTACAGGAACGACAGGCTCATACTGGTTGCCGTTGGCATCTGTCATGGGTGGCGCTGTGCTGTAGGAGATGGAGTAGGAGACGCCAGAAGAGAACGTGATCGAGAAAGAGGTCTGAGTCGATCTACGAATGCTCCGCGTGCTACTCTCGGCTTCACTAGTTTGTGACGGGGCGGAGGTAGTAGCTGATCTCGATGGTGTATTGCTGGACGATGGCTGGGCGGAACTGCTTGCCGAAGGGGTGCTCGAACTCGTCGAGGACGCCGAAGCTGACGTCGATGAAGGGGAGGACGACGATGACGAATAGGTGGAGGAAAAGTGGGTGGAGCTTGAGGGTGATGATGATGATGCGGTAGAACTGCTGAAGCTGGATGTTGTCGTCGTGGTACTCGCAGTGCTGCTGCTAGACGAAAATGAGGATGAAGATGAAGACGAGCGAGTACTCGAAGACTTGCTCGAAGAGCTTTTCTTGCTTGAGGTACGCGAGCTTGAGGACGTGGACGACCTGGACGTAGTAGTGTTTCGGTGTGTTGTCGTATTAGTGAAAATATGCGTGGAAAACGTCGTCGGTATCCCCGTCGAGTTGAACGTCGGGGGCGGCGTGATAGTGGGCGTGACTGGACCAGCTGCCTGGCGGTTCACGACATTGTAGTGAGCTGCTTGATGCTCGTAATGCTCAGCTCTCTGAAGCAAGTGATTGGCCTGTTCATCACGATGTTGGAGCCCCTGAGTTACCCCTGCTACCGCAGTGAGGGCTACCAAAACAGCTGAAAGGTGCATTCTTGAAAAGAATGGACTCGGCAGAAAGAGTGGCTGCCTGTGTGGATTGAAAGAGTGACTGGAATTTGGGCATCGAAGAGCACACCGCAAACTTGCAACATAGGAGAAACATGATCACATTTTGTACGGACGACCCCTCTGGCGCACCACTTCGTCGCTTCCTGTCTTGCACCGCCGAGAGCCCCATCACCAAGGCCGCTTGGCGAGCTAATGCATCTTGACTATCGCATTAGGAAGTTGGTATCCATTTGAATGCCACGCGAAGTCTCGGCACCGATGGGATGTTGTTGGCGTGCTTGAGCGGAGTCGGCAAGGTCGGCAGAGCCCCTTAGGACCCGACGTGCCCCATCGGCGAAGGGGACTCGGCCGCAAAGTCCGTCCGAATCCGGACCCCCGGGAGCGCGGGTAGGGAGTACCACGCCTCAAAAGCAGGATGCTATGCCAGTCGACGCAGGCTAACGAGACGAACGGTGGAGAAGAGATGCCCATTTGGTTGGCTGTGAGAGCTGCGTAGGGCTGGTGCCCGAGTCAGTTGTTGATGCTCCTGAAACTTCGTGTTAATCTGCTGGCTGGAAAATAGAGTGAAGACCCATCAACCCCTGTCTGGCAGAGAGCTCGGCGGAGGTCATGGCGTCGATGGGCGCGTTCACGATAACCACGAGGCATCAAGCGGTGCGGTGCCAACAACATCACCGGATTGCTCGGTGTAGGGCTGAGGTGAAGCGCGTGGCATTGCTGTACTAAGTGGGCAAATTGTGGGATCTAAAGAGATAGTCTGGTCATGCAATCACGGCAATGAGGAAGGAGGACGGCAGGATTATTGATCAGGTTTAAAATGAAATCGCAGAGGAGATCCATCCTGCTGCTGTCTTCATGCACGTCAATAGATCTCCACTATTTCCATTCATAGAACCAAAATTGGGGCTTCTCAGTTTGGCAGGTCTGATTTCAGTCGGCGAAAGTCCGTTTTTCTGCTTCGGGAGAATATTACTCAGAAAGGCAAACGGAATTATATGGGAAACATGGAGAGCAGGGGCGATAATGGCGATGGAGGGCATTTCTCGGCCCAAACATTAAATCCCCGAGGTTCGGGATATGTGACTATTCTACTACCTCAACCAGTGAGGTATCAGCTGGTAAGGGTAAACTTCTATCTACATTCATCAAAAGGCAAAAGTTCGCTTTATCGACCAAGATATCCAGGTGCTTGTAACCATCTCCAAACTTCTGCCCTGCTATCCTCACCGTCTCCATTAAGATATCAATAGGCCCAACATCCATGACTGACGTGATAATAGTGGGTGGGTTCAAAGATAAAAGATCTGCCAATGAACATCCGACATCAAACACCTTTTCCAAGATGCCGACACCATTGGCTTCAAATGCTGTGGTGGGCAAGAGCCTGGAGACGAGCACGGTATCTCGTGCGATGGTAGTCGGATAGCTGAGCGACATGCTGTCCTCACTATCGGTCCCCGATAGCAGTGTCCTCGACACACAGAGCTTCCATACAATGACCTTTAGCCATTCACGTGTGATGAGAAGATCAGCCTGCTGCATCGGAGAAAAGTTAGACACGTTGGCGAGTGCATTTGATAGAGTGTTTTGCAGCCGCGCCAGCTGTTCAGGCTCTGCCGATTTTGATGTTGACGATGGCGTAGATGAGTTCCACGTGGCGATGAAATCCGTGTCAAAAGGCCGGAATAGAGAAATGAGCTCCAGGAAGCCGGGCAGAATTTTGGCATCGGGGCTGAGCGGGTCGATCTGGGGAAGATCCAGCATAGGCTGCAGCGTCAATGGTCGGTGCCGTTGCATTGCATATGCTCGCTCTGTGATGAACAGCACCCAAAAGATGCGCCGTGCGTATTTTTTGGTGGAAGCGTCGGAGATTTCGTTGTATGTTGCTTCTTCATGATATCGTAGCGTCTGCAGAATGGTCATGGCTTCACGGATGTAAAACCATGCTGCATTGTCGTTGTTGAGACAGAAGTAAATGCAGTAAAGGAAGAATGAGGTTTGGACTTGTGCAAGTGACTGGGTATCGGCGACATTGTGGTATCTTCTTGATCGCAGAGCTTCTGAGAGGAAGAAGTCAACCGGGGGAAGATTGATCCCAGCCGGACTGCATTGTTGCAGGTTGGATAAATCCGCCGGGGTTGATAGTATGTCGGGATCCAAAGCGATATTGGCACAACACGACATGAGAAGTCCATAACTTTCGGGACATCTTGGATATACGCGCACGCATTCTTCCATGCGTTGCTGGTCCAGCATTGGTGTGATGGGGTATTTGTGTTTGAAATAAGCGTCGAGACATCGTCTGAACATATCAGCCGATACTTGAGGCGACGGTTGGAAGCCGTTATCTACCCCAAATGCACTCCGAGGCAAGACCGGCGCCGTCGGTTTTGCTCGTGAAGCGTGCCCCGTCTCATTGCATCCAACTCCAGGTTCTGGATGACCCGGTTGAGGAACTGGAGCCGGTGCCGCCTGTCGTCGATAGTCTGGTCTTCGCCCATATCTTGGTCCCTTTGGTCCGGTCTTCTTCGGGATTGCGCAGTACGTGCAGTCGACCTTGGCGATGCGACAGTTCATGCACGGACGCCGCCCATCGCACCGGATCTTGCGCGTGTGGCATGTATCGCACGCTTGTCGGACCTTGGCCGCCGCCTTTCTCATGCCCAAGAACGCGGTTTCTGGCGACATTTTCCCTCGAGCACACACAAACAGAAGATATCAAGAAGACGTTGAAGGAGACTGCGAATACGAGTGACGCGCAAAGAATAATCTGGGGTTGGTGGGCTCGGTCCCCCTTTAAAGTCTAGACCGTCTTGGGTCTAGATTTAGACTTGGCGCATCGGTTTCCGATTGGAGAGAGGTTACCCCACGAGTCAAATTTGGATTCAATATTCAGCGAAAATGAGGGCGAGTTCTGCCCATCGACAATGAGGATCAAAAGCTTCCCATTAACATGTGGCTACCAATAATACCAGACCTAACCCGAGAGCGATGTTTCGGAGCACACTCCGCCGTATGCTGCACCGTGGCGGCTTCATACACACACTCAAGCACGTGCCTTCTCAAGAAGAACACCGTCCGCGACGACGTAATTCGCGAACTTTCGGGGAGGAACGCGATTCGCGTAGAGGAAGTCGATGTCCTGGTAGGTTCTGTTCTTCGTCTCTGGCTGGAACCAGAACAGCAAGGCGAGGATGAATACTTCGGCGCCGACGAAGAGGAACATGACTTTGCCGCCCCAGTTGAGCTGATCCGGGTTGATAAAGAAGGGAAAGACCGAAGATAGCAAGAGGGCTGTGAGCTGTTGGCATACGAGCGTGAAGGCGATCGTCTTGGGCCTCGTCGCTTGAGACGCAGTCTCTTGAGCGACTGCCCAACCGAAGCATCCGACTGTCGCAGTGTAGAGCATGGACCATGTAATCATGAAAGCGAGCAGAGCCATGTTTGCTGCCTTGTTGGCCGTCCCAGCGAGGGAAGTGCCACCGATGATGATCGACCAGCAGCATAGCAGTGCGCCACCACCAACGAGGGATTTTCGACGAGGAAGGACATCGGAGACAGAGACGGCGAAACAATTAGAAAGGAATTGCAGTGTCGAAGAGATCGCAGTTAGTCCGAAGGGGTCTGATTGGCCGATGAGTTCGAAGTAGTACGTCTGGTATGTGTTCTGCACCCAGTTAGCCTCATCACCACCACATCACCACATCGCCACCACAACTTCAAAAACCCATGAAATAGAGGAGTTAAACTTGCCGCGAAGTACCCGCCAGATAGGTTTTGACTTTGCAAACCGAGCACAGCAACGAGAGTTCTGTATCGATGTTCCTTCGTGAAGATAGCTTTCCAGCTGGTTTGGCTGGCGGCGGTGTTTTCGCCCGCTTCGGTCTCCAACTCGGACTTGATAAAGTGGAGCCGCTCTTCTACGTCGATATTCTTGCCGTAAAGCTTTATAATTGCCTTTCTGGCGTCGTCGTCCTTGCCCTTCTTGACGTACCACACTGGCGACTCTGGTAGGAACGGCAATCCGATGGCGAATAATGTGGGGACGAGGAAAGTCATAACGAACGCCAGGCGATAACTCCAGGGTCCGTCAATCTTCGACGAGCCCCACCCAGTTATGGAAGACAGAAAAAACCCAAGAACAATGACTACGTTGGTCAGTGAACTGAGTGTACTTCGGAGGGCGGCTGGGGCGTTTTCGGTAACGTATAGGGGCGGCGTGGCTGTCGACAAGCCGACGGACAGTCCCAAGAGGAGCTTCGAGACGAAAAGGATAGGGAGACTAGGGGCGAAGACGAGGGCGAAGGACGCCGCCCAGGATAGGATAACGGCGGTCCAGAGGACGGCCTTTCGGCCGGTATAGTCGGCGAACTGACCGGTGAGGAAGGCGCCAAGCACTTGACCGATCGTACTTGCCGCGTTCCAGAGCGACTGCCAAAGGGCAGGAATGACGAACTGGTCTCCTGCCGCATAGTAGTTGCCATAGGCCTCGCGGAACTCAGGGAAGGCGATAGCTACGCCTGACAGACCAGAATCATACCCCCATCCGAAGACGAGGGACATGATGTACAAAGCCCAGAACACATAACGCTTATCTTTATTGAGGTTGGCCCAGAGACGTTGGTACTGTTGCTTGGGTGTGAGGTCTGGTTGATCGGCAGTGACCTTGAGTGCCTCGTCAACTTCGGCACCAGACTTTTCGACGTGGTTGGCAGAAGGAGACTTGGCTATCGCCAACTCAGTTGATTTGGTGGCCATGAAGGGCTACTTAAAGCTGGAGGGTATAAGGAATAATTAGGGTTTGTTGAGATGTTTCGGGCGCATGAAGAGGGTGTCATTGAAAAGAGACGAGAAATGGCGACGATTTATATCAACTCCATTGAGCCTCTTACACAGACACTGCCTCTGGGTGCTCGGCCTCCGATCCACCTCCGGAGACACGAGGTATGGTGCCAGTCCCCACGGGGAACAGGAGATTTCGTGGAGAGACATCGCTAGCGTCTCCAAGAATTCGGGACTTCTCGCAATGGAAAGAGAAAAAGGTTGGTTTTCTCTGTGGAAAGAAGATATATCGTCCGTGTAAGTCGGCGATGCTGTACCCATAGCATACCCATAGCATTCCCGATGGAGTGGCTTCGGCTGGAATGGTTGAATTTCGATTGGTTGAGATCCCTGCAAAGTGGCTGCGGAAGAAATTGGTGAATTATAATTGGCTAAAATAATCGCTGAATTGCTGAGCACGGCTGAACTGTCATTGGCTGCTTCACATTTAGAAGCACTTCTACATTCTCGAAAACTCTCCCATTGTGACATGATCGAAGGAGTGCTCCGACGAGATGCGTAGAAGCGAGGCCCTAGAATGGTTCATCTGATTTCATTCTTCTTCAAATACTTGCCCCCGGCTTTTGCGGTGGGAAAATAAGCAGTCGCAACAGTTACGCAGTTTCATCAAGGAATAAGTGCATATTGAGTGCGAGATATATGAATTCTGAACAGCTTCTGATATTCGCACGTGGTTGTATACTCTTTGTAACTTGATGGCCCATCTTGCCTTTACTTCGCTATTATTCTTGTTGTTGCCCCTCTTGCTGTCGTCCCTGTCGTCCCTGTCGTCCCTGTCGTCCCTGTCGTCCCTGTCGTCCCTGTCGTCCCTGTCGTCGCCGTCGTCGCCGTCGTCGTCGTCGTCGTCGTCCTTGTCTTCACAGCCGCTCTTGTCTTTGTCGTCGTCCTTGTCGTTATCGCTGTCATCGTTCTCATCGTTTTCATTATCGTCCTTGTAATCGTGGTTTCGGTGATATGAATTCAGAATTAAGAGATAAGGGCAATAGAAATCAGTGTTGGCCTAGAAGCCATATAAGTGCCCGTTCAGACGAGAATCATGGTCACTTGCTAACAACGCCCTGCATGAGTTCTCCACGGGTGTTATACCAGAGAAACCATCAGCAACGATCATCAACCAAAGGACAGCTTTATCATGGAGCATGATAACTTTGCGCTTTGTGACTTTTCCGCTGATACCTTCGAATTGATTCCCAAGTGTCGACCATGAAAGTTGACTGTCGATCATGGTCATGCGAAAATGTTGAGACAACTCTAATCTATGAAGAATGTTCGTCTCAAAGAGGCTATCGGCGATGCCCCGAACGCCACACTTTCTCAGGTGACAACTTAGTGATCTGCATCTTGGCCTCTGTGAGCGAATATTTCAGCGAGGGGCTTTTGGAGTCTGAGTGGAGGAATTTGGATGTGCACTATTGCGGATATTCCAACGAATGATCGATCTCCGTAATCACGTAAGTCGAAATTCACCCACGGCTGAACTGTTTGGCGTTGTTTCTGGAGAAATTCGTGATCATGTTAAAGGCCATGGCGCTAGTCTTCGCGAAGTGGCGTTGCCCAACGAATCATAATTCACCCTTCTGAGCCTCAAAATTTCACCCGAGCAACCCCCATCGTCCGTGTCTACCCCGCCGGGATCCGGACCGCATGTTGGTACCTAGGTATTAGACGTCCCGGCTAAGAGCCTCAATGTGAACATAAGAGCCGTTGCTACGTCCACTTATTCCCGTATTCCATGGTTCGAATCCCAGTTCCTCAACTTCTTCCTTCTTTCTTTTTGCCATCGCAGCAGTCATGCCGGCAACGCACAGTCCCCCTGATCGCGAGTGGTGGAAGGAGGCTGTCGTTTATCAGATATACCCAGCCAGCTTCCTGGACTCTGATGGAGATGGTCTAGGTGATCTCCCTGGCATTATCTCGAAGCTGGACTACATCAAGTCGGTCGGGGCCGACACCATTTGGCTTTCACCCATCTTCAAGAGCCCTCAGAATGACATGGGCTACGATATCTCAGATTACAGGGAAATTCACCAACCCTATGGCTCGATCAAAGATGCGGAGACATTGATCCAAGGTTGCCACGAGAGGGGTATTAAAGTTCTCCTCGACTTGGTTGTCAACCACACCAGTGGCGAGCACGAATGGTTCCGCGAATCTAGATCATCTCGAACATCCCCCAAGAGAGACTACTACTTCTGGAGAGATCCTAAGTTCGACTCGGATGGAAATCGGAAACCACCCAACAACTGGGCCTCCCTGTTCGGCGGCAGTGCCTGGACCTGGGACGAGCACACAGGGCAATACTACCTTTCGCTCTTCCTGCCCTCCCAGCCGGACCTCAACTGGGCTAACGAGGACATGCGCCGCGCCACGTACGCAGACATGGAGTTTTGGCTGGAGAAGGGCGCCGATGGTTTCCGAATCGACTCCATGAACCTCATGTCGAAACATCCCGACCTCCCCGACGCCCCAGTCGCGTTCCCGGACAGGGAGTACCAGCCCGGAGCGCTGTACTATGCCAGCGGCCCGCGCATGCACGAGTACATCCGCGAGATGCGGGAGAAGGTGTTCGACAAGTATAACTGCATGACGGTCGGGGAGCTGGGCTTCACCAAGGACGAAGCCAGCGTGGCCTCGTACGTAGCTAGGGACAGGCACGAGCTGAACATGCTGTTTACAGGCGACATCGTCGACATGGACTTTGGGCCGAACCACAAGTACGAGCGCGACGACTTCCGTCTTTCGAAGCTCAAGCATATTGTTGGTATGTGGCAAAAGGCGATGATTAGGTGTGATGGGTGGAACGCGATTTATATGGACAACCACGACTCTGGCCGCTCGCTTTCACGGTACGCGTCCGACTTGCCCCAACACAGAAAGACTGCGGCGAAGATGCTGGCGACGCACCTCGGCACTTTGTGCGGCACGCTGTTCCTTCTCCAGGGGCAGGAGATCGGCATGGCGAACGCGCCCGAGTCGTGGACCGTCGACGACTACATCGATGTCGAGGGGAAGAACTACTACGACAGTGTGCGACAGAAGCGCGGCCTAGACGCGGATATGAGCGACGTAATGAGGGAGATGAGGCTAAAGGCGAGAGACCACGGAAGACTGCCCATGCAGTGGACGGCAGAGAAGCATGGTGGGTTTACCAAGGGCTCCAAGCCGTGGATGCGCGTCAACGACGACTTCGACGAGTGGAATGTTGAGCAACAAGAACATGACGAGGACAGTGTATTGGCATACTGGAGACAGTTGCTGGACATGCGGCGTCAGGAGAAGGATGTGTTTGTTTACGGTCGGTTCGACACGGTTGATCAGTTTGACGACAGCGAGGATGTATACGTATATACCATGACGAGCTATGATGGGAGGACAGCGGTGGTCTTGCTCAACTTTTCCAATCGAGAGCAGGTGTTGAAGTTGGGACCTGGCTTTGATGGATGGAAAAGGTTGCTTGGGAGCACCTCGAAGAGCATCAACAGAGATGGTGTCAGTCTAAGACCATACGAGGGTACAGTTTATGCCAACTGGTAGGCAAAGGACTTGTTTGATCACTGCCGCTGTTTCATGAACGCTCTAGAAAAGAATCACAAAGGAAGAGTGCCCAAGTTATCAATGGCAGGGAACATGGCAGTGTTGATTCCATGTTTATTCCAGTTCATATGTCAGCTTGTAATTCTTTAACAGCATGTCTTTAAGACATGCCAGTGTTGCTATGTTTTGTCATAATTACTGTGCCGGCAAAGGAAGCACACGTGAACCCTGCCTCTGGCAGGCGTCGATGATTTTCCAAAATGCGACAATCCGGGTTTCGCTTGGCGATCTAAGTCCATCAGCTCATCCAGTCGTAATTTTCATTATTCAAGGCAAATCTTCTGCATGATATGAAGCGATTCCTCGGGTCCTCAGCCAAATATGCTGCCCTCTACGGCACGTCTCTGGAAAGCGGAAGCCTGTTTTTCGTATCTTCGTCTCACACTGCCAGCCAAATGAGGTATGATCAGTTCTTTTCCAAATTGCACCTGCCACTCGTCTTCCATTGGGGAATTGCCAGTCCCGTAGTCGATCCAAGCTCGGCATATCAGTCTGCCTGGCTCCACCAGGATGCTGTAGTCCGTCAGGCAGATATGACACTGACCTTGGAACTCCTGTCCCGGTTCTTCAAAAGCTTTGTCGATCGTTTCCATCAAATCGGTGCCTTGGGAATCCGGCGAGCGAGTTTCAACCCGGTGACACAAACGGCCGTTGATGTATGTTACGTGCCTCCTCAAATCGACGTTGTCCACAAGCTGCTCAAAATATTTGTTATCGGCACTCAAACCGAAGAGAAGTGGTTTCTTTCCATAGTGGCTAGCCTCACTAGGATTCGTTCTCACTTGAGTACAGTATGGAATCTGGCAAGCATCTGTTTCCAGGTGAGCACAGAATGGATAATGGCACTGGAGAATGTCTGTCAGTGCCGATGCTTCCTGACGACTGTTCCACACGAAGTTGAACTCGACGAAGAGGAGAAACCTGCCATCCACAACCTTCGGCACCGCCTTCAGAAGCGGTTCAAGTTCGAGGCGAGGCGACCGGATTTGGGGCAACGACCAGGGCTTCAGCAGGGCTTCCGGCCGGAGCTCACTGGCGAGCAGGTGCTGGAGTCGAACAGCCTTCGTCGCCAGCTGAATGTGGGCATGGGTCATATGTCCTTTTCTCTGCTTATTTAGGCAGCGCAGCTCGGGATGGAAATTTTCTTCAATGTCTCTGAAGTCCCGGGCAGTGTGGCGGCTCAAACAAACCGTGCACAACCAGCGGTTCGGCTGGGTAGAGGTGAGATCTGCCAAGAACTCCACCTGCATCTCTTGCGAAAACTTGGCATATGTTGCGTTCCAGTCTTTATGTGTGAGATACCGAAGGTCTCTGCAAGTTTGAGACAAAGCGAAGCGACCATACAGACGGAGGTCTCCGAGTATCTGAAGGAGAATCTCCATTGGTAGGTTTGCAAAGAGGGAATTTTGGAGACCATTAGATTTGACAGAATCTCGAGCCTTGGCCATGTCGTCCCAGTGTTTGATGGGTGCGTCCATGGTTGAAATGATCGAAGTTCCTGTTGATCCACCGTTCACCACCGTAGGTCGAATGACTGGGTCGATCGTGCTAAAAACGATGCTGATCAATGAGCTAATCGGAGTACACTCGTAGACCTTTAAAAGTAAGATATTACCGAGATCCGTCTGAGATGCAACAAGGGTGATGTTCAGGTGGTGGTTGTCAAGATATGCTGCTTCTTGTGGATGGAATTGTAATATAGATTGTAAGCATGGACTGGAATGAGAGTTGACGGGGGTGACGGATTTTGATATTAAGAAAAAGAACCCTCTTTCTCCGGATCACCTTTGTGTGACGGTTTCTCAAGGTACAGGTCCAAACTCAATGTTATGGGTATATCATAACGCAAACGCTACTTATCATGACCGTCCGGGTTTTCGACTCAAAGTGCCTTGTCGAGGGTACCCTTCTTCACAAAATCCTTGCCCGCGAATTCCCTCTCGCCTCCCGTGGCGATGTTCTTGTTCTTGGCCTGCCCAGCCGTGTCGCCAGCTGCAGTGTCAACCGCTGAGTTGAACTTGCCCCTCAGCACCTCGCCAACGCCCTGTCTGCAGTTAGCAACACAAGTCTCGACAATTTGCCACAGATTACTGACATGTCCTTGGGCGAGTGCGCCCTTGATTTGTCCTCCGATACCCCCGGAACGCGTCGTCGGGGCATCTCCGCCGCCAACTGTCGCGTGGGTGCCAGCGTGCGTCGCGGGGTTGCCGGCAACGTGGTTTCCGCTGCCTACCGCGCTTCCGACGCCGGTTCCAGTGGTTACGGTCGTCTTGGTGTAGGCTGCATCATTTGTCTGGGGAACCGTAGGGCTCTGGTAGGCGTTCTCGGCATCGAGAGTCGCGGTGTTGGTGTTGGCGGCCATGTTGAGTGATGTTTCGGGTATACTTTGATTCTACAGAGGGGTCAAAGGAGACGTATTTGTGTTTCAAATGTCTTTTCAATCAATATGTGAGAAATATAAATATTTGGCAAGACGCACATTTGATGCGATGTCATCGCTCCTAAACCTGGTCCGGTGATGCGCCAAGGGGTGACGTCACGATAGCGCAAACCCGCCTCGTGGAGGACGATCTGTGGACCATCTGCCGCGTTCCGGATTGCCGAGTTGATGTCAGACGATCAGCCTCAAATTTGAGCCTTATTTCCGTTGTGTGAGGTCAATTCGACTTTTGTGTCTGTAAGTCTCTTTCTACCTTACTTCATGGTCGTTTCCCAAAAATTTACTTGCTGAGCCACTGACAGACTGTCACAGTGCATTCTCGACTAGCACATCCTAACTCACCAAAATAGTTCTACTCTTTTTACACGATGTTCACTGGAAAGAGCACCTTATTGCTATCAGGGCTCAAAACCGTGCTTCTGACTTCATGATGGTCCTTCCGTGGTAGCCGGAGGCAATCGCATCAACGACATGGACCTAATGCGAGGTAGCTTGTGTCTGGCACTCAAGTGTTCACAATTCTGACAGTTCGGCTTATATCTGTATGAAATTGCTGACTCTATGAATGCTACAAATGAGACGACGTCGATTGACAATGACTTTGCTTTGAAAACAAAAGAAACGATACCGTTCAGGCTGACCAGCGAACGTCTATGTGTTACTCCCGCCTTCCAAGACCAAGTCATAGTCTCCTTCACCCCTAAAATGCAACTATTCAGACATCACGAATCCTCAACTCCTCACCAGAACCCCAAAGCAACAACACCAACAACCAGCGCATAAACCCACTTGTCAACCGTCAAATTCGCTCCAGCACCATAATAACACCCATTACTATTACACCGCCCGCCGCTCCCACTGCCCCATCCGCTGCCGCTGCCAAACCCCCACGCCGCGCTGCACTCCCCCGCGAACTCGACCAGATCCGTCCTCCCCAGCGGCGAGCACGTCGTCGTCGTCGTCGTGTCCCTGCTGTCAAGCGTGCCCTCGTCGGCGCTGCACGACAGCGCTGCGGTCCACTTGCCGGCCGTGCAGCGCTGGAACTTGTCGGCGAGGCAGTTCCACTGGCCCTCGTAGCCGACGCAGGTGGCGTCGGCGGACTGGTAGAGCGCGGAGATGTCGAGGGTTGTGTTGAGGGGGGATGGGTCTGGGGCGGCGGCGGTGAGGCGTAGGAGGAGGGTGAAGAAGAGGAGCAGGGTTAGGAGGGCGCTTTTGCGGCCGCAGTGCGGCTGGGGGGACATTTTTGTAAGAGTCAGGTGTGGTGTACACTCCTTTGCGTTTTGGTGGGTGTGATTGTTGAGATGAACCACGAAGTCGGGTCTCCAGGACTCGGTGCGAGAAAAGAGGAAGGGTGGGTGGTTCGTCTCATGCTGCGGACCAGCCCTACGAAACCTTTACAAGTCCTATATATTTTCCCGACGAGCTGCTTAGCTTGGCAGACCAGCTTCCGAACCAACGGGACCAGGCAAGACTATGATGGCATGATAGCTGAGACATGACATGAGTCTGCCATGTGCATGCGCCGTCCTCACTTAGACATGTGCTTTTCAAAAGTTTGCAGCTCATCAGTATTTCCTCGCGCCTGCCTCGATAAACCTCTCTTGGGATGAAGTTGTTCGGACGGGATATCCCAGCTGCTGCGCTGTCAGCTGTTACATATTGTCATGAACGTGTAGCCTTGTCATTGGGTCGTGAGGCGTAGCTCGCTCACCGAGGAGAGAGCGAATTCTGCAGCCGCGTGTGGCTAAGGTGGCAGGCGCAGGAAACACCATGCACGAGAGAAAATAAGCCGTAGTCGATTGCTAATAGCCTAGGTGCTTGTCCGACTTTGCGGTGTTAGCGGGTAGCCTAGCTTACAGAGACTGTTGTGAAAAAGCTATTCCTTGTGGCACGGATGGTCGGCACCATGGACTGAAGATTGCAGAACTCCATGATCCTGCAGGAACCCGACTAAGAGCACGATTGTGGATGGAAAGTGAATGAAACCTGGCAAGCAAATTGTTTTCTTTTGGTCATTTCAGGATGAACACATGTCAAGTCCCCCACGAACCGGTTCGTGAGTTGCGTGAGTTGGTTGAGTCGCCCAAGTCTCTAGCTGCGTTAGCCTCAACGCTACCAGCCCCCTTCGAACCTATCACAACTCCAATATCGCGAGTTGCAACAAGTAGACTTGACAACAAACAATTTATGCATATTCAAGGCTTGTCGAAAGAAATGAGCCTAAAGACTTGGCCGGATATATACGGAAGCAAATCCCTCGCGATCCACCGTCATCCCCCATTTTTCAGGCAAACACCGCGATATCCCCAACTTGCTACCAACCATGACATCAAGCTCGTGATTCCCAGCACCGCAACGCGTTCCCATGTGCCTGAGCCAGCGATATCGGGGACGTCCCTACTGGCTGAGTTGTCAGTCTGACCCCCTTCACATGCCTACCAAGACTCACCATCACACAGCACCCCCAAACTGCCCCCTCGCCGTCCTATCCACGCCATGTACCTGTTGGCGGGTCCACCCCGGCGGGGTTTTCGGCGTCTGCGGAGCGCGGCGCCGCTGCAGCCAGCGGGAGAGGAAGTAGCACCCGAAGCCGAAGAGGACGAAGGCGGCACAGATGGCGAGGGAGCCGGCGACGACGCCGGGCGGCGGGTCGGGCTTGGTGTTGGTGTTGGTGGTGGTGGTGGTGGTGGTGGGAGATGTGAGGTTGTCGTCGCGGCTGTGGGAGCTGTGTGGAAGGTTGTTGGTGTTGTCGTTGGGTTCCATGTCTGAAGGTGCGGTGTTGCTCGATGTGTGGAAGGATGAGGACGGCCCAGATGATTGAGACGGTACTGGTGGGCGGTGTTCTGGAAGAAGGACGTGACGGGAGACAAGGCTTTTATGGGCTTCCGTCGCTCGTGAGGTGCACGTTTTGGCCATGTGTTGGATGGCAGCCACTGTCGCGGGTTCGGGATGAGATTGCTTTGACGGGGATGAGTTGCCGTCTGGGTGAATCTCGCTTACATGTCGCGGGAGCGAAAGAGTGGTCTTTCATAGCGGGATGTTTTCAATGTCTCAATTCCATGGACTCGGAGGCGATAGCTCACTGACAGGCCTGAGTGAACAAATTGACGATCTGGGGAGGCGACTACATGCGGCGCACACTGGTATCGGGAAAGCGAGGTGTAAGTAATGATTTGTGATGTTTTATTTACATTCTATGTGATTAAACATTAGGAAACCCAATGATGACGGCGCGTTCCCAGCTCTTGGTCGGTGCTGATAAATTCCCTTTCATCACAGCACACGCATAGAAGGCGGCTTCGCCCTGGATATAACCATCATTTCTCAGGTCTCGTTAGTAGGTACGTGTGTCCCATAAAGACGTGTAATCTTTTCTCCATTTCGCGTCAAAATCAGTTACGCCGTGGCGCATGCATGCAGAAACATGGGGGCCGTCTGATGACCAGTCGTCGTCTATAATAAAAAAGGAAAATGGGGAAGAGGGCTTCATGATTGAAGCGCGGGAGTCGGTGTGGGCTCTCCGTCGGGGTACTTGCTGGTTGACCAGTAGCCGTCGTCGTAGCTGTGAGTCCAGTACCCGTCGTTGTAGGTGGTGGTGGATGCTGGGACGGGAGAAGGGGAGGTGGTTACGCTGACGATGCTGGTGAGCAAGGTTGACGGGAGGAGAGGCGTGGTCGTCTCTTGGGCCCAGGTGGTTGGGGCAGCAGTGTCATCGGGCTGGGTAGTAGTTACGATGCTCGTGCTGGTGGACGGGCTGGGTGTCCACGCAGGGGAGGATGAGGTGGTAGATGTTGATTCTGATGATGTCGAGTTGATGGACGGTGTTGGAGCAGGGGGTGGGATTTCCGCTGCCGATGTCGCGGGGGCTGACGTTGGGACGACCTGGGTCTCTGTCCACGGGGGAGGGGCAACAACGACGGGCGTGGAAGATGCAACTGGCGACGAAGAAACCTCGAGAGCGCTGCTGCTGGGGATGCTCGGTTGAGCGAAGGACGTCGTGGGTGAAGACGACGCAGGGGCCTCAGATGTGTAAGTGGACGGTGCAGCGGGAGGCGTAGAAGAGTCGACGGATGTAATCGGTGCCGGACTAGAGCTTGGTTCCACGGTGCTCGACAGTTCATAAGTTGTCGAGAAAGATGACGGTGATGGCTCAGGGGTGCTTGAGGTCGGCACGGATGGCTGGGGCGTACTTGTCGCCAAGTAAGATGACTGAGAGACCTCCGATGTTTGCGAGGGCGAGGGCTGAGAAGTGCTCGGCAAGACAGACGACGGCTGAGGGGTCTCTGATGAAAACGAGGGCTCGGCAGACGGCGAGGGAGCAGGTTCAGGAGTGCTGGATGAAGCTGACGATGGCTGAGGAGCTTCTGATGAAGGCAAAGGCTGGGAATCGTCTGATGACGAGACTGGTGGCTCGGAGGCAGCGGTGCTTGACGGGGGAGCAGCTGGTGGTGGTGTTGTTGGTGGTATTGATGTTGGCTCAGGGGCAGGCTTCTGGGTCGGGGTGATGGTCACAGTCGTCGGGGCGTCTGTCCCATCAACATTGACCACGATGATGGACGTGGTCGTTGTCGTCTGTACTGCAGACGAGATCTGAGTGGCGGGATCGCTGACACGCTCGGTGACGGTCACCTGGGCCGGTTCCCTGGTGACGGTGACCACATCAGGAGAGCCGGTACTGGGACTTCCCTCGACGTTGACGACGGAATATGACTTTGCTGGCTTATCTCGGGGATGAAGCAGGAAGTCGAGGACGGGGAAGGCGTTTGCTGTCGTGGATAGGGACAGGAGTAGGGTGAGGGAGGCAGGAGGATGCATCTTGATGAGGGATCAAGAGGCAGCAAACAGCCACTGCTGCTGCTGATCGCTGTTTGGAGTGCTGCTGCTGCTGCTCTGCTGGTTGAAGCTCTCAATTGGCAGATGCAGACAGACGGGAGGACGGGAACAGACAGATAGACAGGACGCACGGTGGATGGAGAAGCGGCTGCCGATCGATCACGGAAGAGGATCTGGCGTCAATGTATGACAGAAAACTGGAGAAGCAGAAGGGAAGGGGACAGGGCGGGAGAAGAAGCAAACATGGGAGCGGGAGCCATTGTGGTTTTACTGCGGTGCACTAGCAAACGCAGATGGCTGGAGACACTTGTCGGATGGTTGCTCACAGGGCCAGGGGCAAGAAAAAGGGACCACAAGCCAGGCGGGAAAAAAAAAGCTGGCGATGGAAATGTTGGTGGTTGGGAAGCAACTTTGGTGGTGGTGGTGGTGGTGGTGGTTTCTTGTTCCAAGGCGGTTTGGAGCGAATCCAGGGTCACCAGGGGTCATTCCACCAGTGCTGCTGGTTGGCCAGGGGTCTTTGTCCACTGTAGGCGGGGGTGGCCCGTGAAGCCACGCGCTGGCTGGGACGGAAGGTGGGAAGAGAGGCGCCACAGAGCCAGGCACAGGCTTGAGAAGATGGCGGCCACGGGGGGACATACAGGGGGCGAGCACGCAAGACAGCGCTGGCTGGATCGGTTAGTCTGCCGAGGCGGATGCGGGCTGGCCAATGAGAGGCGGCGGGAGACGGTTTCCCAGCCACCGCGTTCTCGAGGGATGCTGCTGCTCGGCTGAACAGGAGCGTCTAGGCCTTGGAAGAAGGCGGAATAACGTCCCACAAGTCAGGGGACGGCGTACGCAAGAGTGAAACGCGAACCTAGTGACGGCAGATGTGTAGTTGCAGTGGACTGGACTGACATTGCGAGCCTTGACATTTGAGAATGAAATTGGTGGATTCTCGAGGTGTTCCTGGATGATGACATAAACATCTCGATGTGGAGTGGGTGACATAAGCAGGACTTTGATTACATAAAGTATTGGTTTTAACTCGGGAATGACTCTCCTCCGACATTCAGGAACCGGCGGCGATGACCGGTGGCTGTGCTCAGAGCACCGCCGCAGCCAGCTGTGGCTTGCCCGTGCCCAGCGTCGCTTTCCAAACGAACATGTCGCCTCTCTGCTCTCTCATTCTCCTCGCTGCAATATTCTGGCCCACTCTCAGAACATCTGCAAGAAATCCTCCGTGCATTGACTGGCCCAAGCTTGCATCAGCGCATCGTTGAACGGTTCGTTGATCGTGCCTGACTTGCAACGTCGGTGCAGCACCTCGCAAGGCAGATTCAGCAACGGATGTGTTTGTCTTCTTCAGTCCTCCTCTAGTCTGTTCGCACCTGAAGATCGCCAAATAGCACAGCGCATCGCATCACTGCCATGATGATTCAACAACCATGCCTCACAGAGTCACAAACACGCGTATTCCACCACCAAAAACCAACCCGAAAGAAACGACAACGTTCTGGCTGTGCAACGCCTCTCCGCCAGATTACGCACGTCTGTGGCGCTTCAGCAGCTCGGCAGGGTTCGACAAGGGCGGGGTGGCTCGTGCGAGGAAACAATTGGTGATGTTTGTGGAGCGGGAGCTGCAGCCCAAGGCCGCGCCGAGAGCTCGGTTTGGTTTTCTCAATGACGTTGGGCCCTTTCACTGCTTTTTTGTTAGGCGCGTGCCTACTAAGCCACCCTCCACCACCACTGGGCGCTACCAAGCTACCTCGTCATCCATGTCTCTCTCTAAAATGGCCCAATAATGCTGCCTGATGAAGCTTACTCGACGGACCCTCACCTCATCGTCTAATCCCCGTAAGGCGCTGCTTCCTTTCGAGCCGTTTCCTTCCTCGTCGAGTTTTGATTCAGGGCCGGACCAACAGGAGAGAGCGGACCCCGTCTCGTGGAAGGAGTGGAAGCGGGAAGGAAGCCTTTCCAAGTCCCAACATCCCAACACGCAATTACTATTACCATTTAGGCACGGGTAGCTTACCTGACCATACCTTACTTTACCTTATTCACAGCCACGCCGGGTCCGTCGCCTTCGCCTTCGCCTCGCATCCTGCAGACGGACGGCCCAAGACCTTAAATAAAGCCGCCCAGCATCCCAAGAGCTTGCCAAAGCCGTGTTTCCGATTCCTTTACACACCTCACATATCCTCCGCCTACGAACACTCGCAGCTTTTCTGTGCCCCGCAGTCATCACCACTACCCCGCCCTACGTGACGCAACTTTCCCGCATTCCAGCAGCATTCCACCTGCCGATTCTCCCGACATCGCCAATTCGGCTCTCGTGAACTCTACGCGTCGCATCGAAATATCCATGTCCTATCCAGGCCAGCACGGCTACGGCGCCCGTAAGTTCCATCCTTCCGCCATTTTCCTCAGCGATTGCCTAACCACCAGACCAGAGCCGCACGGCGGGGGCTACGGCCAGTACCCTCCCCAGGGAGGTTACGGCGGCTACCCTCCTCAGGGCGGCCAATATCCTCCCCCTCAGCAGGGCGGCTACTACCAACAACCACCTCCCGGCCAATATCCTCCTCAAGGTGGCCACTACCCCCCTCAGGGCCCTCCGCCGGGCCAGTATCCTCCACAGGGCGGATACCCGCCTCAAGGCGGCGGCTACGGCGCACCGCCCCCGATCCCCCCGTCACCCTACGGCGCACCCCCCGGCCCGCCCCCGAACCAGTCCTACGGCGCTCCCCCGCCTCAGAACTACGGGCCCCCGACGCCCGCCTCCATCGGCTACGGCCCGCCGCAGATCATCAACTGGGACGCTACGCCCGACGCGACGGCCGCCCGCAACGCCATGAAGGGCTTCGGCACCGACGAGAAGACGCTCATCCGCTGCCTCGCCACCAAGGACCCCCTGCAGATCCTGGCCATCAGGGACGCCTTCCAGCGGAACTTCCGGCGCGACCTCGAGACGGACATCAAGAAGGAGACGAGCAGCTGGTTCCAGAAGGGCATGGTGTCCGTCGCGCGCGGCCCGCTGCGCTCCGACGTCTACAACCTGTTCGAGGCCATGGACGGGCTCGGCACCAAGGAGAGCGTGCTCAACGACGTGCTGCTCGGCCGCTCAAACGCCGACATGCAGGCCATCAAGAGCGCGTACCAGCAGACCTTCAAGCGCCGCCTCGAGGACGACGTCAAGGGCGACCTGAGCATGAAGACGGAGAGGCATTTCCTCATTGTACTCGGTGCCAACCGCGCGGAGGACTCTGCGCCGGTGATTCCCCAGCAGGTCGACCAGGACGTCATGGACCTGTACCGCGCCACCGAGGGCAAGATCGGCACGGACGAGATGCTGGTGTGCAGCATCCTCAGCACGCGCAACGATAACCAGATCCGCGCCATCAACCAGGCGTACGAGCAAAAGTTCAGGAGGAAACTGGAGGACGTCATCAAGAAGGTAAGTCCACACAACCCCCACCCCAGTTTGTGTTTTTTATCAGCGAAATCCTAATGCTGACCAGGACGAACAGGAGTTTTCGGGCCATATGGAGGACGCGCTCCTCTTCCAGCTCCGCCACGCCGTCGACAAGTACATGCACGCGGCCAAGCTCCTCGAGGACTCGATGGCCGGCCTCGGCACCAAGGACCACCTGCTCGTCGCGCGCGTCGTCCGTTTTCACTGGGACAAGAACTTCCTGGCCAATGTCAAGGGGGCGTACCAGGCCAAGTACAACCGCAGCCTGGCGAGCAGGATCAAGGGCGAGACGAGCGGCGACTACCAGCGCCTCATGCTGGCGTGTATTGGCGAGCAGATCTAAGTGCGTGCGTGGCGTGTGTGACGACTGGATACGGCTGATACCCCCGGGAATGTATGGATGAAATGACCTGGCATGAGACTGGGATTGGATAGGATTATTAGGGAACGCCTGTACAGACGGTCGTTTGATGAATGGGCTTGGTTTATGGCTTTACGGGACGTCTGGGTATGGCCAGTATGTTTACAATAGCTATTTCCGTAATGACGATGCTGGACTTGGTCCAGAACAATTCTTCGCATTTACTGTGAGCCATGAACTTCTGTTTCTCCGGTGCAGCGACAAGATCCCAAAGACAGGAGGGTCAATGTGAAAGCAGTGCTAAGCAGCCAGGTCACTGACGCGCAACCGGAGAAGGCTAATTTTGCCTGGATGGCATGTACGACACTTCGAATAGCACACCAAATTGTGGTCTTTATTAAGCTCTGCGAATATACGTCTAAAAATACAGACTTTGAAGGCGTGACCATTTCTGGAGACATTGACGTGGGAAACCATTTTGATTGGGTGCATTGCTCGCTTCTTCCACAGGTCTCCCTGCACTTCTCCAATAGAGCCATCTGTGGATTACATAAATGATAAAAGGTTTATATATGCAGGCCCGTGCAGCCTTAGGCCCGCGCCTGCCGACTTGCTTATAGCGCCTGCCCTTTGCTGGACGCTCTATAACGCCCCGCTTTTCTATAACATTTGACGCTAATAAGTTTTTTCTAATTAGCAAGAGCCCCCCCCCTCTTGTAGCGCTCCTAACTTGGCCTTCTTCACCACTTCGACTGGACCCCCCCCTTCCTTGCCCGCGCCACCCACTCAACGCGACGTGCTTCTCACGACGATCTTCTTCGCAGTGGCAGACGTTGATTGATACCGCGTACAACGTCAATTGCGACGCGTCAACTCGTGATAATTCTTTTGCTGCGTCTGCACAATCAAGTGCAATCAGTCCTCGACCTGTGATCATCCCGCAGCGAGTACTTCAGTTCGGACATCAAACGCACCTCGATCTCGTGTCAGTCACGTGGTACCACCACCAGGACCTACATCACCAGCTTCACCTCCAACTCAGAAGACAACCAGCCTTGGCCAGTCCACCGCCAATGGCCTCGACCATGGCGCAGAGCCCGCAGCTCACCGCCGGGGGGCAGCTGCCTCAATACGCCCCGCAACAGAACGGCTCTCGTCCTGGGAGCGCAGCATCACACACCCAGAACCGTGCCGGCGCATCCTCAAATTCACCACCCGCCTTCCCGTATGCGCCGCAGCAGCAGCCGTCTGCTCCAACACCACCGCCGCCTGCGCCAAAGCAAACGCCGGTCCCTGTCCCGGTGCCTGGACAGCCGGCGGTGAATGGGACTCCGGCGGCGGCTGGAGAGCCGCCCAAGATCTCGTCTGACGTGCCCAAACCTGTGCCGGCGTCGGCCTCTCCTGCCTTGAGCAACGGCCAGACGCCATCCTCGGAGGAGATTGCAAAGTCGCAGAAGTTCTCGGAGGACTACACGAAGCTGTGCACGCTGATTGCCGAGTGTGACGAAGATGCAGTCCGCCGAGCGGTTAGAGACAACTTTGAGAAGTGTCTCCTGGGCTCCCACTACCACATGGCATTCATCGTATGTATACCATCGATCCTTCGATCCCTTCTACTTTTTTGGCAACATGCTGACAATACCCAGATGAACGTCGCCATGCACCGTGCAGACGGTGGCATCTTGAAAAGAGCAATCAGAGACTTCGGCCAACGCATAGTCTCAGAAGGAAAGGCCGACCTGGTCGGCTGGTTGAAGCCGGCAGATTTGGACGAGCTGGCGGACAACATCCTCAGCAAGGCCAGCGACCAGTTCCTCGACAAGGCCCTCGTTACGCGGCTGCCCAAGATCGAAGCCCGGCGCCTCGTTAATGCCCTGGCCCGGGCGAATCGCCTGGGGTACGACGCCAACGACATTGTCGAGAACGAGCACGTTATCCCTACCGCTGCTGCCCAGAGCTCGATGCAAAGACCACCCGCACCAGGCCCGCCTCTGCCTCCACCGCCGGCGGCGGCAGCGGCTCGGCCGGTTGGTTTCCATCAGCCCATGACGCCGGCATCCATTCAAGCGGAGGCACCACCCCCACACAGGCTGAATCCCATGAATGTGGTTGTACCCAAGGCGCCCCAGAATATGGACAGGCCGGAGTGTACCTTCTGCCATCGCATCTTTGGCAACGTTGAATCATGGACTCATGTACGTTCCCTGCTCAGTTGATATCCCAGAGCATCGCTAACTGTCTACAGCATGTCAAGAAGAGGCTGTGTCTGAGACCACTTGTTGCCCTCGGCAACAGCGACCACCTTCTCCTCTGCCCTCATTGCGGCCAGTCGTTCAACGGACACGCTGGATTGCAGTATCATATGATGAACAAGGTCTGCGGCGACTTTGGCCCGGTGTCCAAGGAGATGGTCCAGAATGTCAAGACCATCCCTGGAGCTGCTGCCTCGTCCTACTCCGCTCCCGGGGCTCCAGGAATGGTCTCGAAGAAGCGCCCACGTGTTGAATACTACACCGCCTCCCAAAGTCAAAGTCCAGCACCTAGTCAAGTTCCCCAGGTGCAGGTGCAGACTCCCCAGCACCAGTCCATGTCCCAAGTCCCGACACCGACGCCCCAGTCATCGTTCCCCAACAACAACCAACCGGCTCCTCTCGGGACCCCCCGTGCGAAAGATATGGCCCATCTCACGGGGCCCCAGATCGAAGCTCTTCTCTCGGAGCTGAGGCGAGCTGAAGAGGACTTCAAGTTCAAGATCGCCGATGCGAAGAAGCTCGGCCTGACGGAGGAGGACACCACCAAGAAGCTCACAAGCTTGCGCAACTCCTTCGCTTGCAAGCAGAGCACCATCCGCAAGAAGTACGGCATCAAGCTTCGGGAGCGTCGCGGCCGCGCCGAGATGGAAGCCGAGCGGGACATGATGGGGTACGGCTCAACTCCCCGCATGGGAACCCCGGCATCCTCCGACAAACACGCGGACAAGCGCGCGCGCGTCAACGGCGCTGGAGACGCGAGCGTCACACAGTCGCAGGAGCCGCCCTCGCAGAGCACGCCGATCAAGCAGGTTGCCGTGGCCGATATAGGCGGCGGGCTGACGGGCTCGAACGCGACGGCGGCGACAGAGGATCCGACGATGGCGTCGCAGCCGCCGCGGTCATCGCAGCCGACGTCGTCGTTCCAGCAGGGGGGTTATCGCGTGCAGACGTACGAGCCCGCCAAGAAGACATCGCCGACGAAGGTACCAGGCGGGTCTATGACGGCGCAGGAGCTCCTGCGGCAGATGAACGGTCCTATTGAGATCGATAGCAGCAGCAGTAGCTCTAAGAGTGAGTCATCAGATTCGGACTCGGACTCTGGCACGGAAGAGGATGGGGACGGCCCGGGGCTCAAGGCTGAGCAGCGATGATTTGATTCCAAGCACGGCGTGCGGTGATGCGAGGGGTTGGGTTATTCACATGATGGAGCAGGGGCGTTTTTATTTTTCCAACCGAGCTGTTGGCGTCGGGATGCATCTGTTTTCTTGCCGGGTTGGCGGCGGCGTTTATGCATTCGACAAAGCATTGAGCATTGGGAGGATCAGTTATCAGGGGTTTCTTTTTCGATTTTTTATTATCATCCATCATCCATCTTGCAGGTTTGCAGGTTTGCACTTTTTACCCGGACGTCCCCAACAGAAGGAGGTCCCTGCGAGTTGCGCGGCGGTGGTCTGGACCCTTAGCATAGCGATATACTTTTTGCAGAGCAGGACAAAAACAAGATTAGAAGAGGCCTATTGTTTGCGCATGCGAGGGTGATGTGTGATCGTCAGTGATGCAGGGTCGGCATGTTTATGGGGGTGGGTTGGAGTTGCATGAGCTCTGATCGCCCCTCCTTCGCCGGACGTCGGAGGTAGCCTTGCGTTTGACATGCCGAAATGATGGGAGTTGACATGTGGTTCTTTTTATCCTCCGATGATCCAGAGCCGATTGGAAGCTGTTTTGAGGGAATGGAATTTATCTTTCTGGAATCATCGTCGGCGAGCGTTGGGAAATTGGAATCCTTGAGCCTAAATCTGAGCCTAAGATCGGAGAATTCTTTTTGATTTGATCTGATGGACGGAGCAATGACACATACAGCAGAGAGAGAGAGAGCGGGAGGCACGGATAAGGAATAACACAAAAGCACGGATAGAGAGAGGAGTAAGATGGTTTGGATGTGTAAATGTCAGTTAGCTGGGTCTGCGCACGATCGGACGGTGCTGAGCAGGGGTGGTTTCAGTGTCAGTTCAACCGCGCGGAGGGTGGTGGTGGCTTGTGCCCGGCCAGCAAAGCCTGTGTGCTATTTGCATTGTCTAGTCCGGCGGATAGGAGGGAGGGAGATTTGATATGTGGCACTGGCATTGGCAGTGGCACTGGCGGGTGACAGAGGTGCATTAACTTGAGTGGACGGACGTTGAAGTTGAGAGCATGAGTGAACGGTGATGTTTTCATGTCGGAGGGGATCAATGGCCGTAAGTTCCAGGCTTTGGAATGTATGGAACGGGGGGGTTTTGGCAGGCAGAATGTAGGACAATCAAGAACGATGCCGTGGATCAGGGAGCTTGGGGAGATTTTGTGCAGAGGGGGAGGTGATGTGATGTGATGCTTATGTGAACCCCGCGCCAGAGGGAACATCCCGGGGAGGGTGTCCCGCGTGCCGTGCGTGCGTGCTTGACGGGGGGTCTGAGTGGTTGGTGCCCCTGGCGGGGAGCGAGCCGTGCATTTTGGGCACCTAATACTCTCTGGCGGCAGCAGGCAGAGCTTGGTCGTGTGGCTTGATCTGATGGAAAGGTAAAATATGGCGAGGGGGTCTGATCATGAGGGAATAACTCAATGGGACTGGTTGGTTGTGGTGGATGTGACATTGAGAAAGGAGATAATAGGACCGGGAAAAGAAGAAGAAGAAGAAGCTTTCGAGCAGAAGAGTTGGTGGCGTTTTGGCGTTTAGTGTTCTGGCGGGAGCAGTCAATGTGAAACGGAGGAACCGGTCCCTGGGTCATTTTACATCGCACTGCTTTCGATGCCGTGATGGCGGGATTAGAGGGGCTGAGGACGGTTCGAGGTTTGTTGAAAATTTGTGGAGAGCCGGCGGTGTTGAGATGGTTGGGTGTCCTGGCTCGTGGAACGATGAAACATATTTGGGCATATTCATTTCATTCAGTAGTTTTGAGTGGTGGAACATGAGATGTGTATTCTCACAGGAGCTGTTTGTTTGGCCATGAATGACTTTTGAGCAGTGAAGCGAGAGGGAGAAACGCCGCAGAGAACAAGATTGACTGGATGAGAGTGAGAGAGAGGCGCACAGAGGGGCCTAGGTCCCGGGTGTCTAGACCCAACGTCCGCCGGAGCGGTCGTGGGCCAATGAAGCATCCGGGTGGAGTGGCGTCGCGTCCGGGCTACGGGCGGGAGATTTGCAATGGTACGGTACCTTACCTACCGTTCCTTGGAGCTGCGTGTGTGCGTGTGTGTGTGTCTTGACCCTGCAGGTTGCAGGTTTGAATGTATGCTGTCTGTCTGTCACCTGGACTTGTTTGCTGCAGTTCAGTTCGCACTCTCTTAGGGCCTGGCCTGTTGTTGGTGCAGTGTGACTGGTGAATTGTTTGACTGCGGCATGCAGTATGCAGTCCAGTCTGCAGCGCGTAGGCAGGACAAGTTAGGTAGCTTCCCTCCTGCAGGTCCGTAGATGCCAAGAACAGGGCATCATGTTCAAGGGGCGGGCGGGCTGTCAATGAAGCGATGGCGTCGTCTGAAGCTGAGACCTCACTCACTCACTCGCTCGCCCATTCTGAAGTATCTGTCTCTCTCTCGCTCTTCCGCCCCCACGGACCCTATCATCCTGCCCTCCTGCAGTGGGCAGCCGTCTTGCCCTGTGTCTCGACTGTCAACAGGACCGCGGATGTTGCAGCAGGAACCACGGCAGGACGCGAACCCATTGGCTGCGGAGGAAATGTGGGAGGAGAGGTAAAATCCTGATGCAGCGGTACCCAGAACCCGCCACCCCTTCCCCTCTCGTCTCCGGGGGGCGGGCGGGCGGTAGTTTCCATGGTTTTTGTTCCTGGTGATCTCGGCCGTCGATGTTTAGTGTTGCAGACGAAGGGCACATGTGGATATTGGATTGCACCCTTAGCACCGATCTAATAAGCCTGTGGTGTTGCTTTTGCTGGCGCCCCCCCTCTCCCCTTCGAGTCTGAGAGCCCTTGAGGAATTTTGTTTCTTTTTTTTTTCCTGTTTCTTCTTGTTCTTTTGAAGAAGTGTTCTCTTTTTGGGGGGGAAGTTTGTCTTCCTTCATTCTCTTCTTTGGTGGTGTTGCTCGTTTTCCGACATCGCGAGCCTTTGGGGATCTTGTAAGTCGCAGCCAGCCTGTGCTTATCCACCCGTCCATCCACGAAACACACACGCGAACCGAACCTGTGACGTATTACACGGTTCAAAAAAGACACGACGTCCCGATATAGAGCCAGCCTCAGAATATCGGTTATATTTCTTCAAAGCATATCATCACACCGAGGGTTGGCAAGGTTATCATACCTTGTGTGATCCATACGCCGGACGGCACCCAACCGTCGCCGAACGCGAACACGACCGCATATCTATATCCCACGAAGACGGAAAGCCAGAGACTGTGGCGGATCAGTCGATATAGCATCAAGCTTTTTCGACATTTCCGAAATCGACAGACAAGCGCGCATGTCAGGCAAGGGTCTTCCCGTCGAGCCAACTATCACAATCCCCCGAACCGAGAATCCGCGCCCAACCGGCGTCCGTCACGAGGCACGGCGGTCCTTCAGTCGAGAGGGAAAAGAACACGCGACAAGTTGCGACGAAACGGACCCCGTAAGACGAATCTCGACAGATTCATGCACGCGCGTGTGGAGTCCTTTGTCTACTCACAAGAGGGAAAGAAGAATACGGAAGGCATCGGGGGCCGCTAGAACACACGTGCGAAGGGCGATAAGCATATCCCGTCTTCCAACCAACCAACCCAACCCCGCCCAGGGAGATCCCCCTCGGGAGAAGATCCGAAACATCAGACTGAACAACTTGTAACCGCGTTTCTCAAGCAAAAAAAAGAGGCGCGCCCAAACAGCAGAGCAGACAAAGCTGGTACGGGCAGGGCCCCCCGAAGGCGTGTCAGAGGCGAAGAAGGGACGAGCGGACGGCGGGCTGTCATTTGATTTTGAAGTGTGCCGTGGCCCGAGGGTAGGTGTTTCCCGTGTGTCTGAGGGTCTTTTCTGGCTTCTTTGATCTGATGTTTGCTCTGTGAGGGATAGGGAAGGCATTTATTTAGTTCGGCCTGCGCCGGTGCTTTTTTGCTTTGTGTGTTTCTTTCGAAGACGACTCGGGGAGGGTTGGTCGACATCCCGTCACGACAATCACGACAACGATCCAACGCGACGCAACGCAACGCAAGGAGTCGCATTCATCAAAGCCACGCCACATCCCCTTCGTTATCGGCCTCGGAAGCGCAAATCAGCGAGAAAAGAGACAGGCAGAGAGTCAGTTGGCTAATTACCGGGACGGTGATATCGGGCAGGGAAATTAAGAGGTGGTTTTAGCGAGACGGAGCAGGCAAATCATCTGCCTGATCGACGGGTCGCTTGTCGAGGGTTCCGGGTGCTTGTTGCTGTTCAGGCACTATAGAGTACCTGAGAGGTGGGCAATGTGGGACCGTTATCCGGCGAGGCCAGCAACGGTCGGGGTTGGCGGTGGTGTTGGCGCCACGGGACAGGGGTCCAGGGGCGCGCGGTCAGGTCACAGTGGAGGGGCGGCGGCGACGGGGGCGGGGCAGGGTGCTATAACGGGCCTGCAATTAGTGGAAGGAGCTGCGATGGGGCCTGGGACGAGTTCGGGTTCGACACCTTCCATGAGCAGCCGCCGCAACACGGGGACCACCACCACCACCAGCCATGGATACGGACCAGGGAGTGGAAGGCCTGGCTCGTCTTCTCAAAAGAAGTTGACGCCGCCGCCGCAGTTGCACGAGAGGGTTCTGCTCAAAGGACAGCACTACCGCCAGTCCCAGCTGCAACCTCAGCTTCAGCCTCAATCACTGTCTGGTGATCGTGTAGCATCATCGTCACTGCCTTCGTCTCGAGAGGCACAAGCACACGCTGCGCCACACCACGACAGCAACCTGCAGCAGCACCTCAATAATCAACGCCACCAACCGCAACAGACGCAGCATCTCCGGGTGCATCTGCGAGGGGGACAGGAAGGACAAGGCGGCGTCAGCACCGAAAGAGGAGGCGCCGGAGGAAATAGAGGAGGACCTCGAGGAGCTCCGCCGAGGAACTTTCCCTACAACAACTCGAACCGCGACCCGGCCCTTGGTGGCTTCAACTCGTCGACGAACCAGCAAAAGTTCTGGCCCGAAGACCTGCGCAACCCCCGAGGCGGACTAGGCATCGACCACAACCTGCCCTCGCCGCCGACTCCCAAGTTCGAGGTGAAGCGTGGATTTGGACAGAGGACCGACACCCCATCTGGAGAGTGAGTGCTTTTTCTTTTCTGCGATTTGTGTTGCGTGTCGTGATGTTGTAGGAGTATGAAATCCATGGTGGTGAAAGAGTGTCCAAGAGGAGAAATCGAGACGCGACGTCAAGCAACACGCGAAATGCAAAAGAGGAAGCAGCAACGGCAACCACATCGACCGGGTCGCTCCTTCTCGATTGCAAGACAGAGGTCCCCACCTTCCACGTCTTCGCCCAAGTTCAAGCTCAAGCTCCAAACCCGGAAGCATTCACCAGACAGCAACAGAGTATCGGCCTCTGCAGCTTCCGGCGCGTCACGTCTCCAATCTCCAACGCGAAAACGACGGCGACGACGAGAATGGCGACCGCAACCTCGTCGTCGCGTCTCCTTCTCGCCCATCGCGACTTCTCCCGCAATCTCGACACCATTTCCTCTTCCTTCTCCTGCGGCAGCTTCTCCTCTCTACAAGCAGCACTGGCTAACGTTCCTCGCTCCCGCAGCAATCTCGACGAACTGCTTCCTCCCCCGAGTCTCGCTCGCATCGAAAACGACGGCAGCGACCCCTCCGGCTCCTGGCGACCTGCTTCATCCATCTACTCGCTCAACCGCGACTCCTACGCCTCCCCCGTCACGCCCAACTTCGCAAACGTGGCTGCCCGTAATACCTATTCCTCCGCCGTCGCGGACATTTCTCCCCCGAGCTCTCCTGACTTGGACGCTCGTGGTGACGAGTGAGTCTAATCTTCGTCCGACACAATCCTTGACTCTAGCTTTTCTTGTTTCTCCCCCACGTGGGTTTTGGATAGTGAATCAGCACCAGCCCGGGACTAACCATGTGTCTCTACTTCAGAACCTCCGCCCAGGACCGAAGTGTCTCTCCCATAGATGACTCGCCCAACATGTCGCAACTCGCTCTCGAAGACCAGCATACGGGCCAGCAGCCCACGCCCCCAAAGAGCAACATCCCCATGATGCGTCGCGAGCGCAGAAAGAACCAGGACGCCGCAGCCCACACCCTGCGGGAGACCAAATCCCAGCAGCGCCTGCGGATCCAGCGCGAGACCAAGTGGGATGACATGACGGGCGAACCCACGTACCTCGACACGGGCCGTGCGGGCCAGGTCAGACCACAGGAGTACGCCCAGGGACTCACCCATCCGACGCCCTTTGGCAAGTCACCCGCCGCCATGAGGGCCATGCAGAATGCCCCCCAGGCACAGCAGACCTTCACCGATCGCCTGCGCAGGCTGCGGCCCGTCGGCGCCGGGAACCCAAAGGACCATCCAAAGGACCAGCAGCAGCAGCAGCAGCAGCAGCAGCAGCAGCCAGACGAACGTCCATCTGCTACTGCAACTGCGCCCGTGTCCATCGACGAGCGTCCGCCCTGGCGCGGCGCTCATCAAAGCGGACGAACTGCAATCGTCAACCCAGTTCGCGACACGGAGCCCAAGGAGCCTCTCAGCATCCCGCGCAGGAGCAGCAGGCGCATCGCCGTTGGGCCTCGGCTGCCCATCGCCGGCGTCTCTTCACCACTCTCCCCTGTCAGCCCCTCTGGATCTGAAACGTCGCCGCGGTCGAGGACGCCCACCGTCAGAACTGTGCTCAACGCCCCCCGCCAGCTTACTGCAGGCACCAACGCGCCCTCCCCCTCGGCCACTCGAACCCCTCCGCCCGCTCAGTCCTCCTATCCCAGCCCGCCCAACTCGGCCAGTGCTGGCGTCCAGTCACCCGTACTTGCGACGCCCGAAGCCACTAGCAGTCCGCCTGTCACGACCCGAAAGCCTGCACCCCTGCCGGGCCTGCCCGCTGCCCCTAATGCACATCTCGGCCAAGACAAGGCCATTCGACGGAAGCCTCCTCCTGCCAACTCGCAAGCGCTTCACGCACCGCAGCCGTCATACTCCTCGAGCGTCTACTCTGAGGCCACCACCGTCCCGCCCGTCAGCACCCACGAGCGATCGCCGCCTCGCGCACCGAGATCACCCGGTGAAGCCCTCAAGGCCAACGAGCCTTGGGACCAGCCCCCGTCGCGGTTCAGCGTCACCACCTATGCCACTTCCGCGGCGGACCAAACCCCTCGTCAGTCGACAGATACCGCGCCTCCGCCGGTCCCCGCGCTCCCTTCGCCCCAGCAGCAGAACGGTGTCATGAACCGCAAGCGTCCGGCTGTTCTTGGATCCACGAGCAACGCCATCAACGCCGACAAGCCTTTCGTTATTTCCATGTCCTCGCCTTACATGTCCAGCGCCTTCCCCGATAACGACCTGCCCGCTCCTGCACGATCAGAACTCCCCAGCCAGAAGCAGCCGATACCGCGCGCTAGCAACGCAAGTATGTACAGCACGTCCAGTCGACCCGACTCGGTTTGGTCCACGAGCAAGGCCCTTCCGCCGCCGCCAACCGAGACCTCCATGGTCAACGATCGTGTAGGCTACCTCAACGCCCGTCTCGAGTCACTCGGCAACCGCCGCATCAACATCAACCAAGCCATCAAGCAGATGACGGAGCTGATGCCGACCGACAGCATCCTGGCCAGCGAAGCCGTGCTACGCAAGCGCGAGGCGGAGAAGCGCAAGGTCGAGGCCCTCAAGGTTGAGCTGGCAGAGGTCCAGCGTGAGGAGTACGAAATAGGCCTCAAGCTTCATCGCGCCTACAAGAGGATGGATCGTAATGCGGAGTACGAGCCGACGACGCTCTGGGTGAGGAGGGTTACTGGCTGATCCTAGCCCGTCAGGGTGCGCTGCGATTTGGGCAGTGTTGCTGTCATCATAATGGCCGTTCGGATGAGGAGAGGGACTTGTTGCGGTTCGGGTTGCGAAAGCAGACGCGGAAGCGTTTCAGAGAAGTTTGCGCCGGCGACAGCTGGTTATTTGGCTTGAGCACGGAGTTTACGGACCCCTACCCTGAGCTTTTTACTCTGGGCAGGTTGAGATGAGTCAAGGTTGGTATGAATTGGGTTTGCGCGAACCCCTTTTTCTGAGGGCGTGTGCTTTTTTTGCTTGTTGCTGTGTTTGATACCTAACTTTTCTTTTTTCCACGTCTTTTGCCTTGCTACCGACAAGACTCACACTTGTAGAAACAGAAATTCTAGAAGAATTTTATTCCCAGTGATTTGTTGGTCCTTTTCAGTGAGGATTCCTTCCCCGGTTTTTTATAATGGCCCGATGTTTTGAAACAGTGACATGTCCCGGGTAGCGTGTTCCGCATGAAGCTTGCCGAGGAAAAAAAACATTGGGGCTCAAAGAGGTTGGGATGCTATTTTGGTGCCAAGGTGTTTTGCCGCGTGGGGTTTGGGGGAGTGAGGCTGGGATGAACTACGGAGATGGGCAGGCTTTGGAGAGTCAAAGATTGTTTATGATGACGAGAGTTTGTGGTTTACTTTTTGAGGCTGAGGGTAGGTTGCATTCGGCTGGTGACGTGACCTCGCGGCGCTGTGGGAATTGTGCATGAATGAGTAACCGGTGAGATGAATTGGAGATGAATGGGAAGGGTTTTCTGGGTACAGAGGATTACTATGGTGCATGGCTTCCGAGGTCTCGGTGAGGGAGACATCGTACGACTCGGGTACTGAACCCAACCGTCTGGAGTTAAGTAGAATTGAGGCATAGGCAATTGGTCCTTGTAGACCACCTTTTGCCGCCTAAGTAAGACGCCTTGGAATGTTAGTGTTCCCACCGGCAAAACCTAAGAGGAGAGGACGTCGACATTTAGATTTGTGGCGGGGGCAACGTGACTTGACAAGCTGGTTTGAGATATTAGGCAAATGGCTGGGATGCCAACATGATGGCCACAAGAGCAGGTGTTGTATTGCCAAACTGTAATTCATTTGGTATTATACAGAGAAAAGGGAAGCAATTTGGCGGACTGTTTTATTACAGAAACATATGAATTTGGCGAGAAAGCCTGAGTTGTTGTTGGCCATCAAGGTGAACCCGCCGTGCCTTCAACAGATTCTAAGTGGTCGTGGAAACGCCACGATGTGAACGATCCATGAACTTAAACCCGGCTGGTCTTAAAAGGGATGAACCTCATTTCTTTACTAGAGTTGAAAAGTCTAACTCTTGTTTCCCTGGGTCGACAACCACTTTGCGAATACTTTACAGCATTTCAAAGTCAGAATGAATCAACTTCACGATATTCACACAGAACCAGCCATGGCAGATGTCCAACTCCCCGACACGGAACCCACATGCCTCATGAGCCTCCCTCCCGAGATGCTCAACGAGATCGCGGACCACATGGAGCTGCACGATCGCTACCTCTTCTCCGAAACCTGCAGACGCGCTCGGTGGCTGTTCGGAATGGACAAGGCCGCCTGGGCCCGCGTCTTTCACGCGCCAGACCTGCGCGATAGACCTCGGATCGAGGCCTTCCTCGCCGGCGTCGCCTTCGTGCGGCCGCACCACTGGCTCTGCATAGGCTGCGGCCGGCTGCACCGCGTGGCCGGAGATCCGCCGCCGCGCCGGAGGACCCGGCGCTGCGACCGGTCCGTGCCGCTCTACCCGCGCCGGCCGGGGCTGGGGTTGAAGATTTCGCACGTCGAGAGCGCGCTGAAGATGGCGCGGATGCTACAGGTTGGAGCGGCGGGCGCGGACGAGGTGGGCGAGCGCCTGGGCAACCTTTTGACGGGCGTCGAGGAGAAGCCTGTAGTGGACAGTACGAAGGAGCTGCAGTACCGCAAGGTCGGGGTGGAGTCGACGCCCAAGATCGTGTCGGGGATGTTCATTCTGCACACCAGGATGGAGTTCATAGGGCCTCGGGGTCGGGGGGCAGCGAAGTTGGCACACTTTAAACCCTTCCGGCTCTGCGAGCACCTGTGCAGTATTAGCAACGGCGGGAATGACTTGGCCACTGGCCTCAAGAACGCGTTCGGGAGGAGACGCACCGAGAAGACGGGCAGCTGCGGCCGCTGCGGGATCGATTATGCGATCATTGCGAACCACGGGGGCTTTGTGGTTCAGTCGTGGCAGAATCTGGGACGCTATGACTGTCCGGACGATGCGGTGCCCAAATCTTTTTTTGAATTTCCACTATACGTAGCTGTGAACGACCGGATTTGGAACTCTCCGATGAAGGGCGTCGGGCTCCAGGCAGGCCAGCGGCAATATATTCACGTGGCTGGTGACGTACGGGAGGCGTATAAGACAGGGTAGAGAGGAGATTGTTGAGGGGTTGCTTCTCTTGTAACCGTAGGCCCCCTAGTGTCGAGGGAGTAGAGATTCTGTAATGTGACTGACTCTTTGTCAAGACCTGCACAGCCTGTGGTTGGCTTTCACTGTCCCTTCAGGCCCTGTTGCATGGAATTCTCGCTTGAATGGGAGTCCCTGGCGATGGGGTCTAGTGTCTAGGTTGCTGTCGTAGCAGAACCTCAGATAATCATACAGAGTGATATGCGCAAAGGTCCTAATCTATCAAAAGAGACCTAACGGGTTCTATGGCCTGGAGGGATGTCTTGATCTCTGATCGAGCGTTCTTTTGTATCGTCAGTTGAGGTGCAACAGAGTTATATCTCATGATCAAACATCAGGCATGGTCAGTCGGCAGACTTTTAGACGTATATAGCCTGACGTATCTAGCCTTTATGAATTCGAGAACTGTTACGTCTGACTCTCTTGAAGTCGTTCGGTTAATTCCTCATCATTGATGCCCCCCTCACTTGGTCTCCAGACTCAAAAATAACTTCTAAAATTGTTGTCTACAATGAAGCTATGACAGCTAACTCACGCGCGAAAGCCCCAAGACGACCTCACGAAACTCAGAAACAACGTTAGCTATGGATCGTGTATCGATCAAGAATTCACGGCACATATTTCCCAAATCATTTGTATAGGTATGCACTGCGCTTGACTCTTGCTGCAGAACCATGTCTACAAAGCTTTAATTGTTCCGAGTTATAGTTGCCGGTGGCCGGACACTCAACATCACAGGGACTTTGACTTAGCGGTTGAAATGTGATCACCCACTTATGACGCGCAGAATCATGAGGTGGCTTGGTGACCTGGAGAAGTTTGGAGCTGAAAATAGTGAAGGCCTGAAGGAGACGTAAATGATAGAAATCAGTAAGCTAATGTATCATTTGTATTCCAGCTTGAGGCATTGCGGCCTCGGTTTCGGTACATGGGATTCACTGTGTAAAAAGGCGAGAATCATGCAACATGTCTATCCACCCTTATTTGAAGCGCCGGCAACTCACTAGCTTTGGGCTACGCGCGACTTTACCTGTATAAGTAAAATCAAATATGGGCACGACGTGCGACCTGTAGTCTGCCTCTGAATGTCGGACTGATCACTGCCGAATGCTCGTGAATTTCATCATTGCACGACTACAGACAGCAACTTGATTGAGACATTTGGAATCGGCCGCTGTTGGGCAGTCTCGCGTCAGGCTAGAACCAAAGGACCCTTGGGTGGGCCCCCATGCGGTCAAAACCAGATTCGGTCAAAGATTGCGAAAGTGAGGCGAGCGGAAATGCATACATGCGGCTGTTTCTGGTAAGTAATCAGTTTTACTTGGTATTGCAGCTGCAGTACCATATTGTATTGATATCAAATCCCAATCACGTCGGAAAGCATGGTGTCAAACGTTTCCCAGGCGACACCGGGCTCATGCGCGCTGCTCTTGGCAACTTCAATATTGCGCCATCACCTGCAGCGTGACATCGCAACTAGGTCGTGAGTAACACAGCAGTTCAGCTTCTGCACAAGGATGCGGGCCAGAATACGTAAATCAGTTTTCCAACGAGGAAAGAGTCACGGAAAAGTGGTTTGTCCAAAGCGAGTAGTTTCCGACCCCATGGCTTGACAGGTCTTGCCCCCCTCCCCCCCAAAAAGTTCCCAACTTATCTTCACCAAGCATTACTCTCTTTGCCACCCAACATCGACCTTTAACCCATTTTCCCTTCAAATTTGACTTCAATACGATCACTATTACGTCCAAAATGAGCCTGGGAATCGATGCTGATATCGAGCTATCTTCCCAGACGAATCTGCTGGCCGTCGACAAATCTGACTCGGAGAAGCCTTCCTCCTCCGATGATTCTTCTGACGCTGAAGAGAGCGTATATGGTACGCTAGATGTTGAAGAGTCGCCATTGGGACGACTTTACTCGGAAATTGCAGGCGGTCAAGGCCCCGCTAGCGAGACCAACCTTACCAAACTCCACGAATTGCTTCTCAAGCACAGCTCGGGAGTTCACACTCGATATACCAATTGTGAAACGGCCCTCCACATTGCAGCTCGTTACGGATTTCACGATGCCGCGCAGAACCTTATCAAGGATGGGGCGAACGTCTCGGCGAAAGATAAAGACAAGCGACAGCCTTTACACAGAGCCTGTCTCGAGGGGCATACCGAAGTAGTAGAAACGCTCATAGAGCACGGAGCAGACATTGAGGCCAAGCAGCAGTCCAAGGCTACCCCTCTCGATGAAGCTTGCTGGCAAGGCCATTTCAATATCGTAAACATACTTCTCAGCAAAAGCGCCAATCCCCTAGTCACTGACAAGGACGGATGGTCTCCTCTGTACTCGGCAAGCCGGTACGGCCACTGGGAGATAGTAGACCGCCTTCTCCGCGAGGACAAGTCAAACGTAGATGGTTTGAGAGCGATGGTGGACGGACTGCGCTGCATGCAGCCATCGGACATGAACACGCAGAGGTTGTTTCCATCCTGATCAAGCATGGAGCGAACCTTGACATCAAGGACAAGAACGGACGCACCCCTCTCCATTTGGCAAGCATAGACGGTTTCTCAGAGGGTGCGAAGCGGCTGATTGCTGGGGGTGCAGACTGCAACATTCAAACGGACAACTCCAAATCGACAGCTCTCAGAGCTGCTAGTAATTGGGGTCATCAAGAAATAGTCCAAGCTCTCCTTGATCCCAAAAACCCCAATGGCCAGGCAGACGTCAACATTCAAGATAAGGACGATTCAACTCCTTTGCATGCAGCTATTCTTGGAAAACACCTCAACGTTGTCAAGTTGCTGCTGAAGGCGAACGCGAAGGTATACCTGGAAGACAGTGATAAACAAACGGCTTTGCACTTAGCCAGCGAAAGGGGTGCCGAGAGCGTTGTCAGATTGCTGCTGGAGACGAAGCATAATGTGGATGCGAAAGACGATGGAAGAACGGCTTTGCTCCTCGCCAGCGAACAGGGCAACGAGAGCGTTGACAGGTTGCTGCTGAAGACGAAGGCGTATGTGGATTTGAAAGACAGTAATGGACGAACGGCGTTGCATCTCGCCAGCGAACAGGGTGACAAGAACATTGCCGAGTTGCTGCTGGATAAGAAGGCGAGTGTTGATCCGGAAGATGAGGAAAAGCAAACGCCTTTGCATCTTGCCAGTGGCGCCCCAGACCCAGATCGATCAGAACCTAGTGATGCGACCCCCAACGACGATTTCGGCGAAGAGTCCCAGTCTGGCCAGTATTGTGCCGTCATTGAACATCTGCTGAGCAACGGGGCCAATCCAGGGGCCCGAAACAAAAAGGGGGAGACGGCCGTACATCTTGCTGCAGCATACGGCAAACCCGACAGGCTTGAATCACTCTTGAAAGGGTGTAAGGAGGGGGATCTGTTGGTCCGAAACAACGAGGGCCAAACGGCCCTCTACTCAGCCTTCAAAGGAGAGCAGCCGGAGACTGCCATGGCAATACTTCTGAAATCGGCCAAGCTAAAGACTGTTGTGTTTAAAGATGAGGCGACGAAAGATGAGGGGACGAAAGATGAAGCGCTCGTTTGGGCTGCTGTAAATTCGAAAAATCACGACATTGCGAAGTGGCTTCTCCAGAAAGGATCGAAAAGAAAGGGGGCGATACCTACGGTTGCGTCCAAAAAATGGGGTGCAATCGGCTGGGCGGCATATGAACAGCATCCACGAGCGCTCTCGCTGCTTATCTCCAAAGCTGCCAGGACCGACGAAACCAAGATCGAGCTTGAATCAGCCCTGAAATCCACGTTGGAGGATCTGGCCCCAAACCTAAAAGAGGGGGCAGCGTGCGAAAAGCTTCAGCAAGTGCTTTGGTTGCTCATTACCGCCTCCCAGTCGACTGAACCGATTGTTTACGCGATGAAATCGGCATTGAACTCAGTACAGCAACTTCAGAACCAGCCGACAAGTTTACTACAGCCACAGAAACAACCAAATCTGGGTACGTCGAATGCTGCCCTCAATGAACGTCAAGGGCGGGACAGCAACAAGAAGAAAGGCGGCAGCGACTTCCAGATCAGCCATATTGCGAACCAAAACGAACCGAGCCATAAAGACGTAAAAGGTCTTCAATCGAAACACTTGGAAGCTATTGAAGACATACTCAGTCAGCCCCCCTTTGGCGTAGCGCTATTCAGCGATAGCACAGAGTACCAAGCATATGATCCGCCCGAGGAAGACAGCGAGATCGGAAAAGTACTACCAAACTTCGAGGCCACTATTGTTCAATTCTACAAGAGCAAGGGGGTTTCTGCAACAGTCCAACTGCGCCATCCACTACAAAAGGTGATTTACAAACCAGGACCTACAGAACTTATGCAAACGGCCACGAAGATGCAAAATGCTATCGCCAGTCTAAGCAGCAGCGTTTGTGAAACGGGGCCTGCTTTCACGTGGATTCATCTGCCCTCAACCAACGTCAGTAACACACTTGTGTACGCTAAGATGATGTTGCTGACTTCGGCCAGATGGACTGGATGAATGTGAGCTTCTCAGCATCGACCCTTAGTGTCGAAAAATACAGAGAAGTCAGACAATAGAATTTCATGCTGACTAGCATCGCAGATTCTCTTGACGAAGATTATGAAGGATGCCGATTGCAAGACCCCCAGGTATAACCAATTGCGGTCCTTTTTCCGGGACAGCTGGACAGAGGTACCTGACAGAGAAACTCCATCAAGGATCATGAGGCCACGAACTGTTTTTATGAAGCAGGAGAGTGGAACTGGCGAAAGTTTTGACAAAGAGGGGAAAGCTCAAGAGAAAAGGGCCAGGAAATTTGACAAAAATGCGAATAAGAAAGAGGAGAGAGATATTGGGGAAAAGGATAACAAGCCAGATTCCGGGAAACCTCGATCCAAGACAATCGCTCCAGATGCATCAGCTATTTATGTGAGTCACAAGAGACCTCTTTGGTCTCTAGATGCTGATTTATGATTCTAGATGCCTTACCTCTGCTTCTCAACTTACTACCAGGGTGAGCATCACGCAAAGAAGAACTACGAGAGTTTATTGGAAGCCTACACGGTGAATGGCTCCAAGAATTCGGGCGCTCACCAATCGCCGACCCTTGACGAGTGGTACTACCACTTCGAATCTGACCATAAATCCACCAGAGACAAGGATCATCGCAACAGCAGCCAGATTGTCACCAAGTTTCAGGCAAAAGCCAAGCTTCACACTAGAGAGCCCAAGCCTGACAAATGGGTGTTATTGCGGGTCAATCAACTCTGGGTCTGGACAATTGATAACAGTACGTCGTCTAATGCGACGCCTTCCCTGTACCCTGCTAATAATAGCGCTCTTCAGAATGGCTCATAACTGCCACGTCCTGTCTTTTGGACGATGAGCCTCGTACGCTAGTGGACGAAATCCTCGAGCAGCTCAAGAAACAGTCAGAGTATGGAGGGAGTTTGTCCCAGCCACAATCAGTATCCGATATGAGAGAATTGCTGGTCGAATACTGTATTGACTCTTACGAGAGAAAGCCCAAGTTCAATTGTCGAATGTCTATTGCCCAGACGTTTTCCAATTACATCAATGAGATTGTATGCAGAGACCCCTTGAGCGTAGATGTTAGACAACTAACAAGGCAACAGGGAAGGAAAGAAACAACCTTGTTATCCGATTTTAGTCACCGCACGCAAGATAGATTGGAACGGCCTGACAGCCAAGGAGAAAGAAAGGCCACAAGGACCTCTTTGCAAGAGGAAACCTCAGAAAAGGCCGCGCTCAAGAGCTCATCAAACGACGGTATCAAGAAAGCTATCAAGAAAGCAGAGGAACTGTATTGCAATATCAAGGATGTCCGTGACGAGCTAAACATCCTCAAATCAGTTGCTGATCACCAAAAGATCGTCCAAAGGGGGCTATTTGGCCAAAGCGTAAAGGATGCAGACCTCACAGCAGCTTACGTGGCGAACGAGCTTAAAGAGTTGGACATTGTTGCCGACAGGATACAGTCGTCTGCAAGTTTGATCCTCATACTTATTTTAGTTGCTTAGCTGCTAACGGTTGGGGCAAAAAGATCAACACCACTCTTTCACTACAGCAAAGCGATCTGGCGGCGAAGCAAGGAAAAATCCTCATGGTCTTCACTTTTGCCACTCTGCTCTTCGTAAGTCTGTTAAAGTATCGAAGCACACATATTACTAGGTTGAATACTAATGGATTCATTAGCTTCCCTTATCATTTCTCTCATCCCTATTTGCTTTGGATGTCGCCTCCTTCCTGCAGACTCCTAACTGGGCCTTTCTTGTACTATGTAAGCTATACCCGTGCGGATCGTTTGAAAAGAGCACAGACACTAACGATATGTGCTTTAGTCCTAGTGTCTATTGCAGTTTCTGTACTCGTGGCATTGGTTGCTATTTACTCTGAACCCATTTCAAAATTTGGAAAGAGCTATTTGAAGTGGGCCAAACGTCTCTGGGATAATGTCAAAGCTCCTGCCAGGGTCAAGCCTAGAAAGATTCCCGACCCAGAACAGGCCACTTGAAATAAGGGACATCTTCAGGCACCCCGCCAGCAGTCGACTAACAATCCCCTGCGGACACTGTGCGATCTTCGAGAGGTCGTGTGTCGAGAAGAGCATCGCAACAGTGAGGTTTATCATTAATCGAAGAGTTCGAAGACGTCGTCAGAAGACGGGAGGTTTCGGAGAGAATGGCGATGTCGAAAGAAGTGATCATTGTCTCGTTCCAGGCGTCAAAAAGCTGAGTTGGAGAGCCTTCAACGTGAGGATCATATACTGGAGAGTGTTGTCCGCATCAAGCTTGGAAGTGATAATCAGCGTGTTGGTAGAGACTTCGGCTCGTGAAGGCGGGGATGCAATCGGAGTCAATTATTGCCTCATTTCAAGGATGGCTAGAATACTTTTCGAAGAAAATGTTTTGTACCATGCATGATCATCTCATTTCCAGAAGGAGCATTGCAAGGTGGGAGAACGCAGCTGATGGGCAGATGTTTCGGTAGTACCTGTTTTCAGGTGCCTCCCATTCATAAATGTTCTTACTAGGGCAAGCCTCGGTCACCAAAGTCCCAGCAGACAATAGGTTTTGTAAACTTCTACTTTTCTACTTTTCTGTTCTTCGTCTTTTGCTTTCTCCCTGATGTCAGTCGTCTAACATACATGGGCCATCAACGGTCTCAATGGGGGCTGAGACAATCACGACGGGTGGATGAAGTTAACCCCTCCCTCCAAGACATTCTTGAGAGGCTTTCGTAGCAGCAGAGCGAATGCTGGGTCTTAAGTCAGAGAGAGCAGAATCATTCTTTCAATGCTGATAACATATGTTTCCAGCTTAAAGCTAGGAGCAAATTTCTTTCTTCCGCTTTTGCTTCCACGCTGTTGGATAGTCGTGTGTTGAGCAAGCATCAAGCCATCGCAGGTTGGCCTTCAGACGTCTGTGATAAACGTCAGAGCCTGATCACCTACTGAGAAGGTTTCTGTTCCTCGAAGCTTGCCGTATTTTGTCCATGAGACTTTCGTTCACCAGAAATTCAGTCTGTCAGGAGACAAAAGTTGGCCGTAGAGAAGGGTTGGATTGAAGCCGCTTCAACTCGGAATCGTCGAGAGCAGAGATCATCAGGCTCAACCTGGGTTTGCGACTGAAGGTTTGGACTTTTTGGCATAGTGTGACAACCAAAATGTAGTATTTGCACAGATTCTTTTGTAAAGCGTGTGACTTTAAGTGGATAGGTTTTATAGTAAAGTGATAAGAAGCGCAGCGTCTAGCCTGTATAGACAGTCAAAAAGTTTACTTTAAATTAAAGTAAAGAAATAGAAACATTCTTATATTCCTTTCAAACAAACACTTATGAAAGAATTCTTAATATGATTAAAGATAGCTTTAGAAATATTATTTAGAGTTCCTCGATATTTCTAGCTGCTTAAGTTGACTTAAAGTATCATGCTGAATGCTGCGCATACGCCGCAAGTAATCAAATTCTGAGAATCTCCTACAATAACATCTCCTAAAGCGGCGTTTTGTTGTGCAAATTCAAGCATAAATGAAGATGTATGTTAGTGAAACTAGGACCGATTGACATAGATTCTTTGTGCTTTTTATATGCGTCCTGGTACAGTCTAGCAGTGACTTGTTCTTTGCATCCTTCAACCTGGTGGTCTCATTCGAGCCATTGTCCGAGTGTTCCTGAACTCCAACCTCTTCTGAGTGCAGAGATGGAGACTGCGTACGCTAGACGGACCTCCGTCTTTAGAGGAAATGCACGGCGCAGGGCAAGGGACATGGCCGTAAATGATGAGTCTTCCATCTATGTTATGCTCATCACGAACGGAAGACAAAGAATGCTTGATCGAAGTTCGATTCTCAAGTCACGTCAGAGCCTTGCCCTGCTGACATGTCAGCCGTCGAGACGCGGTCTTCCGATGTAGTCATTGGATAAGCCGCGCATTAATAAAGCCCTGATCGGGAGTGTATCGATGAGAAGCCACAATCACCTACGGTCTGAAGCCACTAAACCCGAGTTGAAATTCCTTAAATTACCTTTGCAGATTTTGCGATGTGCACATGTTGAGATTGTCCACTCGATTGGCGGAAATGCTTGAAAGGTTAGTACGCGCCAAGCTCCGTGACAGAAATGACTGGAGTGAAGGGAATGGCACAAAACCATGATGAGAAGTATTTTATCCCTAATTGAAGTCTCAGCTGCCAGAAATGGCGTTCCACGGCTTGCTCGTGCCTCGTTGTTGAGCTAGGACGTCAGTCAATTGAATTTCATTACATGAATCTATGAAATCAATGAAAAGGACCGGATAATTCCCTCAACACCTCAATTACACAAGTATGCCGATAATATTAGCCCTGTTAATCCTTAATTCAAATCGGAACAGGGTCTGTCTTTGGGGTTCGAATTCTCTTCAGCGTTTCCCCATCCGATTCCTGCCACGGGTACTTATGTGCAAGAGCACGAATCATCTTCTCGTGGTGAGGAGACCGTGCCTCCACGCACGTCTCGTATGGCGCCAAATGACTGATTGCACCGGGAAGACTCTTCATTTGTGGCTCGACCACATGGCCGTCAACCGACTTCTTTCGAATGTTGAATACAGCCAAAGACTGCACAAAGTCGAGGAACAAAGTGTTCTCGGCGAAAGTCTTGCCTGCGCAAATTCGTCGACCAAAGCCAAACACGAATTTACGAGGGTCGGTTCCAGGCTCGTGCCCAGGACTTTCCAAATATCTTTCGGGTCGAAACTCATTTGGCTCTGGGTAAATGCTGGGATCATGGGTAAACCACCTACGATTGGGAGATTAGCGTTAGTCTATGATCAGGCCGCCAGGCATGCCGTTCCAGAAACAACTCACCAAACATTGGGCATGATCATTGTGTCCTTTGGAATGCGGTATCCGGCATAGATAGTATCCTCGTCGGCAGTGTGGGGAAGAGCTGTGGGAACTACCGAGTGCCATCGCAGGGTCTCCTTCATGATAGCTTCAACATACGGCAGAGAATCCCGGTCGTCCAGGGTAGGCAGCCTCTCAGTGCCCACCACCCGATCAATCTCCGCCTGGGCCTTGGCTTGAACTTCGGGGAACATCGTCATAGCCAAGAAGAAGCATGCTACAGTTGACACAGTCTTCAATGAATCAGCCAGCTGCTATATCCCAGAAAGAGGAAGACAGTGTCTTACCGTATCGGCACCTCCACTGTAAAGAGAAGATGAACCCCATTTGATCTCGCGCGCGTCCTCGGCAGTGTTTTCGCTGTTTTTGAGCAGATTCGCCACGAATGAGTTGTTTTCCCTTCCTTCAGCTAGCTGACGCTGCACGAATGCGAAGGGCGTCTCGATTGCAAGGTTTAGCTCATATGCCCACTTCCGAGCTAGTTTCTTCCAGCCTGTTCCGGGAACCCAATCTGGAACATAGCGGACTTAAAGACGTCAGAATCTCCTTCAAATGCAGTATATACAAAGAAATTGGATATTGCTGAGATTGTGGATTGATAACTCACGACTTGGGATGATGTCGACCAGAAAGGCGCCCGGAACACCCGAGCTGGATAAATCCTCGGTACATTGTTGGATCATGTCAATGAGCGGATCTCTCTTCTCTTGCTCGGCGTTGTAGCCATAGACAACCTTCAGGATAATAGAGCCGGCTTGTCTGTCGTTAGAAATATCAGTAAGCTGCGTCTAGTGGGGTTTGTCGGCGGATTGGTCAACACACCTCTTGATGTGGTCTCTCAGACTTTCGGGGTTGTCAAGAACGTGCTGAAGGAAATAGGCAACTTCAGCTTCCTGCAAGCTGTGATACTGTGAAGCAAGTGCCTTTGTACCCATGATACGTGCGAAGTTCTTGCGATGCGCACGCAATGTGTTGTTGTACTTCAATGCCGCGGTCGTTTTGCTCCAGCCAATGCTGACGACGTGTCAGTCAGCAACCCATGCTTGGAAACGAGTTTGAATGAACGCACATATCGCCAGCGAAATTGAATACCGCCCTTGACGAATATGTTGCCCGCTTGTCCAACATGTCAATCGCCATCTGAGCATCATTGACGAAAATGAGGGTATTGCCCATGATAGTAATCGAACTGATAGGACCTATCCATAGCCATCTAATCTTAGCAAGAGTCCGTTCAGCTACTGCGCGCAAACTTTGCATATGCGCAGCAATCGGAAGTACGCAAGCTTACCATACTCGGCAAGCTTCGCCCAATGTTCCGCCTCCAGAACGCCAGGTTCAGGCAAGTCACGTAAGTTCCCTACCAACGGAAGTCCCTTGGGCCCAGGAGGAAGGGGAGCAAGATTTGCATTTCGTCTCCATTGAACCAGCCTATCTGCCACATAAATGACGCAGAGAATGGCTAGGAAGCCAACAACAAGCATTGGGTCTTGCATACTTGCTCCTGTTGATTCGAGATAGGTATTCAACACCCGAGATCTATATCCAAAAATGACAGCAGCCCCCATTTATGTACATTTTCTTCTTGATCACGCTAAATGACCCCTCACCATCACTGGGCAAAGGTGACACCTATCCAATCACGAAAGAACCTTTTTCTGCATGACGATCTCGAATGAAGTGGGCATTCGCACAAGTACCACGACTTTCTTGCGATTTGGGGAAGGTACGCCCGCAAGCCCCCTGTTGCGACATGGCTGTTGGTCCAACGACCACGAGTTCATGCATGGCCGAGGACCACAAAATTGTGAGAAAGAGGAGAAGGGGCCGTTTTGCAGTGGTCCGCACAAATCAGGGTGGCCGGATACCCGCTTACCCACGCATGCCTCGTAATTATGCTTCTTTGCCGCAACTGATCGGCATCGACCAGCCGTCCCGTTGCTGCGAGTGAGGGTTTTCTCGACGAAATCGTTGTCGAACCATCGATCGGATCAATCAAAATTCTCAAAAATCACATTTCATCGCCAAGCATGCAGTCAAGCCAAGATAATTGTGGCAAGGTGTGCGGCTTGATCAGTGACACAAGTGGTAGTGTCTACCTTTGGGCAAAGTACGGGATGATGTCGTCGAAAACCAAACGCTTGGGAAGCCCGATACGCTCTGAGTCTGAGATGATAGTAAATGAGTTTAAAGATAGGTTGGATAAAAATCTTAAAGGTTTTACAGAGAAGCATTATGTTTATGTATTAACTAGGTTACGTCTTGCTACTAAAACTCTTAAGCGCGGCACATCCTGCCGTCAGAACCAACAGTCCATGCCTCACTGCCGACGCCCTTCAGGACGTAGAACAGCGACTCAGGATCATACTTCTTCTTGATAGAGAGAAGCTTGCTGTAGTTCTCGCCAAAGAAGGCGTTTTGCCAGTCCGGTTGTCTGAAGTCTGCCTCGTTCATGTACGACGCGCTTCCGGGAGTCACAGAGGTAATCAGTGGCATAAACTCCTCCGTCATGCGTCTTTGTGAAGCCTCCATGTCAGCCCAAGGCGCAGCGTTGTCCCAGTTGGTGATGAGCTGCAGCTGCATGACGGCTTTGCGCCACGCAGGGTGCACAGCGTTGCTAGCGGCACCCGCAGGCTTATCGTAGTGGCCGACGCTACCTGCGAGAAGAACGCCGTTGGCCGTGAGGTTGTTGACGACTTTCTGGTACTCGACGTTGTTGGTCTCAAGCACTGTACGCGGGATGAGTCGGCCGCCAAACTGGTACCTCGTCACCTCGAGGTTGCCCTGAGGGAGAGGACCCATGTACCGGTCGTAGTGATCACGGTAGGATAGCTCGCTGTAGGCCACCGCCAGAGTGACACCGATTTCCTCCATGGCTTTGGTAAACGGCGCCAGAACGACATCGCGAACGTAGGCAGCAGTGGAGTTCCAAACGGTCAGTGGTCGCAGGACGAGGAACTGAGAGTTGTGAAGGAACACAACGAAAGCGCCGTTGTCCGTCATGTTGGGCAGCAGCTCGTGGAACTTGGAGACAGCGGCGTTGAACTTCTCCGGAGTGGTTGTAGCAGCAAGAAGCTGGAAAGCGGCGCCTCCAACAGTCTCTGCCTGGTAAGCGCGGACGGTGAGGCCAGTCACAACACCAAAGGTGCCGCCGCCGCCTCCACTGAGAGCCCAGTACAGATCGGTGTTTTGAGTCGCGGACGCAACGACCGTCTTGCCGTCAGCCGTGACAACCTGGAAAGCAAGAGTCTGGTCCGCACCCAAGCCAAACTGGGTGCTCAACGCAGAGTGTCCGCCACCTTGAATGAAGCCACCAGCAAGACCGACTGTGGCACACTCACCGGACACGACAGTGAGGCCCTTGGCGTGGGCAGCCTCGAGCATCTCGTATCCGAGAACACCGGCTCCGACGTTGACAGCGGGACCCGAGTAGTACTTGTCGGACCAAGTCGTGAAGTCAATGGTCTTGAGGTGGTTGGTCCAGATGGCCAGGGCTCCGGCACCAGTAGAGCGGCCAAGGAAGCTTTGGAGATAATCAGCCGCTGTTGCAAGGTCACAGCATACGAATTTGTAAGAATGTTGCTTACTCATGCCCAGTGTTGCGGACAACGACGCGAAGGTTGTTCGCCTTGGCAAACTTGAGAGCATAGCTCACATCCGCCGTGCACTTCACATCAACAGCATAGCTGACATAGTTGCCCAGAGTGCAAGGAATGGACCTGTCTGTGAAGGGATCACAGGACTGGTTGGCGAAGTAAGATTGCATCACGGATGACGAAGAAGGAATACTGTTGATGAATCAGCATATTGTCTGACAGTGATCGCGGTTTCTCGGACACTCACTGCGTCAAGGGGTTAGTCCACCCTGCCTGGAGAGCGGCACAGGCGTCAGCATCATAGGTAGGGTCGTGGCACGGCGATCCAATTGGCTCGGTAGCAACAAGACGTCCACCGACGGTGTCGTTCAGCCTGTTCCAAGACGAAACCGAAGGCCAGCATGCATCCCCGGGCAGGCAGTGACATTGCTGCTTGGGGGCCACGGCTGCAGCAGTAAGGGTAGCCAAGGTGGTGGCTACGGCCAGGTAAGAGAGCCTCATGTTGATGACTTGAGTTGGGCAAGTAGTCAACGGAGGTAAGGAAAGGTGAGTGAGAGAGGGGTGGGTGGCTAAGAGGTGAGCTGCACGACAGATGTGATTATCTTCCCAAGCTCATATATCCCTCGCAGTGCTGGTCCCTATTTCATCTCGAATTCCATCCTCCCTGCAACGACGAGTGCGCAACCTCGGCCTGGGGCGGAGCGAGACCCCATCTGGTCTGCTACATTGTTGGCGGCGACGTTGGAGAGTCTCTCATGCGCCATATTCACCTGTTGGTTCTGAAATTCGAACATCGATAGCCTGCGGCCGGATGCCCGAAACTGGATCGGCCGAGTACGCGGTCGCGGGCATCCTTGCAAGCACACGCATACTTATCGACGAGCCCATTACAGAACTTCCTATTGTAGATAGTGACACCCGATGGACCCATGAATTCCATGCATGAGCCCCTGATTCGGCCTTACCCGGGGAATACGGATGAGACACCGGGTGGCCCGAACGGCGGCGATGGGTGTCAAGAATGATTGCTCCCGCGGGGGCGGGAAGGGATAATCTTCTCCAGTCTTCAGCCCAGCGCGCACAGATCTAGAGTTAATTAAAAAGAGGCTAAAACGACAACGATGGGATGGACCAGATCGACCCTCGAACGATGAATGAATCCTGCCGTCCGCGCCGCTCGTAGAATTGCTTCTGTGCCGCCCACGGGATTGAAGATGTTGAGTGCATTACTGTTCTTCAGTGGCGTCGAACCCGAGATCTGGTAGGGTATTAATTTCCGGGCAGCAGGATTCTGAGCTGCTGTGCCGCTGGTGGCTTCGATTTGTTAATGCATTTTCTGCTGCAGGGGCTCTTGGCCAGAACGCGAGGACGGGACTCGCTTCCGTTTGAGGGAGCCAAGAAGCGGCATGGGGGCGGAGTCTCTCACAACCAACGGTTCATTCGGCCCTCATCTGGCTGGAACATGTGCTAGGCTGAATGAAGTGATGCAGATGCCTCCGGGAATGGCCTTGCAAACTGGCAATGTGATGCCAATCCTTCGACCACATGTGCAGCGTATCATCAGCCGAAGCGAGGGAGACTAGTGTTCATCCCTAGAATTCCTGACCAAATCGCCAACAGTTCTGGGACGTGGCGGCCGCACATTTTGAACCCTGCTTTGCCACATGGACTCCAGGGGACTTTCTTCGTGAAGGGAATTGCTTTCATTTATTCTTAAGCAAAGATCATCCGAGTCATTGCCAGCAGCAGTCCTGCTGCCGGCCAAGAAACATGGCATCCTTTCATCGACTCGTGTTGGTGTTGGTCCTGGCCGTCTTGTCCATCGCGACGGCACAGCAGACATCCGCCAATAAACCCAGCTATCCGGTTTGCGCCGTACGTCCTCCCTTGTCCGCTCGTCAAACGCTGACTCGGACTTCATCATCATCGGCCTCAAGATTGGCATTGGCTAACCTGCTTTGAATACAGAAAAAATGCATAGCTCAAGCCTTCCAAGGCGGCCTGTGTGCTCCTACAAACCAGACTTGCATATGTACAAACGCAGCGTTTCAGTATAACGTCACGCTGTGTGTTACGGGAAGTTGCACGATTCCCGAGGCTCTTGGTATGTTTTCCCCAGCTTCTTGCCTTCTGACTGACATCTAACGCTGCCAATATTTCAGCTACCAAAAATGCGAGCCTCACGAATTGCGGCGCTCCGGTGCGCGATCGATCCCAGGAATACGTGATACTCTCGAACGTCATGGCCATTTTGGGTGCGGTCTTCGTCTTGGCTCGATTCTCCTACAAGATCTTCTTCGCAGGCCTCGATATTGGCTGGGACGACTGGTTCGTCTTGGCCACATTGATTGCTGCCATGCCGAGCGCTATCATCACTGTCTACGGAACGACGAAGAATGGTCTCGGCCGAGATATCTACACGCTGACGCCGCAGATGATCACCAACGTCTTGTTCTACTTCTACATCATGGCTTGGCTGTACTTTTTGCAGGTGACGCTCGTCAAGTTGGCCATCATTTTCTTCTACATGCGAATCTTCCCTGCCCGAGAAGTGCAGCGGATGCTTTGGGGAACAACGATATTCATCATTGTGTGGGGCCTGGCGTTCATTATCACCGCCGTCTTCCAGTGCAAGCCTATCCACTACTTCTGGACCAAGTGGGACGGGCTACACGAAGGCAGTTGTGCGAACGCCAATGCCATCAGCTGGTCAAATGCCGCTATCAGCATTGCCTTGGATTTGTGGATGCTGGCAATCCCGTTATGGCAACTGCGGGCTCTAAGGCTGCACTGGAAGAAGAAGATCGGCGTCGCGATGATGTTCATCGTGGGGACCTTGTAAGCACCCTTGCAAAGACCCTGATTGACTCGTGGCTAACCTTGCAACAGTGTGACCGTCGTGAGCATCATCCGCTTACAATCTCTCGTCGATTTCGCCAAAGGCTCTAACCCAACGATGGACTTCATGGAGGTCAGCATCTGGAGCACCATCGAGATCATCGTCGGAATCATGTGCGCCTGTCTACCATCTATCCGCATGATTCTGGTCAAGTTGTTCCCGTCTATTTCCGGATCGACAATCAGGAGCAAGGGTCGTCAGTACTATCAACAGTACGGGAGCGATAATAGGTCCAAGGCCGCTCGCAGCCAGCCCCGAACAGTCGGCGTGGTTACTGTCGATAGAACGAGCCCGGATGTCGATTCTCAGGACCGCCATATCAAGTTTCAGAAGACATTCACAGTCTCATACAGTGATAGCGATGAAGCCAGCCTTGTGCAGATGACGGACCTGCAGAGGCCAAGACAAGCACATCATTAGCGGAGGTGGATTATTTGAGCTTCTTAGTTATTAAATAGAAATCATTTCCGATCACAATTTGGCAGTTGTAAACCCCACCGCTTTCTTCAGCAGCAAGTCCCAGCCGACCAACAATGATAGCAGGGGTTTCGATATTCTTCGTTAATCCTCGTGTTCAACCCGTGCCATACAGGGGGCCGTTCTTCAGGCCGGCGTGGTCAATGCAAGGCAATCAGGCTGCATGCTGACTGCATGGAAGTCGTATTATCAACCGTCTTCTAGCGCATCCATGAGTAGAGACAGATTCTTGTTGGCTGATTGATGGGCCGTCTGTACGCGGTCCCCTGGCCAGCATGCGGTGGCAATACAAAGTACAGGTGATCAACCTGTCTGCAGTGGAGTGTCACACCGCGTGATAAATAGCAAGCAGTCTATTCTCCTTCGCTCTCGCATCATCATGGGCATTATCAAGGTGCATTCAATCTACCAACGAAATGTTGGAATCCATCTTTGGGCCCTCGGTCCCAGCAGCGGTCTCGACTGACTCTGTCACTCCGCTTCACTATTTTGACGACACACCAATATGGCGATCCTTCATTCTCTACTCCCTCTTGGTGTTTGACGAAGTCCTGGACGCTGACACCCTTCGATCAAGCCTCGAGCGTCTTACTTGTCGGGAAGGATGGCGAAAACTCTCAGCCCGTTTGCGAAAGAATTCAACGGGTGCTCTGGAATATCACTTCCCCCAAATCAATGATTTGGAACGTGGCACAAGACCTGCTCTGTCATTTTCAAGAATCGACAACACCCACATGTCAATTAGAGAGCACTCAGTAGCCTCGAAATTGCCACATTTACAACCGAAGGATGACAAGCGCCCAGCTGTGATGGGAGACACGGATAGTTACCTCTCACTTATGCGACGCCCAGACAATCCGCCCTTGAGTCTCAACGATTATCTTACTAGTGATGCGCCTCAGCTGGGACTGCACATCATTTCGTTCTCGGATGCAACGCTGGTCACGCTGTACTGGCCTCATACGCTGTTTGACGCATTTGGAAAGAAGGCTCTTCTGGACGCTTGGGTGTTGATGCTGCAAGGAAGAGATGGCGAAATCGCATCCCCGTATGGAGGTGACGCGCCAGGGGTTGACTTTGATCCTCTTGCCAAGTTTGGCTGCCACTCAACAGAACCGTACAAACTCAGGTCGCAGTTGATGTCGAGCCTGAGTCTCGGTGCCTGGGCGATTGGTAATCTGTTCGAATTCGTGGGTAAACAAGAGACTCGCGTTGTTCGCGTGCCGAGACTATTCCTGGATAAGCTTGTCAACGACTCGATGTCCGAGCTGCAAGATGGACCTAATCCATCTAATGCCACATCATTCCTGAGCGAGGGTGATGTGCTGTGCGCATGGTGGACCAAGATCGCGACTGCTCATCTACCCGAAAATGCATCGACTCGGAGGCGCACTCTCGTCCTGAATAACGCCTACTCTCTTCGCAAGGCCCTTGGTGGCGATACCGGGCCGCTCCCCCTGAAGTCTACAGACTCCAACAAGATGGATGCACCTTACCTCTCAAACGCAGTCGGGTTCATCAACGTGGTTGGCACTATGGCTGATGTTTTCGACAAGCCAGTGGGCTACATGGCGTCTCGGATTCGAAATGCTATCAAAGAGCTGGGAACAACACCACAAGTTGAAGCCGCTGCAGCCTTGGTGCGTTCGACTAAGATGAAGCTGCCTCCTTTCTTTGGAGACAAATCCATGCACATGATCACATACTCCAACTGGACCAAGACCGACCTTTTCAACGTTGACTTTTCCAGCGCTGTTAAGGCGAAAGACTCTGGCAACAAACACCATCGTGGAAGGCCGGTGTACATCCAAAACAATCAGGCGGGCTTCGGGCTACCCAATGCCTTTGTGATCATTGGTCGGGACTTAGATGGCAATTATTGGCTATCCGGATACATGAGCCAAGGGCTGTGGGCAAAGATGGAAGCGGCGTTTGAGGCTTGGTGATGCGAGCCAAGGGCAGAATAGTGCGGCGCAGAACGTGGGCGGCTATCGGTCCCTTGTGTCGGACTTGGTTATTCAGGGATGAATCATGTTCGACAATCTTAGGTCTTAGGCTCTCACAACATATGCCTCTACTGAAACCTAGCTTAAGCTCACGTAATCGGAAGACACGGAGGCACCAGCTCCGCTTAGTCATTATGCATTTTTCACTGATGAAGCTTTAGCAGCGTCAGTTTGACTTGGTCCACAACCTGCCATCAACAAGCGGCCTCCGTGCCCTCCGATGAGCCAACTTTCTGTCTATCATTCTGCTAGGACTCAGCATGTCGCCGAAACGAGCCTGCGACATCTGTTATCGACGAAAAGTAAGAAATCCAACTTGTCGTATTTTCAAACAGTGCTGACTGGAAGTTGGATTGCAGATTCAGTGCTTGATACCTGAAGCAGGGGTTCCTTGCGATTGGTGCCGACACCACGACTCTGAATGTACTTTCAACAGAGAAGCTCCGCGTAAATCCAAGCAGAACAGGTAAATTAAACCGGTTTACTGAGGAATTTCGCCTGTTTTCATAGCGCTAATTCTTCAAACAGGCTTAAATTGACCGACGTCCATGATTTGTATCAGCGCATTCAACACCTGGAGTCGGCACTGGCACAGGCAACTGCGCAGCCGCTGGGGCGTGATGATGCGCTGAACTTCGTCACCCCCACAAGCTGCTCCGTAGAGACGCCGGCTTCTTCAGCGACCCCAGCAGCGACTGAACTCACGCCCGCGTCTCATTCAGTCCGAGAAACAGAATTTCCAGGCTTGCGACAATCTCCAAGTTCTGTGACCTCTATCCCAACTTCCGATTTTCCCTGCTTTGCCTCTCATATCGGGCCGAACTGGTTCTTCAGAGGCATACATGCTTTCTCTGAAGAGGGTCGCCAATGGATTTCTTCCAGAACGGGCCAGACCGTCGACTTGAGGAAGCTGCGACTGTTCACATCCAACTATGCGCCATCAACGAGTTTCTCTTCCGCGTTTCCCGGAGTATCAAGCTTGCCTGACAAACAAGTCCTGCGTGAGCTTGCGTCATCATTCTTCCTGTCCTCATTGTGGCTCTCATTTCCAGTAATTGATCGCTGCTCTTTCGACGAGACACTCGACATCGCATATGGCATGTCAAACGATAGGCCTAGTTCACCTACCCAGCTCGCGGCTTTGGCGTCTGTTTTGGGCATCTTGAGTCTAATGAGCCACTGCAAAGATTTGGGCAATGGCTACTCTGGTATTGATGTGAATGGTTGTGCCAACAAAGCTCGTCAGTTGTTGATAAGTCTTACCGGACATTACAGCGTAACAATTCTTGAATGTTTACTGGCTTTAGTAAGTCTTCCTTGTTGCGCCTCTACTTCTTAATTAATGACGAAGCTTACTGAAGACCATGTCAGTATACCCATTCGACGCTAGATGGCCATTGGCAAGAAGCTGGCTTCTATCTCCCTCTCGCCTGCAGCACGGTGTCTGCCTTAGGGGGACACACCTCTGCTTCGAACAATACACCAGACGATGGGACCACTCTATCTGCGAAGAAGAGACTTCACCTTCGGAATCTCTTCTGGATATGCTATATTGCAGACAAGGACTTGGCGCTGCGCACTGGAAGACCGCCCCTCTTGTCAGCTGTTTTCTGTGACGTGTCTATTCCAAAAGATTATGACCAACACTACGCCTACCTTCGATCCTTCGATGAGCGAGTAGACCGCCTGATTTCGGTTGGCGATGGGCCAGTTCCGCATTTCTCGGGCGATCTCGTCCTTAGTCAAACTAAAGAGAAGGTTTACAGGCTTCTGTACTCCCCGGCGGTCAGCGAAGCTAAGGACACGACTCTACTTCTACATATCCGGGAATTAGATGAAGAGATTGAACGCTGGAGACTGTCGATACCGCTAGACTTTCGACCGGCATTATCAGCCTCTCCTCAAACCCTTCTCGCAACATCTCAAGCAAACCCTCGGCAATACACCAAGTGTTTCGCCTTGCAATTGGAGTATCTCCATATGATGACTTTTGTACATACCACTGTAAGGAAGTACGACGCCGACGACAGCCAGATTGATGGTCCACTTGACCTACATAGCGTGATTCACTCGAGCTACGATCTGTCTCTTGAGGCTGGCCGATCTGTCCTTCGGTGTCTGAGTTTATTTCTCTCAAAAATGCCATCATGGAGTCTATGGTTCGTGAACCTGATCGTGTGACTTATGGCCTTGCTGACCAGAAATCCAGGTCGTGTATACACCACGCCACGAACGCTGCCATATCACTCTTCTTGGATATGGTCATACATCCGTACAGCCCAAACGGATCTCTTGATCTTGAGCTTCTCATATCTGCCGCTAATACCATCAAGTCCCTCGCAAACAGGGTTCGGACTTCCGTTGAAGCTGACCGAGTTCAAGAAATGGGCGACTTTTTCATGTGGCTAATGTGGCTGGGGTCATGCGCAATAGCAAAAGCAAAGGAATCATCTCTTAATCTAGCATCGGAGCTATGATTTATGGAAATATCAACCCCCGCTTGCATCGCAACTTGACTGAAGACGATAAAGTCTACGCCCTGGAAACTAAGCTGTCTAGCCAATGTCTCGTGTACAAGTTTACCGATACATCCAAACTTGAAGTAAAATTACACAGTCCTCCAAAATGGTTCCAAGTGACCCAAAAAGCCACGGCAAACTCGTCAGGAGGTATTCCCTCTCTTGATTGTATGCGATCACACTGAGACCATACATCAAATTGCCCAGAATGGACAGAAAGAGGAAAAGAGGTGCCAGGCCTGGGAATATGTGAGCACATGTGTGATATCAGTTGCCCATAGTTTTGGGAGACTTACCTGCACAGGACCTGCCCCTGTAGTTTTTGATGATCTGAGGCACCCGAGCACTTCATCAATTAGCGATATCTTCAGCGATAGGCCTCATTCAACATACCACAAATAGCAGAGGGCCCCGAAATACCCCAGCACCGAACCAAACACTTCAATCGCCGACTTTGAGTCATCTGCCTTTGCTCTGAAAGCGTACAGGCTGTTCGTTAAAATACCAGCTTTGTACAGCAAAGCCCAGCCAGCTACTCCAGCCAGCTGCACCAGCACGATGCATACAACACTGTAACGCCAATGGAAAATGCTCGCGTTCACGTCTCTTTCGCCATCGTGGCTGCTGGGTAAGGCCTCGATGCCTGATGCCGAGGCGTGGTGGGGCGCCACACCCTCTGTGTCGTTAATGTCGGTTGATATTAGTGGCTGTCTTTCTTGACTCATCGTCGCAGTCTCTTGAACGCGTTTTCGACTCAAATGGTTATAATACAAGCATTGACAGATGAGTGTTGAATCAGAAACGCAAAGATAGGCGGATACGGCCAGACTTGCAGGTGCGATATGGTTGACGATACCTCCTGCATATTACACTCGCATGTCAGATCTTGCTCGGGAGATGTCGGAAGGGTTGCCTACCCAGTAGATTCGACACATCTCCCAGTAACCACACAAATAGAAATGCCATGGATAAGCTGTCTGCACTTTGACGCTGGTAGTTGGTGATGAGTTGGGGAAACTGGTGGAGCTCAGCACGCGGATCGGTAATGGTGGGAAGGAATCTGTCAGTCATTTACCAAGAGACATAGAAATGCAGCCATGCTAATACTGCCCAGTATCTCGGACGCATCTTTGCCGGTTATCTGACCTGGCGAGAGGCCCCAAAGTGGCGCGGAGGAGTCCATGATTGGAGATGGACGTGTAGATGAAAAGTTCAAGTTTCGGTAGGGTGGCTGCATGACTCCGAGATAAGAGAGACAATCATCCGATCAAGAGGGGACCAATTGGGTTGACTTATCGATGACGCTCAACGGTGAGTTGGCTGACTCATCAAAAGATGTCTCTACTGGCTCGCCAACTAAGAAAATCCCAGCTCATCTCTGTAACTATTTTAGGCTACGCCAGCGCCTCAGGTGAGCGAAACAAAGCTAGCTCTCAACCGCCCGTTGCAAACGCCTTTATATCCAAGCCACTTGCAACGAGTCGAACCCGACCGGAGTCGGCCACGAAACAAGCCAGCCTAGTGCCGTATGAAAGGACATGTGACCATGGTTTTTCCTATTTCCGGTACCATATGCGGGCCTTTCTCCCGTGTCGCATCTTTCTTTGCAACTGCATCATTCCGTACAGTAGTGCCTCTGCCGTAGGAGGACATCCAGGCACATAAATATCAACAGGGACAATGCGATCAGCTCCTCGCACAACAGAGTAACTGTAATGGTAATATCCTCCTCCATTGGCGCAGCTGCCCATACTGATGACCCATCTGGGCTCGGGCATTTGATCGTAAACCTGGCGAAATGCCGGCGCCATCTTGTTGGTGAGCGTGCCGGCTACAATAAGGACATCCGCCTGCCGGGGTGAAGCTCGAAACATGTATCCGAATCGATCTTGATCGTATCGCGGGCCTGCAATATGCATCATTTCAACGGCGCAGCAGGCAAGGCCAAACGTCATAGGCCACATTGAGCCCTGGCGGCCCCAGTCGGCGATGATGTCGAGCGAAGTGCTGAAGCGAAGACCTTGGTCAGCTTGTAGTATCGGTAAAAGGAGGAAAGGGCAGTGACTGACACTAGATATTCGACAAGCGATTTGGGCTTCGCTTGGGAAGGGAGCGCGACTTCTCGCCGGCCTGCTCGCGGCGAGACGCATGGCGGAGCGGAAGAATTGGTGACATGTCGGCCCAAGACTAATGGGAAATCGCCGGTTTTTATCAATTTCAATGGACGCATACGACGCAAAGAAAGAAATTTGGACATGTTTCACGGCTCTTGTTGGAAAGAGCGAAAACAAGTGAACAGAGAATTCAACATGGACGGAAGAGCTCACACGGGCGCTCGCTTTCATTAAAGAGGTTGCCCATCTCTAGAAGGGCCTGGGCCGGCAACACAGCGGTGCACAAGAATCCCTGACGGCCCCAAACTCTTTATGATATTGATCAAGCATATCTTGCCAGAATCATCGAAAACCTGATTGGCGTGCCGGTCTCCGTCAATCTCCCGTCCCTCTGAGATGTCATCCGAGGATGGCCGTAAGACCCCGCGGGGTCCACTTCGGACTCGTCGCGAGAACGAAGTGGGGCTTTCCGAGGTTGGATGGCAGAGCTTGGGCTGCTGGGCGACTGAAGCACTCGGACCCGAAGTCTCGGCGGACTCATTCATCCACATCAGCGCCGCAGATTTCGACTGATCGAATTGAGCACATTGCAATCGGTCAGTATCATCTACCTGGTTATTGGTCGGCTCTTGGTACCAGCCTGGGGTTGAAACAAGTTGAACAATCACTTCATTTGTAGCGCCGTTGCCTCGGCCATGACCACATGCCTTCAAGTCAACTCCCGAACATGGAAGACCTACCTACACTGCGTCGCGGGCCCAAAAAGAGTCACCGGAAGGTCCGCACAGGATGTACAACATGCAAAAGGAGGAAGGTCAAGGTAAGTAGCTGTGTCTTTCTACTCCTAACTGAGTATCTAAGAGTGAATCCAACAGTGCGATGAAGAGCAACCGATATGCAATCAGTGTGTCAAGCAGAAAGCAGATTGCGACATTAACTCCAATTCAACCAGCAACTTTCGCCAATATGAGCTTCTGGACGGGCCCACCCTCACCCCCAGTCAAGCACCAGACCTCAACATGCTGGACCTAGAGCTGATCTATCACTGGACACTCTGGACCCACGACTCACTCACACTCAGCCCCCTACTTCGGACTTTCTGGCTCAGGAATACCACCAAGGCAGGATTCCGCTGCGATTATGTCATGCGGAGCATTCTTGCTCTCTCGGCTGTTCACCTAGGTCATGTTAACCCTGTCAGAAGCGAAACGCTGGTTCGGTATGCCCTTACTCAGCACAACCTGGCTGCCGCAACTGTTAGGGGGTTGATACACCACAATGATGATTCAAAAAGTACGGAAACGGCGGAGAACCTATTCCTGTATTCCGTTCTCATCAACTTCTATGGTAAGCTGCGGTCATGGCTGGACTTGAGGACACTGCAGCCATCTCTAACATTCTTGTAGTCATCTCTCAGACCGACGACCCCCACGCCGCCTTCTTCGGTCGCAGCGGAAAGACAGAAAACGACACTCCTGACTGGATGGCGTTCTTCAAAGGTTCTAGGAATCTCTCGCTGGTCTCGTCGTTACTAGTCAGCCGCAGCCTCACCCATCCTCTCATTGAGCATATGGTGCAAATGTACTCCTACCGGGATCTCGTCGCCCACGGCCCTTACCTCAACTCGCTTCTTCGGCACATAAACACCGTCAAAGATGGCCGTTTCAAGCCGGAGATATCCACTTACTTGCATGCAGCTCAAGAACTAGAAGCCACTTTCGGGGTGCTGCGCGAGTATCCCGAAACTCGAGAAATAATCCATGCCTTTCTCTTGATAAGCAATGTGTCAGACCACAGGGGAGACTTCATTGCCTTGCTCCAACAGCCTGAACCATCTCAAGAAGCCCTGGTGATCTTCACGTACTTTTGCATGATCCCACGACGGCTTCCATCGCGCTGGTGGTCAGAGAAGTGGGTCAAGGGGCTTGGAGACGGTGCTTTCAGTTTGCTTGACGATGAGCATAAGGCTTGGATCGTTGAGCCACCACCTTGGGACAGCTGAATATGCGCATACTGAAAGGCAGAATACAAATGATTGAAGAAGGCCATGCGAACGAAGTGAAATCGATTCATGGGAACTCTGTGAATCCTGTCTATGTCTATGTCTACGTCTACTGACCTCAAGCGCACTCAATTTGTTCGACTGTCAGCCACCAAAAGCTCCAACAGAGGCCCTCTCACAGCTTCCTCGCAGGGAAAGCTGAGTAGCTCACCGACCTTGACCGCGGACGGTTTGTCTGACGTTAGGATAGCAAATACCGGGTCTTTCAGAGCGAACTCGATCTGGAAGTCTAACACCAGATCTCGGAATTGCTCCGTAAAGTCAACACGACTTATTCGAGGAGGTTGAGCGAACCGGATCATCATTTTGCTATGTCCCGTATAAAACGCAGCGACCGGTATCTGCACCAGAAGCCCAGCAGATAGGTGATCTCGAGCAGACAGGCTGACGCTTGCCTGGTCTGTCTCAGAGTCCCCGATCAACACCTTGACTCCAGACCCGATCTCGCTCTCAAGAACACCCATGAATCTGACTGTCCATTCTCGACCGCCTGGCTTGTCGATGGTCAGTTGACCTGACTCTTGACTCCATTGAATGTTGATAGACCGCTCCAAGCCCGCGCCGCTGTCTTCAGAGCAGTCATCCCTAGGATCCTCAATAATCGTGAACATGCCATCTTGGCCGACAACCACCAGAATTTCGAATGATGTGGGGTTCTTTCCGCCATTCATCGGGATTTGCGCAGCGTCCAGGGGGATGATGGAGCCCTCAGGTGCAAGCACTGGCATGTTCGTCAGAGTGCGCCATAGTTGGATCTCTCTGTTGCTATCATAGACGGTTCCAGTGAAAATGTCGATATAGCGAGCTGCTGTTGGTGGGAGCCAGACTTTGACAGGCGCGTGAAGCGTCTTTAAGTTGGCTGGGTCGACGATAGGGGCCGCAACGAGGGATGGACCAAAGAAGTATTGATTGGGGTATATAAAGGCCTCCTTCCTCGACGGAAACTTCCAGTAGAGAGGCTGAACGAGTGGCTCGGCATCTTCAGCGAACTTGGTGTTCAGAGTGTGGAGGTAGGGGATCAGCCTGTGACGGAGCTGCATGAAGTAAGTGATCACGCGCTCCGCGGCTGGCCTATAGTTCCAGGGCTCCTTGGATCCCCACGGAGTATCGCAAGAGTGCAGGCGCATGATGGGTGAAAAGATACCTAGCTGTACCCATCTGGCAACCAGCTCATCGTCTCGACAGCCATGCATGTGGCCACCAATATCGTGCGACCACCAACCGTAGCCGACGTTCGAAGCGGTGGCCGTGAACTCAGGCTGGAAGCGCAACGAGTCCCAAGTGACAATGGAATCTCCAGAGAAGCCGACGGGGTACCTCTGGCTACCGGGGCCAGCGTAGCGGGAGAAAACAAGAGCTCGGTTCTCTCCATCAGTTTGCTTCTGGTCGAGGAACTGGAAGTGGTTGAGGAGCCAGAGAGGGTCTAAACCAGGGACACTGGAGTAGGGGCCTTGCTGCCAGTCAATCCACCAGAAATCGCAACCCTTTTTCTCCAGGCTGCGGTGAAGGATGCTGAAGAAGGCTTCCATGAATTTGGGGTCTGTTGGGTCGAAGAGAATTGTTGTCTTCTCAGATGTATCATGCCCGAGGAAGGCGGCCATCTCTTCATACTGCTCCTCGTGATGTGCGATACCGACATGCGGGTGGTCGTTCAACGTCATTTTGAGGTTCCGTTGATGCAGTGCATCGGCGAATGCCTTCGGGTCAGGGAAAAGCTCCTTGTTCCAGGTGTAGCCGGTCCAGCCCGAATGAGGCACCTCATTCCCATCAACCAAATGCCAGTCCATATCCATGACGGCAACGGATAGCGGAATGCCCTTGTCGCGGAACTTGTCCATCAGTTCGATATATGAATCAGCCGTGTACTTGTGGAATCGACTCCACCAGTTCCCGAGTGACCATCGAGGAAGTCGTGGAGTGCGTCCGGAGATGTCGAAGAAGGCCTTCATGGCGCCCTTGAAATCGCTTCCAAATGAGAATAGATATCCGTCCATGCGATCGCCCGGTCTCCTCGGGGCGACAAACCCTTCTCCGTCGAACAGCATGCTGTTGCTATCGTCAATGACTGAGAAGCCCGCCCGAGAAAGGACTCCAGAGCCCATATCGCATCGGCCGTCAACACCATCGAGAGTGCGTGCCGTCCCTCCAAGGTTGAAACCTGGTTCTGTTCCAAATCGCCATGTAGTCTCCCACATGGTTGTCTGATGTGTAACTTCAATGGTGAGGCCATTGGGGCTGAAGCGCTTCTTATCGTACGAGACGTGGATAGTCGGCGTGACGATCTCGAGTCGGTGCTCTGTTTCTTTGATGAGAGGTTTGTGCTTTCGGAAGAAGCGTCGGTTGATAGCAAACGTGGAGGCTCTATCTTCGAAAACGTTGTCTTCGGCCCATTCGTAGCGAAGAACGAAGTCGTTGATGACTGTGAAGCGGTAATTTAGCCCGATTATGATCGCGTCGCTGTCCGCGACAGGGTCCGTCTCAAACTTGAACTGTGCCATTTCTATGGGTATTCAAGTCGTAATCGAGCACCTCACGATCAGAAGAATGTCGACAGAGGAATGCGCGGGGGTCATGATGGCGGTGATAAAAAAAAAGACCTCGTTAAGAATTTGAAAGCGACTAGTTTTGATCATTACTCTGTGCCATCCTCTAATGCCGTGGGAGCCATTTCAGCACCCCGCCCTTATCCGCAACGATCTGGAAATGTTCGCCGGGATTTCGCTTGAATTTTTCGCCAGAACTTTTCGCTTTGATCACCTTTATGATGCTCGCTGAGACCTTCTCCACAATGATTTCAGGGGTAGTCATGATATTATCGACGGCAGACTTGGCCTGTAGGAGCAACCTAGTAGTGACGAAGAATTGACGATAAATATAAGGAGGGTAGTGGGGGCGAGATGGGATTTGACGGGGTATATCACAGACGCAAAGAAGGATGCATTGAGGTTGGGAATCAAAAGCACGACCTCTGGTCCTGTACATTTTGTACTATGATCGAAGAGCTCCCGATGCTTCGCCGTATGCATGATCGCTAACATGATTGTTTCTCCATGGTGGCCCATATGATGAGGCTCAGCCCTTTGCTGCTGGTAAATCTCTAAATATAATATCGAGGGAACAATTGATTTTCCCCAACAGTCCTTTCATTCTCGCCATCATCTGTAGGGACTTCTGGCTCTGCAAGCCCTATGGGTCGAACACTAGGCACTGGAAGCTGTACCTCGGCCATGAAAAGTTGGAGTTTCTTATGGAACAAAGATTCCTCGCCTCCTATAAGAATCAAGGCGCTCTGAAGGGCGTGTAGGGTGTCTCTCGCCCCAAGAAGCATGCCGGAGCCAGTGGGCCTGGGACCACCCGGGAGTCTCCTGTTGCAAGCCAGCAAGTCCACTAAGGAGTCGGCGATGCGGAAGATCTTCAGCTCCTGTGTCTCCGGAAGAGGACGATTAGCCGATGCGTACATGTCAACACAAATGCCGGGGTAACACCAACCATTCCGTACCCATGGGTCTGGATCGCCTGTTTGGAGACAGACGAGAAAAGCTGTACAGTCTCGTGAGCAACCGAGGCGGGTCTAAGCATGCTCAGCATGGCGTCATCCATGTTACTTGACATCTGATAGTGTCTAAGAGCGTATTGCCACCAGAGGATATGAATCCAGTTCCAAGTGACCATGACGTTGACTCGCTGAATTTCAGGGAGTGTCGGTCCAATCGCTGAAACACTGCATTCAGCCATGGCTGACACCCCACGGTAGAGGTTGTCTTTGGTGCGTGGGTCCGATTTTGCGGTGAGCCTTTCTCTTGTCATCAGGAGGGTGTCATCGAGCAACGTGAAGAGCTGAGCAAGCATCTGAAATGATGGGTCCAGCCCGCCTATTCCTGGTATGAGGCAATCCATCGACGGCCAATCTTGAATAGGTGAGAGGCAGGTCGGAAACCCATTTTGAACACAGAAAGTTCTGAAAGAGGAGTCAGCTATGTTGGCCTCGCCTAACTCGCTTTCAGGGGGGTTGTTGCTGGATTTGGGGGGTATTCATACCGCTCAGTGACAAACACCAGCCAAAAGATCCGCAACATGAGCTCCCTCTGCTCATTTGGGAGCTGATTGAATGTTTCGGGACGATGTAGGTTCTGGAGAGAAAGTTGGGCAATGGCTTCATGCAAGTACATTGCCCCAGCTCGGATTCTTTCCGTGTTGGCAAAGTAGATGTGCAAGAAGAATGCGGTCAGCAGGGAGTCGATCGACTCGCTCTCACGGTAACTGTGTTGGTCACGCAAATGTTGCGCGTGACGGGCAAAGCTTTCAGCAATGTCGTTTAGGTCAGACATGGACCCATTTTGCTTCGAAAATCGCAGTTGAGAAAGCCGAAGTTGCGCGATGACGGTGGCGCAGACCGCTCCAGCCAGTGCGTAGGCTTCATAGTCATCGGGGGAGTTGCTGACGAGTCGGGATACTAAGGAGTCGATATCCACAATCGGCCAGACCCAGATGAGACAGTCCTTAAATTTGGTCAAGTATTTGATGTAAAGCCGAAGTGGCAACTTGGCATTGCCGTGACCTTGAGTCCCCAGAGGAGATAGTTGTGGGCTATCCAAAGAACTGCTCTGCGGTCTCGAAAATTGTCTTTGACGTTGTCGAACTTGCCAATCCTCGCCAGTTGAAAGAGGCGACTCCAAAGGTGTTTGTGGGGTTTTCGGGCTCTCGGTGCTTGGTTGAAATTCTTGATCATTCCGAATCTGTTCCTGGTACTGCACTATTTTGTTGGAAGTACTCATCCGAGGTCCTTTCGGACCTCTCTTGCGAGGAACTCGAAGGAACGTGCATTCCAAGGAGCGCTTCCGGCACTCGGTGCATGGTGGCCCTCCATTGCATCGTACTCTCCGCAAAGAGCATCCGTCGCAGGGGTTGCTCACGCGTGTCTTTCGCTTTTCCATGGTTCGGTTTCTGGTGATCACCTGTCAGGATAGAAGATATTCCGACGAGATATTCAAGAGTGAATACATGATAGTTGAAGACAGTTGCATGTCAAAGGGGATTTCAACCGAATAAATCAACCGAACTGCGGAGGTGGGGAAGCTGGGTGCGTGCGCTGATCTGCTGGCCGGCGAGACGCTGTTGACATTCTGCCCAGCTGTTAGACTTGAAGTCAATGGGGAGTTTCAACGAGAAATAATGCGACGGCATAGTTCCGACCTTTTCGCTTGAATTTGTCGCCTAAAATTCCCCAGACCTGCCCGCATATCCACATAGAACAGTAGGCTAGAGCCATGCAGGCTAGTATGCCCGTGGCTTGCGTTGTTAGTCACCTGATTTTTTCCAGACGGACGGAATACCAAAGACACCAACAGCATCTTGGCAGTTGTCACTGACAAGTGCTTCCAAAGAAGATTCTATTCCCAAATTCTATCCTGACATATATATAGCATGCGTTCGGGAATGAAACGTTCAGACGGTTCACCGAGATTTCCCCAGACTTCCCCAGTTTCTCCAGATTTCCTTCGACAGCCAACGCCATGAACCATTCCAGCCAAGGCGACTCCAAGTCGGCAGACGCAGTTACTGATGCAAAAGCCTTGGATAACCAGAACTCAGACTGTCTGAGCAAGATGGGTTATGTCTCTCAGGACGCCCAAGCGGCCACTGAAGATCAAAAGAACATGTCTGTTTTCGAATCATTCAAGGCATACCCGAAGGCGGTGGGATTTTCGATGGTTCTTTCACTTTGCATTGTTATGGAAGCATACGACACTTCGTTGATCGGCAACTTTTACGGTCTCCCTCAATTTAACAGGCGGTTCGGCGACCGATTGGCCAATGGCGACTACCAATTGACTTCGACTTGGCAGTCAGGCTTGCAAAACGGCACTCAAGTTGGCCAGATGATTGGCCTTTTCTTCGGCGGTATTCTTGCGGAGCGGTTTGGTTACAAGAAGACGTTTCTTGGTGCTCTGATTCTCAATATCGCTTTCATCTTTCTTTTCTTCTTTGCGCAGAATATCGGATTTCTGCTGGCTGGAGGAATGCTGTGCGGTTTGCCTTGGGGAGCATTTCAGACTCTTACCACTACGTACGCTGCAGATGTAACACCAATGGCGCTACGACCGATGTCCGTAACCCCATCCTTTTCCCTTTTTCTGTTTGGTTCCTAAATCATCTGTCCTCTGTTTACAGCCCCATCAAGAGATCTAACAGCTAATCACCTGTCTACTTTAGCATGACCACGTACACCAACCTCTGTTGGGTTATCGGGCAATTCATTAGCACAGGAGTCCTTCGAGCTGTGCTATCGCGAACTGATGACTGGGCTTGGCGTATTCCTTATGCCATTCAATGGGTGTTCCCGATCCCCATCATCGTTGGTGTTCTCTTCGCCCCGGAGAGTCCTACTTGGCTTGTTCGCAAAGGTCGTCTGACAGAGGCTCGTAAGGCACTGCGTCGCCTGGCCAACTCTTCTGTCTCAGATGCTCAACTTGACGTCAATATCGCGATGATTGCGCACACCAACGAGATGGAAAGACAAAATGAGGAAGGAACATCGTACATCGACTGCTTCAAAGGGACCAATCGGCGTCGCACCATGATTGCCTGCGGTACCTGGATAGGTCAAGTCGCCTCTGGTGTTTGGTTTGGAAGTAACGTCATCTACTTCCTCCAACAAGCCGGTTTCGACTCTGACAACTCCTTCAACTTCGGACTCGGTGTCAGCGCCATGGCTATCGTCGGAACCATTCTTTCTTGGTTTATGCTGCCCCACATCGGACGTCGCACACTCTACGTCGTTGGTCTCAGCATCCTATTCACCATTCTCCTTACCGTTGGCTGCATGGGCATTCCTGCCCCAACGGCAGGTTTGGGTTGGGCTTCTGGTGCTCTACTGATGCTGTTCGTAATCACGTACGACATGACTGTTGGGCCGGTATGCTACTGTCTGGTGGCCGAAATCCCCTCGACACGTCTCCGCATCAAGACCGTTGCTCTCGCGCGAAACTCGTACCTCCTTGTCAGTATCGGCGCAAACTTTCTTAACCCGCCGATTCTCAATCCGAGCGCCTGGAATCTTCGCGGGAAAGGAGGCTTCATCTGGGCGGGTATTTGTTTCTGCGAACTGGTTTGGGCTTATTTCTACCTCCCCGAACCTATGGGACGCTCCCCTGCAGAGCTGGAGATGCTCTTTGAGCAAGGTGTCAGCGCGCGCAAGTTCTCATCTACGAAGGTGGACGTTTTCTCCAATGTTAGTTCGGAGAAGAGCGACGCCACTGTGGATATGGTTGAACATCGATAAATGACGGTGATGGGCAGCTTGATTTGAGTCCTGGCTGGTTATGCCATGACGTAGACACAGTTGAAATTGACAATGAGGTACCTTAAGCCTCTTTACCGATAAAGATTCAATCCTTTTCCGTCGCAAATTTCATCTAGACGTTTCCGTTTACACATATGCACTGCACATCGGATATGTCTACAGGCGACGCCAATGCTGCCGTCTTCGCGACTTGCCATATTGGGCCCTGACCCGCCCATAATCCCACCACTTAGATGTTAATACGTCCTGCTCTTTGCTGCAAGTAACGAGAAAACTGGATATGTTCTCGCATTTCAATTCCGCAACCTCGTATTTTGTCAAAAGTTGATGTAAGTCTCGGCGCGTTCTCTGGCCATTTTCCACATTGCCAACATTAAGTGAGGGGTTGTCGCTGCTTCACTGCCGATCGCGGCACAACATCAACCCGGACGTGATTGCACATCGTTCTTGGAAACACCCGAAGTTCACAACGGCTCTTCGCAGTACTAGGTAGTCGTGACCCAGTTAGAAGACAATGAGTATAAATGCAGAGGCTGCCTCCACGAATCGAAGGTTGCGCAGATGTTGCAATCTCAACCCGCATTCTCTTATTTGTATCTGAACGCAAAGCCATTTCCTGCATACTGCTCAACAACATGAAGTTCGTTTCTCTACTTACAACTCTGGGCTTCGTGTCAGCTTTTGCTGTCGCTGCTCCTGCCACCAATGGCAACGCTGTAGAAATGCGCCAGACCCGCGACGGCTTCTATTGTCAGGAATGTGTGAACGGCAAGAAGGACTGTGTTGCCTGTACCGACGGCACTTGCTTGGGATGGACATACGACTGCTAGATGGTAAGCAATGCAGTTCCGACTGTTTGTCGTTTCAGCAAGTCCTATGAATCGAATTCGCTGACAGCCGGTTGTTCATAGCGAGATCTAGTTGACAGCGGCCGGCTGTAACCCCCGGACTCTGTTTGCAGCGTCCGAGAGCACTTCCGGGACGAGGCAAGAGCCTCAAGAGTGTCCAATTGCAAATCGTCAAACAGATCAAAGAAAACAGATAGTCATTTCCAGCTACTTAGCTACTAGCTCGAGTCTTTGATAGTCAATACAGTATGGAGATGATGAATTATGTCTATAAGTGAAGCTTGGTCTAATAACACATTAACGCTATGTGAGAACCGTTCATACCCGGCACAGGCGACCATTCTGCGTCGGCAGCCCATCAAGCTGGCGTGTGACGTACCAATCATCACTTCCAACACCCAAGTTGGCATAGAACACTCCGCTGGGATCAATCTTCTGCTTAAACTCAAGAAGACGAGCGTACTTTTCCGTTCCATAGAAAGACTGTTTGAAGTCGGGCTCGGTGACATCACCTTCGCTGGCATAACCGCCACCTCCAGGCGTGACATCCCGCCAGGGCTGCATCCACTCGTTCGTCAGGAGCTTGGATCTCTCGGCAGCTACTTCCATGGAAGAACCAACGGGCCATCCGATGACTGAGATGGCGAACATGGCGGCTCCACGCCAAGCCGGGTTGACGGCGTTATCGGGGTAGGGACCGGGGCCACCGGTGATTCCGAAGCCGATAATCTCGCCGCCCTTGTCACTCAAGCCCTTGATTGCTTCGAAAGTGGCATTGAACTTTGTGGCATCGGCAAAGTTCTCGGTAGGGAAGAGACGGCAGGCAGTCTTAGCAGCCGTGCCACCAACGAGCTCCTTGGGGAAGCCGGCCTTCCAGGCAGGCAGGAAACTCTTGTGTTCGGAGTAGACAGGGGAAACATTGACGCCGAGGGCGGCCCACTTTGCGAAGAGAGGGGCGGTGAGGTCCTTGAGCTCCTGCAAAGTCATGTTGGGGGCAAACCAGGGAAGCATGGTGAAGGTGAGTGTTTCCGGTCCAGTGTGGAAAATGTTCCAGTACTCATAGTTGCCAGCAGCATTCCAGTTAGGCAGGCCCTCCCAGTAGGCCTTGACAGCGGCCCAAAAGGCATCGTTGGTGATGTTTGCGCCGGTGCTGAAGCTGAAGGTCATCACGGCAACATTGTCGAGCTTGGGGTAAGCCTCGACAACGTATGAGGTCACGACGCCGAAAGTATCTGGAAATGATCAGCTAGGGTGTCTCAATGTTGTGTGATAAGATAGGCTCACTGCCACCACCACCACGCAGGGCCCAGAAGAGCTCAGTGTTTTGGTTCTCGTTGGCGGTCACGAAACGGCCATCAGGGGTGACAACATCAATGCTCAGGACCTAGAAACATGATTAGAGATGTTATGTTGCATGCAGAATTGTTAAGTTATTCTTACCGAGTCAGCAGCGATGCCATACTTGGGTGACATTGGCGAGTGTCCACCGCCGGCAAGGTAGCCTCCGGCGTAACCAACAGTCATGCCTTCTCCGCCGACTGCGGTCACGCCATATTTCTCGGCGGCCTCATACAGCTCGAATCCTTGTACACCAGCGCCAACCTTGAGGGCCGGGCCAGAGTAGGATCCTGTCTTGTAGTTGTTGTAGAAGTTGATACTCTTGAGGAAGTGAGTCCAGACGGACAGAGCACCTGACCCGGAAGAGCGACCGTTGAAGTCGTGGCCAGTGTTCTTGACAACCAAGCGAAGGTTGAGGTTACGAGCGAAGTTGACGGCAAGTTGGATTTGGGCCACGTTGGTAGCCTTGACGACGTACGAAGGGTAGCCACCAACGGTGCAAGTACCAGCAGAGATGTTGTTCACGCCGGAAGGCATGCAAGTGAGACCTTGGTACAAGGGACTCATCACCGACGTCGGGTCCTCCGTGCTTTAGAATGATCAGTCAAGTTCACATAGGTGATGTAAGCATCTTACTGGATTGTTGAGTTCGTCCACTCGTTGGTGATGTACTCGCAGCGAGCAGCATCGTAGTTCCCAAAGTCGTCGTAGCAAGAAGCACCAATAGGTACTGTCTCACTCACAGCAAATCCACTGAGAAGGTTGAAGACACTCCAGATAGGCTTACTTGGCCACAGAAGGTCGCCAGGGTATGTCTTGCACTTGTTGAAGGTGCGGGCCGAGCCAGAGCGCTTCTCGCCTGTCGATGTAGTGTCAAAGTCAAACAGAGACACATTAGATAGGGAGAGGTCCGTGAGGTTGGCCAGCACGGCATCAGTCAGCTGTACTGTCTCCTCTTTCAAGAGATCGCCAGTCAATGCTTCCGCAGCCGGGGCGACGGTCGATTCGTTGGCCTCTGCGGGATGTTAGTCATGATGCCAGTCACCCACACTACACTGTCCCTCAGGGGTTCATGCAGACTGCAGAGGTGAAACCAACATACCGAGAATGGCATCATCAACAGTGATCGTCTGAGCGCCCGCTAAGTTGGCTAGAGGCACGGCGGCTGCCAGGAAGAGGACCTGGCTGAGGCGAGACATTGTGCGTGCCAAGAACGATGGGTGGTTACAGAGAGCTGAAAAAGATTGGACAGAGGGCGCGACAAGGTGGGCGTGAGCGTGCCTGTCAGACAAAACCTCCAATTGTGATCGCCTGATTGTGGCTGGCGGTGCGGGAGAAAAAAAGGCGAGCAGACATAGCGAGCTGCACACTTGGATTTATAACATCCACGTGGGAGCGTTGCATCAGTTCATCGGACCTCACATAATGCCGTTGGGTTGATAACATGAGAGAAAAAGAGATCATTCTGGTGCCGACTGGTCAATAGCATCTTGTCGGCTAACTCACATCCTGGACAATGCATGCGGAGATGGGGAACAGGAATCGATAGCGGGACGGCCACGACATCAGCCAGATTGCGAGGACTTGGAAGAAGGCGACGTTAGGACGAGAAAAGGCCTCGGGCCCGCCCCCGGGAGGCAATGCACCGGGGGCCGGGTCAGTTTACTTGGATCTAGTATTCTTGTCTCTTTGGGCCAGGCTGTGGCCAAGTCTCAGCTAGGAGAGCAACATCAGTGGCGAGTCGAAAAACCCCGCGCCAGGAGGTTGCAGCGGCACAACATTGCCAACATCGGCATTGACAAACGGCGCAGGGTTTGGTTCTCCAAGACCATGGATGCAGGTCTTCTTCTAGATCTTCTGCCGCAGCCGTTGAACGCAGCGCACATCCACTAGCAACTAAGCGCGAAGTCTGTGGGCAAAACCTGCCACAGCCGGGCCGGCGCGAGGTTCGTCTCTGGATTTGACATCTCTGCGGCGGCTGAAGCGCTTTCAGACTTTTGCGAATCTTGTAGGTTGAACATGCAGTCCAGACCTGAAGAAAGAGTGGCGCAGAGAGTGTCGGGAGAGGGAGATCATTCATCTCGGGCAAGGTCCCCGGTGAACCTTCTGCACGCTTTGTCCCCCTTCAGGCTCCGCATCTCCGCATCGCTCCCCCGTCTCTGCTGCCTTTCCGGCTGTCCGCGTCAGTCAATCTCCACTGCAGAAATCAGGGGACCCCGAAGGAAAAGATGGGATTCTGGGCGCGAGAATGAGGGATTTGCGCAGTCCTTATCCACATAATAAGGGATGTGGATAGCTCCGCGGGAAGCATACGAGTTTATTTTGTGATCTGCTATCGTCCAGGAAGCTGTCCCGCAACCACAGATCTCATTGTGTGAGCGCTGACAACCTCCATCTCAGCCAAGATCAATCCCACGGCCATCGCGAAGCCTCAATCACATTCCAATTGACCGCTCCTGATGACATGATTGACTAGTTTGCAGGCTAGAAGAGGCGAAGAAAACATTTGCCGTGATAAGGGGCGTTTTGTGCTGCATGATTGCCTGCAATTTCAACTGCATCTCTGCGGCGTAGCAAACTCTCTTTCCTTGGACCCTGTCGCCACGTCGGTGGAAGAGGTAACACTCGGAAATCAGCAATACCGCTAAGTCAAAAGGTCGTGAGCCGAGTCGTCAGCATCTTGGTGCGATTCATGTCTGCGGGCTTGGCCAGGGTTAGTTTCCACCTCGCTAATCCCCCCGGCTTGCCCTCTTCACCAACAGAAAGTGCCTCGGTTGGCTTGAAAAACGAGGA